TTTTACAGAGGCACGATGGAGAACAAACCGCATCCCTATTTGGTTTGGTGGCAGCAGATCCTCAGATAGAAAGTCCCTACAGAGAGGGGTGAGGACAGCGGAGAAGATTATAGGAAGCTCGCTTCCTGTCATTCAGGATACTGCTTATAAGCGCTATGTGCTTAGAGCTCGAAGCGTTGTTAGAGTCCCCACACACCCACTTCATGGTCTGTTTCCGTTGCTCCCCTCTGGAAGAGGTTTTGAAATATTTCTAGCAGGACTTTCAGATTCTGTAACAGCTTTGTTCCCTACGCCATCCGTCTGGTAAACTCGCAAAATTTGTTTTTCTCACCATGTACATGTATACATCCAAACTACATTGTGTTGTTTCTCTGTGTCATATAATATGCGTGAGTATATACATAATTTTGTATTTATTTAGTCATGTTTATGTGGTATATATTGGAGGTGGTGACCCTTTGAGAGCTGTATGCAAAAAAAATTCATTTTTAATGTATGCCGATTAGTGTACATTTAAAGTGACAATGAAGTTATTCTAAGTTCTAAGTCTAAGTCATAATATGCTAAATGACCCCTAGGAGAAGTCTTCTGAATTTACTCCAGTACTTTCGGTCATCTGTCACTACCTCCATTTCTTCCCCATCTATTTGCCAGGAATTGAGAGGGCCGGATGCCATGTTCTTATTTGATACTGCCCATGGGGTTTTCATGGCAAAGATACTGGAGTGGGTTGCAATTTCCTTCTCCAGTGGCAGATTTTTTATTTTCCTGGGCTCCAAGATCACCGCAGATGGGGACCACAGCCAAGAAATTAAAAGACGCTTGCTCCTGGGGAGGAAAGCTATGGCAAAGTTAGACAGCATACTAAAAAGCAGAGACATCACCCTGACAACAAAAGTGCGTATAGTCAAGGCGATGGTTTTCCCAGTTGCAATTGATGGCTGTGAAAGTTGGACCATAAGGTGTTGTGACTCCGACCCCCGAGGCCGACTTATGGAGAAGGCTCAAAGAAGAGGAGTTGGCCAGGCCTCCCTCTCCAGGACCCTCTTCTCTGGCAATGCCTCAGGTGTCTCCCGAAGGAGAAGAGATTGGCCAGGAGCCAGGTATCTCCTCGCAGTCGGACAGTGACGGAGATAAGTCTTGGCTGGATCCACGCCAGCGTTGGAGAGACAAGTGCACGCAGCAGAAAAGGAGGCGTGCCAGAGATTAAGCTGAGTCACTGGACTACACCCCACAGAGGATAAAAGGGGGTGAGGTGGCTATTCAGACTCTTTGACGGACAAAACTAACTACTAGCGAGTCACATTGTATCTTTGAAACAACGTTATCTGCCTTGGATTTAATACGGACTGGACTTGACAATCTTGAACTGTGTGTATCTTGTTTGGGTTTATCTGATGGAGGAACAACCCCTCCCTCTATGAGTAAAGTTCTTGGCAAGCAGCTACTGGGTTGCTGCCAATCCTCTTATCAAAAGAATTTGTTGTCTGCCAGTTTTATTTAACCCCTGGCTATCTGTTTGTGTGCGTGTGTGAGACGGGGACAGAACATAAGGAAGGCTGAGCGCCAAAGAATGGAGGCCTTTGAACTCTGGTGCTGGAGAAGACTTCTGCGAGTCCCTTGGACTGCAAGGTGATCCCACCGGTCAGTCCTAGAGGAGATCAACCCTGACTGCTCTTTAGAAAGCCAGATCCTGAAGAGGAAACTCAAATACTTTGGCCACCTAATAAGAAGGAAGGAAGGACTCCCTGGAGAACAGCCTAACGCTGGGAAAGATGGAGGGCAAAAGAAGAATGGGACAACAGAGAATGAGGTGGCTGGATGGAGTCACTGAAGCAGTCGACGTGAGCTTCAGTGGACTCCAGAGGATGGTAGAGGACAGGAAGGCCTGGAGGAACGTTGTCCATGGGGTCATGACGGGTCGGACACGACTTTGCAACTAACAAGATGCAGCTATGATCATAGCTGGCTGGGGAATTCAGGTCTTCAAGTTGCCATGGTTGGACATCACTGCTGTGAAACCTCTGGGGATCTACATTGGTATCTTGGTTCATTCCAAATGTGATAGACAAAGGACTCAACTCTACAGAAGCCATCACTTCTCTACCTTTAATTAGAGAGTTTTGGTCTTTGATCGTCTACCTACAGACGGACTTCTTGCCCTGTGCAAAATTCCACAGAAGCTGCCCTTAGTTAGACTGGGAATTTAATGTGGGTGGGCTGATTTGCCCTGCATTTTTGGCTGATTCTCCAGATAAACCTCCATCCTCCTTTCTAGTTGCTGGAACGAATGGCTTGATTTTCCCCAGCTGGGTTCCTTTTTTTTATTTTTCCTTCGCTGGTTTTATTTCTTCCCTCTGGGGATTATCTGTTGATGTCAAGCCCTAAGGCAATACGCTTGACGAGTCCCAACGTCATCTCTGAAAATCCTTCCTAGTTACCGGGTCCCAAGGGGGGGCCCACCGACACGCACCAGTCCTGCTTATTTTATTTTATTTATTTTTTTCCACTTGTCTTTGCCACCAGAGATTGAGCGTCTCTAGAGAATCTTGGCTCAAAGAGAGTTTCTGCTTCTCTTTTAACCTTCCCCTTCCTCTTTTCAGGGAGCTGACTTTGAGATGGTTTTGTCCAATTCCACGCCGTTGCATATTTTAAATGTTTTCAGATATTTAAACCTGCAATTTGAGGCAAGTTTAGAAAGGACAAAAAAAAGAACAAAAAACCAAAAAAACAATGTGCTTTGCATTCTAGGACAAACTTACCTAATTTGAACTTGTATTCAAGGCCAATGCAGTCTCATGCAAAAAAAAATTCTCCCTTTTTTTAGGCTCAGAAATCACGAAATGTATATAGATATTAAGAAAAAATGGGGTCGTTTCTCTAGGAAAAATGCCACACAAAAGTATGTTGCATTAGAAAAGGTTTAGAAAATGCATAGCCCTTGTCACCTCACAGTTGGATTATTATTACTTATTACTTAACTATTACTATTATTATTACTACATGGGGCTACTCTTGAAAAGTGTTCGGAGACTACAGTTGGTCCAGAATGCAGCCGCGTGAGTTATAGCGGGTGCGCCTAAATACACCCACATTACACCAATTCTCCGCGAGCTGCACTGGCTCCCTATTGGTCTCCGGGTGCAATTCAAGATGTTGGTCATTACCTTTAAAGCCCTACATGGCTCAGGGCCAGGCTATCTTCGAGACCGCCTTCTACCGCATAGCTCCCAACGACCGGTAAGATCCCACAGAGTCGGTCTCCTCCGGGTCCCGTCAGCTAAACAATGCCGGCTGGCGGGCCCGCGGGGGAGGGCCTTCTCTGTGGCTGCCCCGGTTCTCTGGAACCAATTACCTCCTGAGGTCCCGGACCATCCCCATCCTATTGGCCTTCCGCAAAGCGGTGAAGACCTGGCTCTTCCGGCAGGCCTGGGGCCGTTGATCTCGTTATAGTGATCTTGCGAGACCCGGCCACGAATTGGAGTGCATGTGTTTTAACATTTTTAAAGGTTTTAATGTTTTAATGTTTTTCTTTTTAACATTTTTTATGGGATTGTTTGCATTGTTTCATTCTTTGTTGTAAGCCGCCCAGAGTCCCTTGGGAGTTGGGCGCCATAGAAATGCGAGAAAATAAATAAATAAATTAAATAAATAAATAATAGGTAAAAGTGGGTAGAAAAAATATATATTGCGCCTGTTAGAACTGTCCAAGATTCCTCCCTCCCTCCCCTTCCTTTCTTTCTTTCTTTCTTTCTTTCTTTCTTTCTTTCTTTCTTTCTCTTCCTCTTTCTCTCTTTGTCTCTCTCTTCCTTTCATTTTTTCTTTCTCTATCTCCCCTTTGCTTCTTTCTTTCTTTCTTTGTTTGTTTCTTTCTTTCTTTCTTTCTTTCTTTCTTTCTTTCTTTCTTTCTTTCTTTCTCTTCCTCTTCTCTCTCTGTCTCTCTCTCCTTTCATTTTTTCTTTCTCTATCTCCCCTTTGCTTCTTTCTTTCTTTCTTTCTTTCTTTCTCTTCCTCTTTCTCTCTTTGTCTCTCTCTTCCTTTCATTTTTTCTTTCTCTATCTCCCCTTTGCTTCTTTCTTTCTTTCTTTCTTTCTTTCTCTTCCTCTTTCTCTTTCTCTCTCTGTCTCTCTCTTCCTTTCATTTTTTCTTTCTCTATCTCCCCTTTGCTTCTTTCTTTCTTTCTCTTCCTCTTCTCTCTCTGTCTCTCTCTTCTTTCATTTTTTCTTTCTCTATCTCCCCTTTGCTTCTTTCTTTCTTTTCTTCTTTCTTTCTTTCTTCTTCTTTCTTTCTCTTCCTCTTTCTCTTTCTCTCTCTGTCTCTCTCTTCCTTTCATTTTTTCTTTCTCTATCTTCCCTTTGCTTCTTTCTTTCTTTCTTTCTTTCTTTCTTTCTTTCTTTCTTTCTTTCTTCTTTCTTCTTTCTTTCTTTCTTTCTTTCTTTCTTTCTTCTTCCCTTTCTTTCTTTCCCTTTCTTCCTCTTTCTCTCTCTCTCTCTCTCTCTTTCATTTTTTCTTTTCTCTCTATTTCCCCTTTGATTCTTTCTGTCATTTTTTCTTTTCCTCTCTCTCTCTCCCTTTTGCTTCTTTTTTCTTTCTTTCTTTCTTTCTTTCTTTCTTCTTTTTCTTTCTTTCTTTTCTTTCTTTCTTTCTTTCTTTCTTTCTCTCTCTCTCTCTCTCTCTCTCTCTTTTCTCTCTCTCCCTTCCTACCTACCTACCTACCTGTGCAGCATAAGCTTTATTCTACTCACTTTTCCTAAGATGTGTATGTGTGCGTGTGTGTATGAATATTTTAAAGAACTTATTAAAGCATTTAAAAATGATTTAAATTCAAGCTGAAAGTCCAGTCTGGTCCAGCCCATTTGTTTCTTAAGATTGGGGTTGGGGGGATGGGGGGGAAAGCAAAAACTGTCAGGGGTCATGAGGTTTTTATTTTTATTTTTTTTCATTTCACCTTCTCCTATTTTAATCGATTACCTGATCATCTTCCTTCCTAGCTGGTTGCTTGCGGAGATCCCCGAGCGACTGGCGGAAGGTGAGCGAAGGGCGGCTCCGGGTTCCAGTCTGGGGCGAGGGGAGCAGGTGCCCACCACGAGGGCTGACCTTCCCCACCCCCCTCCCTCCGTCCCCAGGGGAATCCGACAACCGGAACCAGCAGAAGATGGAGATGAAGGTGTGGGATCCGGACAACCCTCTGACCGACCGGCAGATCGACCAGTTCCTGGTGGTGGCTCGGTGAGATCCAAGGGCAGAGCGGCGGGCGGGCAGGGCGGCTCAGGGCTCGGTGGTCGAGCAGGGGGCGGTTCAACCCTTGTCCTCTTCCTCTCTGGCCTCAGGGCGGTGGGCACCTTCGCACGAGCCCTCGACTGCAGCAGCTCCATCCGTCAGCCCAGCCTTCATATGAGTGCGGGGCGGCTTCTCGGGATATCACGCTGGTGAGGATGGGCAGTTGCCTGCCTTCCTTCCTTCCTTCCTTCCTTCCTTCCTTCCTTCCTTCCTTCCTTCCTTCCTTCCTTCCCCTTCCTCTCTTTTCTTCTTTGCTTCCTTCCTTCCTTCCTTCCCCCTTCCCTCTCCCTCTTTTTCTTTTCTTGCTTTTCTTTTTCCTTCCCTCCTCCCCTTCCTCCCCTCCTTCTTCCTTTTCTTTTTTCCTTTCTTTCCCTCTCCCTCTTTTTTCCTTCCTTCCTTTTCTTTCTCCTCCCCTTCCTTCCGCTTCCCTCTCTTTTCCTTCTTTGCTTCCTTCCTAACTTCCTTCTACCCTCTTTCCTTCCTCTTCCCCTTCCCTCTCCCTCTTTTTTCCTCTTTTCCTTCTCCTTCCCTTCCTTCCTTCCTTTTCTTCCTTCCTTCCCTCCTTTCTTCCTTCCTTCCTCTTCCCCTTCCCTCTCCCTCTTTTTTCCTTTCTTCCTTTTCTTTCTTCTCCCCTTCCTTCTTTTCTTCCTTTTCTCTCTCTCCATCTTTCAATCTATTTCTCTCTTTCTCCCTCTCCCCCCCTCTCTCTCTTTCTGTCTTTCAGTCTCTCTTACTCTCTTTTTTCTTTTTCCTTTCCTCTCTCCTTTCGTTCCCTTCCCATTTCTCTGTCTCTCTTAGTCCTTCCTTCCTCTCCTCCCCTCCTCCTATCTCCCTTTCCTTTCCCTCCTTTCCCTTTTATCTCAGTCTTCCTTCTCTTTGATGTCAGTTTTGTTCTCTTTTGCCCCTGCTAAAATCTTGAATAAAAAGCGAGGTGTCTTTGAGCCACAAACTGCACTCTGTGGTTTCTGTGTCCGCGAGAGGCAGCCGGTCACTGCTTCCCTCCCCTTCCCCCCCCTTTCTCTCTCTCTCGTCAGTTTCACGCAATGGATACCCTGCAGCGTAATGGCTACGACTTAGCCAAGGCGATGTCGACTTTGGTGCCCCAGGGCGGGCCTGTGCTGTGCCGGGACGAGATGGAGGAATGGTCGGCTTCCGAGGCCATGCTGTTTGAGGAGGCCCTGGAGAAATACGGCAAGGACTTCAACGACATTCGGCAGGACTTTGTGAGTTGGGTTGTGTGGCTCAGGGGCTCCTGGTTACAAAAAGGCCTCCTTTTGTACGTAGCTAGTCCTCGATTTATGGGGATGCGGTGGCTAAGACGCTTGTCGATCGAAAGGTCGGCAGTTCAGCGGTTCGAATCCCTGGTGCCATGTAACAGGGTGAGCTCCCGTGACTTGTCCCAGCTTCTGCCAACCTAGCAGTTCGAAAGCAGGTAAAAAATGCAAGTAGAAAAATAGGGACCACCTTTGGTGGGAAGGGAACAGCGTTTTCCATGCGCCCTTGGCATTGAGTCACGCCGGCCACATGACCACGGAGACGTCTTCGGACAGTGCTGGCTCTTCGGCTTTGAAACGGACATGAGCAGTGCCCCCTAGAGTCAGGAACGACTAGTCCATATATGCGAGGGGAACCTTTACCTTTACATTCCTCTTTTCTCTTCTCCTTTTGCTAAGCCACCAATCTTAGTTGTTGTTTTTCTCTCTCTCTTCCAAACAGGAAGTAATAAATAAATAATAAAAATAATAATATAAATAATAATAATAAATAATAATAAATAAATAAATAATAATAAAAACTCACTTCACAACCATTCCGGGCTGGAGAACTGCCCATATGGAGTCTTTTATTTGTGGCTGGATTAAATGTAAGAGCCAGGATTTCCAGCCCCTCATCCTCTTCTTAAAACCCCCTCCCTCTCTTGTCAGCTCCCTTGGAAGTCCCTGGCCAGCATCGTGCAGTTCTACTACATGTGGAAAACCACAGACCGATACATCCAGCAGGTGAGGAAGGGTCTTTTGGGGAGAGGGCAATTCCTTCCTGGAAGGGAGGGAAGGGATGCATTTTCCGGAGACCCCTTTTCGGGATGTTGTTCGCCTGGCTAAGTGGCTTTCAGGCCGTTTCTCGGGCTGTTTTCAGGCTGTTTTTGGCCCCAAAAAATGACCTGTTTTTTTGCCGTTTTTTGGGTTTTTCAGACTGTTTTTTGGGGCCATTTTCCGGCCATTTTTCGACTGTTTTGTCCTGAAAAATGGCCTGTTTTTTTGCCGTTTTTGAGGCTGTTTTCAGACTGGTTTTTTGGGCCATTTTCCAGCCATTTTCCGGCCTTTTTCGGCTGTTTTGTCCTGAAAAATGGCCTGGGTTTTTGCCGGTTTTTGGGCTGTTTTCAGACTGGTTTTTTGGGGCCATTTTCCAGCCATTTTCCGGCCATTTTTCGGCTGTTTTGTCCTGAAAAATGACCTGGTTTTTTGCCGGTTTTTGGGTTGTTTCAGACTGTTTTTTTGGGGCATTTTCCAGCCATTTTCCGGCCATTTTCGGCTGTTTTGTCCTGAAAAATGACCTGGTTTTTTGCCGGTTTTTGGGTTGTTTTCAGACTGTTTTTTTGGGCCATTTTCCAGCCATTTTCCGGCCATTTTTCGGCTGTTTTGTCCTGAAAAATGACCTGGTTTTTTGCCGGTTTTTGGGTTGTTTTCAGACTGTTTTTTTGGGCCATTTTCCGGCCATTTTTCGGCTGTTTTGTCCTGAAAAATGACCTGGTTTTTTGCCGGTTTTTGGGCTGTTTTCAGACTGTTTTTTTGGGCCATTTTCCAGCCATTTTCCGGCCATTTTTCGGCTGTTTTGTCCTGAAAAATGACCTGGTTTTTTGCCGGTTTTTGGGCTGTTTTCAGACTGTTTTTTTGGGCCATTTTCCAGCCATTTTCCGGCCATTTTTCGGCTGTTTTGTCCTGAAAAATGGCCTGTTTTTTTGCCGGTTTTGGGCTGTTTTCAGACTGGTTTTTTGGGCCATTTTCTGGCCGTTTTCGGCTGTTTTGTCCTGAAAAATGGCCTGTTGTTTTTTTTTTTTTGCCGTTTTTTGGGCTGTTTTCAAGCCATTTTGAGGCTGGTTTTTTTCGGCCTTTTTGATGCCATTTTTGGGCCATTTCCTGCCGTTTTCAGGCCATTTTTGGGGCCGTTTTTCAGAAACCAGAAGAGCAACTGGCGACAGTGCGCTTGCCCGCAGGGAGGGCTCTGCGTGCCATCGGTTCACCATCATGGGACTAGATGACCTCCAAGGTCCCTTCCAACTCTGTTACTGACCCTCTCACCATTTCCTTTGCGGTGCAGAAACGGTTGAAAGCGGCGGAAGCTGACAGCAAATTGAAACAAGTCTACATCCCAACCTAGTGAGTATTCCCTATCTCGGGGTTTGAAGGGGGGGGGCATTGGGGTCTGATTTCTCCCCAGAAAGTCTGCATTGGGACAGAGAAACCCCCCCTCCCCTCCGCCCCTCCCACAAGACCCAGGAACTTCTGATTTGTTGGGGAGAAAAATTTTATATATGTAGGTCTTTGGTTATTCGGGTCTTCTCCCACGTAAAATTGGAAGTGTCTTGGCGACGTTTCGACGAAGTCTCATTTGTCATCTTCAGGCTGGTGTTTTCGGCTTCGTGCTTCTAGGAGCAATGTAAGATCGCAGAATAAAGGAAGAAACAGCTGCGATCTCACATTGCTCCTGGAAGCACGAAGCCGAGAACACCAGCCTGAAGATGACGAATGAGACTTCGTCGAAACGTCGCCAAGACACTTCCAATTTTACGTGGGAGAAGACCCGAATAACCAAAGACCTACATACAAACAATCCCCACTCCCTCCTAGCGCTGATAATGTTACCTAGTTGGGTCATGAAACGTCTGCAGCAAAATCACCAAGCTCAGAGAGCACCAAAGTCGTCCTCCTCCTCCTCCTCTCCATAAACCTCACCTTGCTTCTAGCACTGATGATGTTCTGTAATTGGGTAATGAAATGTCTGCAAGGAAACCACAAAGCACCCCCACCACCACCCCCAAAGAAATCTGGAATCAGGCTGTTGGCTTCGGGCCTGTGAAAATAACAACCTAGCGGAGTTATCCCCACCCCCTCACCACCCCACCCCACCCCCCGGTGCCATTCTTCTGAGGCCCTTCTTCCTTCTTCTCTCCCCTTCCCCAGTACAAAACCGAATCCGAACCAAATCATCTCGGTGGGCTCCAAGCCAGGAATGAACGGCGCCGGCTTCCAGAAAGGTCTCACCTGTGAGAGTTGCCACAGTAAGTCTCCTCCACCGAGAAATCGGGGCTCTGCCGCCTCTTCTTTCTGCTGGATACGGAGCCCGAATCGTCTTCTTTACTTGCTCTGCCTGGGGGGAAAAACCGTCGGAGAGGGCTGAACCCCTGCAGCAGGAGGAAAAGGGGTGTGTGTGTGTGGGGGGGGTGTAAGATGTCGATGAGGTCCTCATCAGGCCCTTCTCTTGCCCCGCAGCCACCCAGTCAGCCCAGTGGTATGCCTGGGGCCCCCCCAATATGCAGTGCCGTCTCTGCGCCTCTTGCTGGATCTACTGGAAGAAATACGGGGGCCTCAAGACGCCAACGCAGCTGGAAGGAGCTGCCCGTAGCATCACAGTAAGAGTGACACACACACACACACACACAAGCCCTTGTGGCTTTGTGTTAGAGGTGGGGAACTGGCTCGGGACACCCAGTTCTGTTGGATGCTGGTTGCGAATCGGGAACGCCAACAAGAATGATTCCTCCGCTTAATAGGGAAGGCAGCTGTGTGGGTAACGTTCCCCCACCGTTATTTTTATTCGTAACTCAAGGCGGGGAATATCCAAGACGCCGTCTGTCAAGCTCGATTTCATTGAGGGCCAGGCTCACCCCACCCCCGAGGTCAAAACACAATTTCAAACACAGTAGCATGACGTCACTCGTGTTGTGGGGGGGGGTGGGGTGTGAGTCTGCGGCGGCCTGAGCGCTCTGCCAGAGAAAATGGACTCCCGAGCTCCGTTTTCGGCGGCGGCGGCCTCCTGCAACCCTCCGCCAGTGAAAACGGAGCTCACGGGTGCCGTGCGCGGTCCTCGTGGGCTCTGTTTTCGGTAGCAGAGGCATTGTGGGCCAGTCCTCCTCTGTTTCCAGAGCAGCCCCCCGGGTCGGATCTAAGCCCTCCATGGGCCTTGAGTTTGATACCCCGACCTATAACAACAAGACTTGGTGGGTTGGGTTGAGAGAGAGGGATGCAGCTGGCTTTCATGCCGAAGGTGGGACTAGAACTCACAGGCTCCTGGTGATTGGCCCAAAGTCACCCAATTGGCTTTCATGGTTAAGTCAGGACTAGAACTCCCAGGCTCCCGGTTTCCAGCATGGTGCCTTCGCCGATAAACCAGACTTTTCCTCCGAGCGCCTCCATGCCATCCTTCCCTCCTTCTCAGGAGCCCCACTCTCGGGGCCACACGTCTCGGCCGGAAGCCCAGAGCCTCTCCCCGTACACCACCAGCGCCAACCGGGCCAAGTTGCTGGCGAAAAACCGGCAGACTTTCCTTCTTCAGACCACCAAACTGACCCGCATCGCGCGGCGCATGTGCCGGGATATCTTGCAGCCGCGGAGGGCCGCCCGGCGACCTTACGCGCCCATCAACTCCAACGCCATCAAGGCTGAGTGTAGGTGGGGGGGGGAGAGAATGGGGTGGGTGGGACGGGCAGGGAGAAGCAAGGGGGGGCTCTGAAGTAAGGTGTGGCTTCTTTTCCCCTCCAGGCTCAATCCGGCTTCCCAAGGCAGCCAAGACGCCCCTGAAAATCCACCCTCTGGTCCGTCTTCCTCTGGCCACCATTATCAAGGAGCTGGGTAAGGGGCCTCTGCGCAGTTGGGAATGGTCTCCGTTCCCGGACAATTGTTAGCAAAATAAGAGATTTTCCCCCCTCACACACACCATTTCTTCGGAAGGAAGGAGGTCAGGTACAATCGTGAAGGAGGGCGGAGGATGGATGGGAGGGAAGGAGGGAGGGAAGAAAGATGAAGGGAGGGAGGAGAGGAAGGAAGGAACAAAAAGACAAAGAGAAAGACAAAGAGCAAGGAGAGAAAGAAAAAGGAAGGAAGGTGGTCGGGGAAGGAGAAGGGGCCAAGTACAATCGGAAAGAAGGGAGGAAGATGGAGGGAGGGAGGGAAGAAAGATGAAGGGAGGAAAGGAAGGAAGGAAGGAACCAAGAGCAAGAGCGAGAAAGAGCACGAGAGAAAGAAAATGAAAGGAAGGAAGAAGGTCAGGGAAAGAGGGAGGAGAAGGGGCCAAGTACAATCGGAAAGAAGGGAGGAAGATGGAGGGAGGGAGGGAAGAAAGATGAAGGGAGGAAAGGAAGGAAGGAAGGAACCAAGAGCAAGAGCGAGAAAGAGCACGAGAGAAAGAAAATGAAAGGAAGGAAGAAGGTCAGGGAAAGAGGGAGGAGAAGGGGCCAAGTACAATCGGAAAGAAGGGAGGAAGATGGATGGATGGGAGGAAGGGAGGAGAGGAAGGAAGGAACAAAAAGACCGAGGGACAAAGAGAAAGAAATAGCATGAGAAAGAAAAAGGAAGGAGGGAGGAGAAGGGGCCAAGTACAATCGGAAAGGGAGGAAGATGGATGGATGGATGGATGGGAGGGAGGGAGGGGGGAGATGAAGGGAGGAAAGGAAGGAAGGAACAAAGACAAGAAAGAGAGAGAGCAAGAAAGCGCGCGAGAGAAAGAAAAAGGAAGGAAAGAGGGAGGAGAAGGGGCCAAGTATAATCGGAAAGAAGGGAGGAAGATGGATGGGAGGGAGGGAGGGAGGGAAGAAAGAAAGATGAAGGGAGGAAAGGAAGGAAGGAACAAAGACAAGAAAGAGAGAGAGCAAGAACGCGCGAGAGGAAGAAAATGGAAGGAAGGAAGGAGGTCAGGGAAAGAGGGAGGAGAAGGGGCCAAGTACAATCGGAAAGAAGGGAGGAAGATGGATGGATGGGAGAGAGGGAGGGAAGAAAGAGGAAGGGAGGAAAGGAAGGAACGAACAAAACGACAAAGAGAAAGAGCAAAGCACAAGAGGAAGGGAGGGAGGAAGGATGCGAAGGACTTTCAGCACCCTATTTGTTCTTTTCCGCAGCCGCCCAGGCGCCCCTCAAACCCCGAACTCCTCGCGGCACCAAGACGCCCATCAACAGGAATCAGCTGACCCCAAACCGAGGGCTGGCTGGCATCGTGAGCAAACGGACTTTCGAGAACGTGAGTAGCTGAGCTGCGAGCCGACAGGCCTTGCGGGTGGGGGGGGGTGTCTGTGTGGGGGGAGAGGAGGGGAAACAATCCCGAGATTTGGAAAGCCAGCAAGGGGAGAAGTGGCCCCCCAGTAACAACCCTCCGCGTCCTTGTCGTAGTTGATGCAGTTTGGGAGTCCATCTACGCGGGTTGTTTTTTTTTTTTTCTTATTTTTCCGTCGTTCTGTGCAGCTTCCTCCCTGCGGAAGTGGGAAATAATCCACTTTTATTCACTTAAAACACCAGTACGGCCAGCCTGTGTTAACAAGATTCAACCAAATCTTGTCTGACCCCCCCAACCATCGCCCACCCCCACCCCCCTTGTCTGGCAATGCAGAAGGAGGTGGATCTGGAGCGGGAGGTGGGGGTGGCTAGGCGGAGGGGCGGAGGGGCGAGCAAGAGGTAGACACTGCTTTGGGGGGGGGTGTTCCTCTCGCTGATAGCTCTGTGTGCGACCGGGCGCAGGTGGCAGGGGGCGGGCTCCCCTTCTCGGCCAACGGACGGCCCCTAACGTCCGGCATGAGGTCAAGCAGTCAGCCTGCCCTGAAACGTCAGAAGCTGAACCCGGCCGACGCCCCCAATCCTGTGGTGTTTGTGGCGACCAAGGACACCAGGTACGAAGGCAGGGGCTTAGCGGGGGCGATGGAGTGGTGTCTGGGGAGAGAGAGACGGCAGGAAGAGAGAGAAGAGGCGGCTGAGCCCCTCTTCAAAGGAAAAAGGGGTGTGTGGAAAACACCCTCCCTAGTTTCCTAGGTTGTAAAGGCGGGGGGTGGGGTTGGGGGAAGAGAGAGAGAGAGAGATGGATTTTCACGGTTTGCCAAATTCCGCTCCTGGGATGGGACAAGAGGAAAGCCACAGACTAGGCCACGGTCAGATCAGAAGGGAAAAAGGGGTGCATGGAAAACATCTTAGGAGGCACCCTCCCTAGTTTCTTAGTCTGTAAAGGGGGGGGAGATGGACTTTCAGATTTGCAAGATTAATGGAGCCTTACAAGACAGCTCAGTATTTCTGAGTGTTGTACTACCTCGCAAGGCTGGCGGGGAGGTGATGGTGGGGTGGGCCACTTCATCGACCCCCCCCCTCCCCTCTCTCTGGCCTTGGGAGGGTGATCGGGGGTCCAGTCCTCCTGGCTTTGACGCAGAGCGTGTGACAATCCCCTGCATCAGAACGGTGGAAACGCCTGGATTCTCCCCTGTTGTTCTAGAATGGCCAGGCTCCTTCCGGCAACCTAGGTCAGTCTTTCTTAGGCGTGGGCCCTTTAAGAGATGTGTGGACTTCAACTCCCAGAATTCCACCCATCTTCAAGCATGCTGGCTGGGGAATTCTGGGAGTTGAAGTCCGCCTATCTTAAAGCATGCTTTGTGGGGAATTCTGGGAATTGAAGTCCACCCGTCTTAAAGCATGCTGGCCTGGGGAATTCTGGGAATTGAAATCCACCCGTCTTAAAGCATGCTGGTTGGGGGATTCTGGGAATTGAAATCCACCCGTCTTAAAGCATGCTGGCCTGGGGAATTCTGGGAATTGAAATCCACCCGTCTTAAAGCATGCTGGTTGGGGGATTCTGGGAGTTGAAGTCCACCTATCTTAAAGCATGCTGACTGGGGAATTCTGGGAGTTGGAGTCCACCCATCTTAAAGCATGCTGGCTGGGGAATTCTGGGAGTTGAAGTTCCCCCATATTAAAGCATGCTGGCCTTGGGAATTCTGGGAGTTAGAATCCACCCATCTTAAAGCATGCTGGCTGGGGGATTCTGGGAGTTGGAGTCCACCCATCTTAAAGGGGCCACGCTGGAGACACACTGACCTAGAGATTTGCTGGTTGGAAATATTCAAATGCTTCAGAAGCCAGGGAGCTGCTGGACGACTGCTGACTAGGGAGACCCCCTGAGAATTTGGGGAAGGGTGGGGGGGGGAGAGAAGCCAACGGTTCTTTTCTCATCTCAGGATGTTTGTCTACACCGCCCTGCCAGGCTGGGCAACCCTAAAAAAAAAAACGAACAACCCCGTGCTGCTCTTTTTCGTTCCCTAGAGCCCTTCGCAAGGCCCTGAGCCACCTGGAGATGCGCCGGGCTGCTCGCCGTCCCAACCTGCCGGTGAAGGTGAAGTCAGTCCTGCCGCTCAGGCCTCTGGGGGCTCCCCTGTTGCCCGTCCCCCCAGTCCATCCTGCCAGCACCAGCGAACCCATCATCCTGGAAGACTGAGTGCTGAGCTCCTCTCGCAGCCCCTCTAGGAATCCGCTAGCCACCTCTGCCCAGCCCCTCGAAATCCACGCCGGAGGGCCCTTTCCGTCGCCAAGCACTTCGCTGGTTACGGGCCGGGAGGGTTTGGTGGTTGGGGGGGGGCGGGCCTGCCTGCCCCCTCTTCCCCCCCTCCCCCGGGGTTGGATCCTGGGGGGGGCGGGCGGTCTCCCACCCTCTCTTTTTTATATATAAATATATTTTTAATTTCCACATTTTACATTTGTACTCCCCTTCCCCTCCCTTCCCCTCCCTCCCTTTCTCTGCTCCTCGCTGATCTGAATGCACAAAGTCGCGCCTGCGTCCGTAATTTTTTTTTTTTTGGTTTTTTTTTTTTTTTTTTTTTAGGGGCGCCTTCATTTTTCGCCTTCCTCCTCGTTTAGGGACGAGGGAGGTGGGGGCGACGTTAAGAGAGGCGTGGGGTGGGGAGGGACCGTTTCGAAACGGCGTTCCTTTTCCACCGGATCTCTCTCTTTTTCCCCCCCCCTCCCCTTTCTCGGTGTCGTTTTCTCTTCCTCGCATCCCCTAAAACCTCCTCTCTTCTCTTCCTCCTCCCTCCCCAATTTGGGAACAAGGAGCCCCCTCCTCTCTTTTCCCCCCTCCCTCCCCTTCTCAGCCTTTGACGAATTCCCTTTTTTTTGTACATGGTTTTGGAGAGCAAAAAAAAAAAAATGTCAGGTTTTTTTAAAGTCGGTCTCTAACTGGTTCTTATAGCGACGACAACGAAAAAAAATAAATAAATGAATAAATGCCGTTTTCTTCACTCCGTTTCTCTTGCTGATGGTTTTTTTGGGGGGAGAGGGAGAAGCAGGGACTTCACTTCGAAGGCCACCCTCAATGACAAGACGTGGCCGATTTTCTTTGCCAGCTTTCCTCTGCGGCTTTGGTAAGAATTTGAGAAAAGGGCAGGTTTTCTTTTATCCAGAGTTCTTGCTCTGCTATGGTGGCTGACAGTTTGTTTGGGAAATTAATCCAATAGAATGGAATGGAATAGAATAATAGAATTGGAATGGAATAAGAATGGAATGGAATGGAATGGAATAGAATAATAATAGAATAGAATAGAATAGGAATAGAATAATAAAAGAATAGAATAATAGAATAGGAGTGGAATGGAATGGAGTAGAGTAGAGTAGAGTAGAGTAGAGTAGAATAGAATAGAATAGAATGGAATAAAATAGGAATGGAATAATAATAGAATAGAATAATAGAATAGGAACGGAATAAGAATGGAATGGAATAATAAAATAGGAATGGAATAATAATAGAATAGAATAATAGAATAGGAATGGAATGGAATAATAATAGAATAGAATAGGAATGGAATAATAATAGAATAGAATAGAATGGAATGGAATAATAAAATAGGAATGGAATAATAATAGAATAGAATAATAGAATAGGAATGGAATGGAATAATAATAGAATAGAATAGGAATGGAATAATAATAGAATAGAATAGAATAGAATAGAATGGAATAATAAAATAGGAATGGAATAATAATAGAATAGAAGAATAGAATAGGAATGGAATGGAATAATAGAATAGAATAATAATAGAATAGAATAGGAATGGAATAATAATAGAATAGAATAATAGAATAGGAGTGGAATGGAATGGAATAATGGAATAATAATAGAATGGAATAAGGCATTAAGGCGTAAGGCAGGACTAGAACTCCCTGTCTCCTGATGCTTGGCACAAGTTAAGCCAGTGGGCCTTCATGCCTAAGATAGAACTAGAACTCCCTGTCTTCTGGTGATCAGCCGAAGTCACCCAGTTCTTTCATATCTAAAGTAGGACTGGAACTCCCAGTCTCCTGATGATCGGCCCAAAATCACTCAGTTCCTTCATGCTAAAGGGAGGACTAGAACTCCCGTCTCCTGGTGATTGGCCAGTCACCTAGTTCTTTTCATGCCTAAATTAGAATTCGAACTCACCATCTCCTGGTGATTGGCCCAAAGTCACCCAGTTTTTTTTTTTTCATGCCTAAAGCAGGACTAGAACTCACCATCTCCTGGTGATTGGCCCAAAGCCATCCAGTACCTTTCATACTTAAAAGTAGAACTAGAAGTCAAGTCTCCTAGTTTCTAACCAGTGACTTAATTACTAAAGCAAGCCAGCTAGAGAAAAAGTTTATTTAGCTTTGATTTTGAATTATATTATTGGGATTAGGAAACTTTTTCTACGCAGCTCATCTTCTCATGTTTAAACGGACAGATCCAGTATCTTCCTGGTAGCAAGAAGCCAATGGCAGGAAGATCTCATACATAGAGTAGATATTAGTAGATTAATTTAAGACTCTTTTTTTCTCTGACTTTCAGCTCTTCCCATCTAGCATAAAATCTCTTCCAGGACTCCAGCTCTCTCCTTCTGTGCTATCCGGTCAGGCTCCCCTTTTATACCTTTTCCCTCCAAGCCAGCTCTCACCTGATCGGTGGCCTCGTTCCTTGGCCCTGGCGCCAGTTGTTAGGTTTGCCTATGGCTTGGTTGCAAGGTGTCGACCTCTGCTTCCTTCTGTAAAGCCTGAATTCAGCGAGGACAAAAAAAATCAAGCTGAATTCAGGAGAGTTTCCTGTTCAAACAGGAACTCCCGTGGAAGGAATTTAAAATAGCAATTTAAAATATATTATTTTTTAATTAAAATGACATCTATCCCTCCTCAATGTTTATCTTTTATTATTTAGCACTGGGAAGCGGTATATAAGCAGTGGGGAAATTCAATTTTGTTTTACTACCGGTCCTGTGGGTGTGGCTTGGTGGGCGTGGCAGGGGAAGGATACTGCAAAATCCCCATTCCCATCCCACTCGGGGGCCAGCCAGAGATGGTTATTTGCTGGTTCTCCGAACTACTCAAAATTTCCGCTTCTCCAGAACCTGCTGGATTTCAGCCTTAAGTGCTATTGCTTATCTACCTACCTATCTATCCATCATCTCCATCTCTCTTATCCATTCATTGGTCCATCCATCCATCTATCATGTCTCTATATCTCTTGCCGCTATGTTCATTCTATCTATCTATCTATCTATCTATCTATCTATCTATCTATCTATCTATCTATCTATCTATCTATCGGTATCTCTCTCTAATCTCTCTCTCTAACCTATCTGTAATCTATCTCCTCTCTCTCTCTCTCTCTCACACACACACACACACCTATCTCTCTAACCTATCTCTATCTATCCCTATCTATCTATTGGTATCTCTCTAATCTATTTCTAACCTTCTGTCTCTATCTCTTATCTCTATCTATCCCTATCTATCTATTGGTATTTCTAATCTATCTCTAACCTATGTCTCTCTGTCTCTTATTTCTCTATCTGTCTCTCTATCTATCCCTATCTATTGGTATCTCTCTAATCTATTTCTAACCTATCTGTCTCTATCTCTCTATCTATCCCTATCTATCTATCTATCTATCTATTGGTATCTCTCTAATCTATCTCTAACCTATATCTATCTCTTTATCTCTTTATCTCTTTATCTCTATCAATCAATCTGTCTCTATCATCGGTATCTCTCTCTAACCTATCTGTCTCTCTATCTCTTATCTATCTATCTATCTATCTATCATTTATCTATCGGTATCTCTCTCTAATCTCTCTCTCTAACCTATCTGTAATCTATCTCCTCTCTCTCTCTCACACACACACACACCTATCTCTCTAACCTATCTCTATCTATCCCTATCTATCTATTGGTATCTCTCTAATCTATTTCTAACCTTCTGTCTCTATCTCTTATCTCTCTCTATCTATCCCTATCTATCTATTGGTATCTCTCTAATCTATCTCTAACCTATGTCTCTCTGTCTCTTATTTCTCTATCTGTCTCTCTATCTATCCCTATCTATTGGTATCTCTCTAATCTATTTCTAACCTATCTGTCTCTCTATCTCTCTATCTATCCCTATCTATCTATCTATCTATCTATCTATCTATCTATCTATCTATCTATCTATCTATTGGTATCTCTCTAATCTATCTCTAACCTATATCTATCTCTTTATCTCTTTATCTCTTTATCTCAATCAATCAATCTGTCTCTATCATCGGTATCTCTCTCTAACCTATCTGTCTCTCTATCTCTTATCTATCTATCTATCTATCATTTATCTATCGGTATCTCTCTCTAATCTCTCTCTCTAACCTATCTGTAATCTATCTCCTCTCTCTCTCTCACACACACACACACACCTATCTCTCTAACCTATCTCTATCTATCCCTATCTATCTATTGGTATCTCTCTAATCTATTTCTAACCTTCTGTCTCTATCTCTTATCTCTCTCTATCTATCCCTATCTATCTATTGGTATCTCTCTAATCTATCTCTAACCTATGTCTCTCTGTCTCTTATCTCTCTATCTGTCTCTCTATCTATCCCTATCTATCTATTGGTATCTCTCTAATCTATTTCTAACCTATCTGTCTCTCTATCTCTTTGTCTATCTATCCCTATCTATCTATCTATCTATTGGTATCTCTCTAATCTATCTCTAACCTATATCTCTTTATCTCTATCAATCAATCTGTCTCTATCTATCATCGGTATCTCTCTCTAACCTATCTGTCTCTCTATATCTATCTATCTATCTATCTATCTATCTATCTATCTATCTATCTATCTATCTATAACCTCTCTCTCTCTCTCTCTCTCTCTCTCTCTCTCTCTCTCCTAATGTAATCTAATTATCTATCTATTAATCTAATTTAATCTATATCTATCTCCTAATCTAATTACCTATCTAATTTATGCTCCTGCTTTATTTTTCCAACACAGATTATCAGTGATTAACCACTGGAGGTTTTAAAGAAAAGAATGGACAGTCACCTGCCCCAAACGGTATAGGTTGCCCTGCTTATGCAGGGGGTTGGAGTAGAAGACCTCCAAGGTCTTCTTCCAGCTCCTACCAACCAGAATAGAGCTGGAAGGGACCCTGGAGGTCGTCTAGTCTCCTAGAATGCTAACCTTTCAGTGCTTTTCCCAAACGAGCCCTCAACCGGATCACAGTACAGCCCAAGTTGTCTAAAACACCTTTAAAATCCTAAATTTTGGGCAAAAGCCAGAAAAAGCAATTTTGTCGCTTCTAGGGCAAAATCGTGCATCGGTAACTTATTTTATTTGGCTATATTTGATTGCTATAAAATGCAGCACGTTGAATAATAAATAAGCATGGAAAACCGAGTTCGGTTTCCACCCGGAAGTTTGGCTAAAAAGCTGGCTAATTCGTGGACGCTGCCGGCCCTACAAGAATTTTGCTTCTTTTTCTACCTCTATGGAGACGCGAAGCCACTCAAGCCACCTCTTCCTTCTCGGCCACTCAAGGGGCGAACTTCGAACGGGATCCGGAAGTTTCAGCGGATAAAACTTCGATTGCTTCCTTTATCTCTATGATCGTGACGTCCTCAGACGGATATCACATGATACACTCTAATAGCCGCTTCGACCTTTCAGGCAAAAAAAAAAAAAACCCATAAAGGTGTAGAGCAAGAGCGGCAAAATCATTTTGGGCGGAACTTCCGTGAAGACAGGCCAGCTTCCGGCCGTGGAGGGAAATGGAGGAAGAAGGAGCGGCGGCCGATGTGGACTCTCTGCCCCGCGGGGCTTTTCGGTGCCGTCTGTGTCACGTGACGGTGGCCAACCGTGAGTGGGGTCAAGGGTCAAGCAGGGGCCTAAGGCCGTAAAATTAAATTAAATTTAGAATAAACTCCTCAAATCGAGGTTTTAGGGCTACTTTTGGCACGTGGGGAGTTCTGACCTAATAAAAATGGGGCAGGGTGTGGCTAAAGATAAGATAATTTGGCAGCACTCTGCCCATGGTCAGAGGCACTCTTGTCCCTTTTTCTTAAAAAAAGTAAAACGTTGGTTCTTTTTCAGCTTTCCTTTGAAACCTCCTTCCTTTGCAACCAAAGAGGAATTTGGAGCCCAAGGGGTCCAGTCCTGCAAATTTAATTAAGCATAAATTAAAGATAAATGGAGATTCCACCCTTCCCCCAAAAAATAGCTTGCTGAAATTATGATGGTCACTGAACCAAGATGTGGCTATATATATATCCAACATAACCACAATAATGAAAGAAACTCTCTTTAAGATTTTTGAATGCAGCTCAGAATCTGATAAATCCAACGAAACTGGATTTTTCTAAAATAAACCTAATATAAAATAGCTTAAGATGCAGTGAGCCCATGTAGAACCTCATCTTCCGAGGCAGGTTTTTTTTTTTAATTAAAATAATATTTATTAAATTCCCAAAGATTAAAATACACAGTACAAAAAAAAACATAATGCGCAAAAAAAGCAAGAAGAAAAAAACACGCATACAAAAAACAAAAGACATAAACAACCAAAAACAAACATCAAAATTTCAATACTAATAGCAACTTTTCTGCCGAGGCAGAGGTGGTTTTTTTTCCCGTTCCCTTTCTGAGAAGCGTTAAAAGGTTGAAGAAAGCTGGAGCAATTGCCTTTCGCTCAGTAAAATACATTCCTTGTGATTTTTCCCAAAACTGCAAATGAAGAATGGTTGCTTTGATGTTTTAGAGCCCAGCTTGGATGATCATCTGCGTGGGAAAAAACACCAGCGCCTGGAAAACCTTCGTAGCGTCCGTCAATCTCAGGAACTCCGCAGTATTTTTGTCAGCGGGTTCCAGAAAGGGACAACAGCCTTGGAGCTGAGCAGCTATTTCGAAACCTACGGGAATGTAATCAATGTGGTGATGGACAAAGATAAGGTGAATCTGATCCCTTTCCCCCTTGCTATAGGCCAATGGGGGCGAACCGTTTTGGCATCGAGTGCTGAAACGGGACTGTACGTGCCTGCATGTACACATCGGCACACTGGGAAGATGATCTTCCATTTTCCGGTGTGCAGCTGGTCTTTGCGCGCACATGCGTGCCAGAAATGGGAAGACCAGGTGGCCGGAGTGCAGGCGCATTCCGGAAACTGGAAGGACGGATGCTCTTCTGGTTTAGAATAGAATAACAGTGTTGGAAGGGACCTTGGAGGTGTTCTAATCCAGGGATCTGCAACCTTAAACACACAAAGAGCCATTTGGACCCATTTCCCGCAGAAAAGAAAACACCGGGAGTCACAAAAACCTTCCCGTGCCTAACTTATTTCTTGAGCAGCCACAAAACTAGCATATGTAATTGAATTAAACATTCTGTTTTCTTCTGAAACTTTTCATTTCTTCCATTTATCCATGGTTGGCCTACCGGGGGTAGAAAAGCTCAACAAATCGTGTGCTGGCGGGTGTCGCACATTGGCGATTGTGATGCATATTTTGAGTGACAGGGAGCCGCAGCAGAGGGGTGAAAGAACCACATGCGGCTCCAGAGCCGCAGGTTGCTGACCCCTCTTCTAGTCCAACCTCTTGCTTATGCAGGAAACCCTACACCACTTCAGACAAATGGTGATCCAACATCTTCTTAAAAACTTCCAGTGTTGGAACATTCACCATTTCTGGAGGCAAGTTGTTCCACTGATTAATTGTTCTAACTGTCAAGAGCAGCTGGCCGGTGAGCCAGCACCTGGAAGAACAAACGGAGACGGCTTGCGTAGCCGGAGAGATGGCTCTGCGTGCCACTTCTGGCACGCATGCCATAGGTTTGCCATCACGGCTTTAGGCTGTCACTTATGATTGATTAAAAAAAGAAGTCATGGGGAAAATTTGCAAGCTTAATGCTCCTTTCCTTTTTCTGCAGGGGGTCTATGCAATTGTGGAACTGCAGGACGAGGAGATACTCCAGAAAGTATTAGCAGAGCCACAACATAGTCTAGGGGGCCAGAAATTACGTGTCAAGCCGCGTGAGAAGAAGGATTTCAGATACACCCCGCCAAAAAAACAGGGGTCAGCCAGGCGGGAGCAGCTGAGCCCGGAGAAATTGGCACAAAACATCTGCCAAGTGGATGATGTAAGTGTCTGGGAGTTGAAGTCCACCCATCTTAAAGCATGCTGGCTAGGGAATTCTGGGAGTTGAACTTCCCCTATCTTAAAGTTGCCAAGTTTGAAAAAAAACACTGTCGTGGAGGATTCAATCTTCAAAAAGGCTTTTGGGGAATGTCGTAAAGAATTCCTCTGAATACAGTTGGTTGCAGAAAAACCTTCATATATTTTTTTCCCCCTGCAGGTCGATGCCCAGATGTCTTTAATGGTGCAACTGTTTGAATTTTCCGAGAGCGAGCAGCGACTACGAGACTTGCTCGTCAAGCTGTTCCAGGAGGTGTTTTCTGAATTCTTCCCAGGTGAAGCTCACTTTTTGCCCTCTGCTTCGATTGGATATTAGGAAAGTTTCTGGTTTTACAACTGGTCTTTTTTCCCCCAAACACACAGAATCGGTCATCCTTCCCTTTGGGTCTTCCGTGAACGGCTTCAGCGTCTCTGGATGTGACTTGGATTTATTCCTGGATCTGGAGAAGACGAAAAACTTCCAGGCGTCTGCCAAGACAACTGATAAGCCACTGGTGAGGAAAAGAGGCTGGGTTAAATCTTGGTCAAATGGAGATGTTTGTTTTGTCCCATCTCTCTTGTTAGAGATAGGAAACCTTCGTTAAACTTGGCAAGACCACTGGTGACTGCTTTGCGTCAGTGTTTTTTCAACCAGCCAATTTATGAGGGGTGGACTTCAACTCCCAGAATTCCCCAGCCAGCATGCTTTAAGGGGGTGTGGGCTTCGACTCCCAGAATTCCCCAGCCAGGAAATTTTGGATTCAGTTGTGGTCGTAGGTTTATGCACTCTTGGATTTATTCCTCTCTCAATTCTTTTTCAGGCAGAGGAAGAAGCCACTGAAATGGAATCTCGCTCCGAAGATTCGATCTTGTCTGACATTGACCTGGTCACAGCCACCGTGCCTGAAATCCTCGATCTGGTGGCCACCGTGCTGCAGAAATGCGTGCCAGGAGTTCACCACGTCCAGGTGGTCTCCACCGCCCGCCGTCCCGTTGTCAAATTTTGCCACAAGGAGTCCGGCTTGAGGGGCGACATCTCCATAAACAACAAGTACGGAATTCGTATCTCTTTAGCAAAGTTTTCTACTCGGTCAAGATCAGCCTGTTTCAGCAGGTTACAGATAGTCCTCGCATTAAAATAATTCGTTCGGTGGCCGGACATTACAACGGCACTGAAAAAAAGATGACTTACGACCGTTTTCACACTTACAACCATAGCAACATGATGATACAGAACAATTAAAACTCAGGCCACACGTTTTCTGAATGGTTTTTATCCCAGCGCTATAATTGCACTCAATCATGAACTCAAGAGCCACGATCAGTGAGCTGTTGGACAGCATTACTTGGTCTATTGTGTTGATGTTTGGGTGGTTTAGGGGTGGGGAATTTGTGGGGGGTGGGGGGGTGTTTGTGGATTGATATGTATGTTGGGCCTGGTCTTTGGGTGTTACGTGAATTTCGTTGTATGGGTGTACTGTGTAACCAGTGTCATCAATCACATTTGCCAACGGAGCAATTTCCTGGGTTGTAGAGACCACTCCCCTCCAGCCGCTGTGGGTAACCCTGGGAGACAGCCTTGAGAGAGATATGTCTGGAATGTGCATCTGTCTTTGGCTGCCGTGATCCCCCCTTGCTTATGGCAACTTGAGAGAAGACCAGGGATGCTTTGCGAGTTGACAGTGTGATTTGCTTAACAATGACAATGAAGCGTAAAGTAACATCCCGATCAAGCGATCAAAATTCAGACATTTGGCAACTAGCTCATATTTATGACGGTTGCGGTATCCAGTAGTCACGTGATTCTCTTTTGCAGCCTTCTGACAAATAAGAGCCAGTGGGACAGCCGGATTCACTTAACCAACTGTGTGATTAAATTAACAACTGCACAACTGTGGCAAGGAAGGCTATACAACGGGCCAAAATTCAATACAGAGTTGTCTCCCTTAGCAACAGAAATTTTGGGCTCGACTGGGGTTATCAATCCAAGACAATCCGATATCGAACCAAACGTTTTGAGACATTTAGGCTCCGGATAACGGCAGAGAATCTGTGGGATTTAAGAGCAACGTTTCTCAGCCTTGTGAATTTTAAGGGGCGTGTGCACTTCAAGTTCCAGGATGCTGGCTGGGGAATTCTGGGAGCTGAAATCCACACCTCTTAAAAGTTGACAAGATTGAGAAAAGACTGATCGAATGGCAAAGGAGCCGGATTAAGATCGGGGAAATTTGAATTTAGGAGGGACCCGAAGAGAATATTGCAAGATATCCTGCTATAAAAGAAGCGGTTCAGCTCTGCACAGGATAATTCTGATTTATACTCCATTTTCTTCTTGCTTGACAGGCTGGCTCTGTGTAACACCCGCTTCCTGCAGTTTTGCACAGAAGCGGATGAGCGTGTGAGGCCTCTGGTTTACGCAGTGCGCTACTGGGCGAAGCAGCAAGGATTGGCAGGTAAAATGGAAAAGCTGGATGGATGCATGGGAAGAGAGGGAAAGGGAGAAGGAAGGAATGAGGCAGAGAGGAAGGAAAAAGATAAGGAGAGGAAGGAAGGATGTATGGAAGAAAGGAAGGAAGAATGCATGGCAGGAAGGAAGGAAAGAAGGGAGGGAGAGAGGGAAAGGGAAAAGGAAGGAATGAGGGGAAAGAAGGAAAAAATAAATTAGGAAGAAGGAAGGATAGCTGAATAACAGTTGGAATGGATGTTTGACGTCTTCTAGTCCAATCCCTGGATGGATGGATAGATGAATGGATGGATGGAAGGAAGAAAGGAAGGAAGGGATGATGCAGAGAAGAAGAAAAGAAAGAAGATAAGGAAGGAAAATCAACGTGAAAAGTCATTTAAAAGGGTGAAGTTGTTTGAGTTGGCCCTCCTTTTCCTCCTAATGCCCTCCCCTCCTCATTTTTTATTTTTTTGCAGGAAATCTTTTTGGTGGAGGCCCCCTCCTCAATAACTACGCACTGACATTGCTGGTATTCTTCTTCCTACAGACACGCAGCCCTCCCGTCTTACCGACGGTAGCCCAATTGAAGGATCTTTCAGGTGAATGTCGGGGTTCCAAGTAATACACCCAACAGAATCAAAACTCCCAAAGTGTAGATTTATTAGGCATGTCATATTGGCATGTCCGGGGAAACCCGAGGGGGGGGGTTAACGTCTAATCGCCCCCCCCCTTGGGTTTCCCCCCAGTTAAAAGTAAATTTTTCCTTCCCCTGCCGATGCGATCCATCGCAAGGTCCAATCAGGTTGCAGTCCAAGGGTCAGTTGGTCTCAAACTGCACCTCCTTGCACCTGGCAGGAAGGGCCTTGGTTCTCACAAGAAAGAATTTTATTATGGCTACAAAACCATAATTTGTCGGTTTTGGCCGACAATAATTTTTTTTTTTCCATCCTCTTCCCATCTTTTTTCCCCTCTCTTCTCAGATGATGGAGAACTGACGGTGGTGGACGGCTGGGACTGCACTTTCCCTAAAGATCCGGCTTCGTTGCAACCCAGCGGGAACACAGAGAGCTGTTGTGAGTTGCTAACAAAGAGTTTTTAAGTTGGATTTCTTTTTTTATTTAAATACAGGCAGTTAATTCTCAATTTACGACCGTTCGTTCTGCAACTCTTTGAATCATGACGGCACTGAGCGAGTGAGGGTTAGGACCAGTCCTTGAAAAATGTGACTTATGTCGCCCTGAATCTGTTTTCACGGTGATGTATAAATGTAACTAATAAATTAATACAGATAATCCTCAAGTTATGAACACAATTGGGAAGAGAATTTCCATTGCTAATCAAGGCAGGTATTAAGTGAGTTACACCATGATTTTATGACCTTTTTTGCCCTGGTTGTTAAGCAAATCACACTGTCAACTCGCAAAGCATCCCTGGCCTTCTCCCGAGTTGCCATAAGCAAGGGGGGATCACGGCAGCCAAAGACAGATGCACATTCCAGACATATCTCTCTCAAGGCTGTCTCCCAGGGTTACCCACAGCGGCTGGATGGGAGTACTGACATGAATACGGTTGCACAATTAATTCCATAATGAAACTGCCATGTTCACTCACTTAGAAAGCTAAGTCACCCATCCTGGTTTAGCACACATAACAAGCTCCAAATCAGAGCTTGGCTAGAAAAACTCAACGTTCCCTAATGCTCACATTTGTCTCCTTCGTTCCAGGCTCCCTTCTGGCTGAGTTTTTTCGCGTCTTCGAAAGCTACAATTTCGCCAGTGGGGTGATCTCCCTGCGCGAGAGCCGGTCACTCCCTCTCTCCGATTTCCTGTTATCCGACGCTGGTCAGAAATTCAAGATGGGCCCCGTCAACCTCCAGGATCCTTTTGAGCTGAGCCACAATGTAGCGGCCAACGTCAACGAAAAGACGGCGCTGCGTCTACAGCGGAGTTGCCAGGACGCTGCCAAATACTGCCGGAGTTTGCAATACCAACGTAAATCCAGCAAGGGGAAGAACTGGGGGCTGGTTCGTCTCTTTCAGCCCGGCAGCCCTCAAGCTGCGGAACGGCAGGTTATCCTCCTCCCCTTAATGCCGGCGACACAATCTCTGGGGTCCCACTCGGAGCTGCACCCGAGCAGGGATTTTCCCCAGCTCTGGTTTCGAAGAGTGTGCGCAGGCGTCTCATTTATCCTGCAGCACGTGTTGAAATGCAGCTGCTCGGAGAATTCACAGGGACTCGGAGACGATCGGGAATCCCTCAGCAGCGATCCGGAGGAGGAGGAGCAGCTGAACACCAGAACCGAACAATTGTCGGTGGGTTCCAAGCGACCTCCAGACGTAGAAGATGCAGAGTTGGGTTCTCCTCCTGCGAAGAAACCGCGGACGGAGTGTTCCCTTCCCGAGGCAGAAAGTGTGACATGGGACTGCACCGCCTGGCACCGTGTCTGGTTAGGAAGACGCCGCGTCCGGCGACAAATCAGCAGCCCGGAAACGGATCCTAAAAGAACCGCTGATCCCTTAGAGCTGGAAGGCAAAGTATCAGAGGCGATTTCCCAACAGGAGCGGCAAACCAGGCCCGTAGATCCGCTATTTGGATTCACCGTTTGCGCCATGATCAGGGACGGTGGTTCTGGGGAACACGACCCACAGGTCAGCCTAAATTTCACCCCACACCCTGAACAGGGAGCGGTTTTTCAAGATTTTTTTCATTTCCTACAAGGTTTTCTACCCCGAATGGTCGAGCAGTACCTGACCACCAAGCCTTCAGACCGACATATCCCAGAAGACAAATCTTCTATCGGGGATGATATTTGAAATTTCTTAAGACCATGGCAGAATTCTGTATTTAGATAATGTTTTCCATTCTGGCTGTCGGTGAAAATAAAAAGAAACGGAGAGAAAAAAAAAATTGAAACCTGTTTCCTTTTGCGTTTTTTTGAGTTCTTGGTCGTTGATCCACTCATGATGTAATCATGAGGATTGTTGGTCACCAATGACTGAACGAACCCTTATCGTCTTAAACAAATGAATGTCTTTTTTTTTTCCCCCTCTTCAAAATAATTTTATTGAATGTTTAGTTTTACCCTTTTAAAACCACAGAGAAGGAAAAAGAAATTTTAAATTTCTTTTTCTTCTTCTTCCGTCGTGCCCTTAAAACCCATTTTTTCAAGCAAGCCGGGCTGGCTTAAGATGAAATTTTTAATTGTTTTTAAATGTTTTAAACGTTTTAATTGGTAAGGAGTTTTAATTTGGCCAAATTTATATATCTTTTAATTGTTTTTTAATATTTGTCCTGCATGTTTTTTAATTTTGGCTGTACACCGCCCTGAGTCCTCCGGGAGAAGGGCAGTATAGAAATTCAATAATTAAGAAAGAAAGAAAGAAAGAAAGAAAGAAAGAAAGAAAGAAAGAAAGAAAGAAAGAAAGAAAGAAAGAAAGAAAGAAAGAAAAGAAATAAAAGGAGGAGAACAAAATAAGAAAAAAAGAAAATATAAAAGTATATAGTTCTTTGTATAGTTTACAAACTGTCTTGATGACCAAGCTTCAACTACACGGAGGGGAGTTATGTGTAAACCAGAACTTTGGTGCTCTCTGAGCTTTGTTATTTTCTTGTAGACGTTTCATGACCCAACTAAGTAACATCATCCATGTTAGAAGGGGGAATTTGCAACAAAACCCCACTCCTTTTCAGCACTGGATGATGTTACCTAGTTGGGTCATGAAACGTCTACAAGAAAATAACCAAGAGCACCAAGGACCCCTTATCTCTCTGTTGTCTCATGTATGGCACTTCAGTTGTGCATTCCTTCTGCAGCTGAGTATTTATAAATTTATTAATTGGTGCAATAAAACAAATACGTCAATTAGAATTGCTAGAACGGTGACAGCTTTAAAGATGGGCATTGCAAAACATAGATCCCAAAATCTTATACGCATGTGGTTTGGGAGCACTCTGTACATGCTTAGGGACACTATCGTTTGGAGGAGAGCTTGCAATCAGAATGAGGAAGTTTTCCCCAAATTCAGCCACCATTTTTAAAAACCCCTCCCACTACGCATGCGCGCCCTTTCGGGCCTTCCCTCTCTTATCGCGCTTGCGCCACCGCTCCGGCCTTTCCCGCGCTTTTTTTCTCTCCCCCCCCTCCTCTCCACGGCTAATCCATAGAGATACGAAAACTTGTAGAAGAACCTTTGTAAGCAAATCCAGTTTTGGGGCTCAAATGTAAGTTTACTTTTTCATATCAAGGATTGGCCGCGATTGCTCAATTGTACATTCAAAATCTGCACGCTGCCTACTTTTTTTTTTTATTACATTCCAACAGCAGGGAGTTGTGTGAAATTAAATCCATGGCAAAACACCTCCAAATGGGTATCTCTATATCTACAACAACTCATGTCTGTCATTTAGTATCTCTATCGTTAAATGTACCCACAACCCTCCGCGCGCCAAAGACCCCCATGAGAGACTCTCTATTGGAGTGGGCGGAGCATTTCCCATCGTGCCCCGCGGCCCCCGAGTATTTAACTCTTTCGGAGCCGGTTCCGATTTCTTTTTTCGAAGCGGCCTGCGGTGGATCCAGGCAAGAGGTGCGTTGCTCTTAATCCGTCGCCATCCGCGGCCTGCGGGAAGGTCAGCCCCAGCCCAGTTCGCCCGATCTCTTTCCAAAGATCCCCTCTTCCTAATGGAGGCAATATTGGGATCCACTAGATCGAGAGAAAAAAAAAAGATCCCGGGCCAAGGGAAGGTGGGAAAAAAATCAATGCATGGCAAGCAAAAAATAGGATCTCTGCAAAGCAAAATCTTTGCATTTTGGGGGGAAGGTTGGAAGGTTAAATATTTATTTTTTTAAAAAAATTATATATTGTGCATCTATATGAAGATTTTTTATTTCCTGGAGAGGGAAGAGAGAAATGCGATTTAAAAGCAGGCAATTTGGGAAGATATTTTTGTTTGGGAAGGGAGGCTGAAATTTGGATTTTTTTGCTTTTGCAAACTGCTTTAGAAGTGCTCTGCGTTTGCAATTGTCTAAAAAAAAAATGGTGCTGTAAAAGCTAATTTTAAATTTTGCAAGCCTAGTCCAATGGGCTTTTTATTTTTATTTTTTTTTAATAAATCGGAGTCTTTCGGTAATAAAATTAACACATTTTGGGTTTGGGAGGGAGGCTTTAATTTGGATTTTGCTTTTGCAAACTGCTTTAAAAGTGCTCTGCGTTTGCAATTATCTAAAAAAAAATGGTGCTGTAAAAGCTAATTTTAAATTTTGCAAGCCTAGTCCAATGGGCTTTTTATTTTATTTTATTTTTTTAATAAATCGGAATCTTTCGGTAATAAAATTAACACATTTTGGGTTTGGGAGGGAGGCTTAATTTGGATTTTGCTTTTGCAAACTGCTTTAAAAGTGCTCTGCGTTTGCAATTATCTAAAAAAAAATGGTGCTGTAAAAGCTAATTTTAAATTTTGCAAGCCTAGTCCAATGGGCTTTTTATTTTTATTTTTTTTTAAATAAATCGGAGTCTTTCGGTAATAAAATTTTGGGTTTGGGAGGGAGGCTTAATTTGGATTTTGCTTTTGCAAGTTCCTTTAAAAGGGCAATAATGCATTTCCAATTATTTTTTAAAAAGATTGCCGTAAAAGCTAATTTTAAATTTTGCAAGCCTAATTCAATGGGCTTTTTTTCTTTTTTCTTTTCATAAAGCGGAGTCTTTCGGTGATGAAATTAACACAGACCTGTTCTGAACTGTGCTGTGAGGATGTTTTTAATTTTCTGATAAAGACTCCAGCCTCATGTTGCCATATGGTTTGGTGTTAAAACCTCGATAAATTGTATTGATAACTAGCTTTTTTTTTTCTCTACAGGTTGGGCAGATGGGATTCTGCAGCTCAGCATTCCAGGTGAGACGGGCTTTTTAAAGAGAAGCACTTGGTGTTTAAATTTCCTTTTAAAAAAAAAAAGATTGAACTGTAAAGCCAGCTATTCTGCAGGCGGCTGCAGTATTTATTTCCTGCAGTATTTATTTATTTATTTGGAAATTTATATTATATTTATATTATATTTATATGTTCCAACAGGCGGGGCTAAACATACGAACATGTGAATGATTTTTTAAATGTTATCTAATTCTGGGTTTTATTTAATTGACCAAACTAAGTAATAATTTTAATTAGCAATTTTATGATGTTTGTGTGTCTATATTTTTCTTGACTGTACACCGCCTTGAGTCCTACGGCGGTATAGAAATATAATAAATAAATAAATAAATAAATAAATATTACCACCTATTTGCATATGCGGCTATAAAAGACAAAGAATTGATCCATGAAATTAGCAATTGAAAAACTTGGCTTGGCTGCGGTTATCAATGAATCCCAATTTAATTTGATCAGTAAAAAAGGAAGAAATAGTTGGGAGTGGAATATATATATATATATATGTATGTATGTATATATAAATGTATATATAAATGTATATATGTATGTAGCCAGAGTTACATATAAATATGCAGAGTTAACTATATGTGGTCTGCAGTGGAATGTAGAAATAAAAAATAAATGGAAATTTATTAAAAGTAAAAAGAATATTACATTTGAAGGAAGTCAGCGAGATTTATATCTCCGCTAGTTGGTTTGAAGTTAGAAAAAGCTACAATGAAGAGATTTTGAACTCTCTCTTTCTGATGCTTTAATGGAGAAACGAAAGCAGTCTGAGTAGCCCAAAAAAGAGAATTAACCAACTGGATTCCAGAAATTGTCTAATTTTTTTTAAAAAAAGGCTTTGTGAGGTTTAGATGACAAGAGAAACATAAATAATCATTTTTCCTGTGGCTTGTTTTGCAGCTACAAGCAGCACGGATGTCTCTACGTTACAGGTAAGTAACGAAAAAGTGCAAAGTTCCCATTTAAAAATCATTTTAAAGTGATTTTACTCTGCTACGGGTAGTCCTTGGCTTACGGCCATAATTGAACCCCCCAAATCTCCGTTGCTAAGGAAAGACGATTAAGCGAGTTTTTTCTCATTTTACGACCTTATCACGGTGGTTAAGTGAATCACTACAGCTGTTAAATTAGCACGGTGGTTAAGTGAATCTTACTTCCTAGAAGGTCGCAAGAGGGGATCACATGACCCCCCGTTCCCTGTGGTTGTAACTGTCATAAGTGTGAATCAGTTGCCAAGCCTCTGAACTCCAGTGGCCATGGGAATGCCTTAATGGTTGTAAGTGAAATGTCACAAGTCACATTTTTTTCTTTGGATGGTTGTAAGTCGAGGACTGCCTGTTGTTTGTTTTCCAGTTGGCTGCTGGTGTACAGTCTTTAAAAATCTTTAGTATTACTTATTATTATTAGTAGTATTAGTTACCCAAGACACTTAATATCCATCCTGTGTTCCGTGATGAGCATAAAATAGACAAGCATATATCTGATGACGGCTGATGTTAAGTTAACCCTCTGAGAACACGCAAAATCTTAATTTTTTTAGGCGATAAGCTTGGAGCTGAAACGTATAATTTTTGAATTGTCTTGTTTTCTTTCTTTTTTTTTTTTCAGGGCACACGGTCTTGAACCTGAAAATTGGCCCAAAGGTTAAAAATGCCTCCTGGAGCTCTTTTTAAGAGGTGAGTTTGAAGGTTGTGGGTCCATCCATTGCGCGAGATGCTGTTGTGTGACCGAAAGGATGACTTTTGTTGTTGGACGACTTTTTTTAAGTCAAATGGCAATTGAGTTACCAAAGCCCTGATCGGCCAAACTTCTATCGAAACGCAAAATGGTTTTTCTTCCTTTTTTTTTTTCTTTTCTTTTACTAATCTGGGTTTTCTTTTCTATCCGACAGACAGATCCACTTTAAAGAAAGGTGAGTCCGTATTTAAGGGATATTTGATGGTGGGTTTTGGCTGGGCCTTTTAACTCTGTACAGGTAGTCCTTGGCTTATGGCCATAATTGAGGCCAAAACCTATCTTGGTTAAGTGAGCCTTGCCCTGATTTTATGAACTTTCTTGGCACCGTTGTTAAGTGAATCACTGCGGCTGTTAAATTAGCAACTCGGCGATGAAGCGAATCTGACTTTGACATGGCTTGTCAGGTCACAAAATCACATGACACTGCAACCGTCATAAATATGAGACAGTTGACAAGCGTCTGAATTTGATCACGTAGCTTGAGGATACCACAATGAACTTAAAAGCTTGGGGAAAACAAGTTGTGTTTTTTTTTTTTTTACAGTGCTGTTGTAACTTTGGCCAGTAAGTGAGCTTGTTGCAAGTCAAGGATTACCAGCCTATCACCCCTGCCAGTTTGGAGAAGGCGATGCTAGCCTATTACACCAGTCTGCAGCTTGGCCAGGCTGGTGTGGAGAGAGGGGAATGGTGGTGTATGAGCAGCGGCCCAGCACACGCGTGTAGCTCAACAAAAGTTGAACACGCGTGTTGAGTGGACACACAACCAGCACCCCTTCACTCACACAGTCTGATAGTGGCTGGGGAGTGTGTGGCTGCTTTTATTTTATTTTATTTTATATTATTATTTTATATTATATATATTTTATATATTATTATGCAAGACTAAGTGATTAAATCAGGCTACTCCTCGACTTACGACCGCCCTAGAAATTAGAGCTTTCATGGGTAAACAATGTTTTTTGTTTTTTTACGAATGTTTTAAAAATGTTAACATTTGTTAAACAAATGACTGCAGATAAGTGAATTGCATGGTTAAGCAAATCCTGCTTCCCCTGCTAACTTTCAATAAAAATAAAATAAAAATTTTTTAATTGCAAGGCACCTCTAGGTTAGATGGGGCTGTCCTATAAATTTAATATTAATTTAATATTAATTTAATATTAAACACTGAGCCAATGCACCAAAGACAAAATTCATTGTGTGTCCAATCACACTTGGCCAATAAGGAATTATATTCTATTTAAAAAAAATTACATTAAAAAGATGGGAGATGTAAAAAATTAAAGATTACATTAGAAGTCGTTAAAATCGACGACTCGTCGTCCCAGTGATGAAAACCTATCACGTCTTACCGTCTGTCTGGTGCCAGAACCTGCAAAGGTTGAACCCACTGGTGCCAGCTGATGGAAAAGAGGATGAATTTGCTTCGGAAGGAGCTGTCTGATGGGACCGGGCATCTTAAATCCTTTTTGTCTCCCAATAAATCCTCTTGAGAATCCCGAGTCCTGCTTTTTTTTGACATCATCATTGTAATTTATTTCAACAGCTTCCAAAAGGGAGATGAACCAGTAATAGGAAGATTGGCCCTCCTGCTTGGCTAAAGTAAGTTTCCAGCTGCTCAATTCGCAATTAATTTCGTCGACCAGCCTGGTTCCCGCTGATATGATGAGCTCAACACTTGGAATCTCGTTCGGCTGAATCTCCGCTGTTGAGAATCGGAATCTGAGCATCGGTTGGGAACTAGGCCAGGGTGAAGTTTGGGGGCGGGAGGTGAATCTTGAATCGCAGGTGTTTCCATAAGAGTTATGGACTTTTTAACTCCCCCAGCATGGCTGACGGGGGGATTCTGGGAGTTGGAAGTCTACAAATCTTAAAAGGTTCTTAAATTGAGAGCTTTAAGGACTCAGTGGCTAAAACACTGAGCTTGTCGATAGAAAGGTCGGCAGTTCAGCGGTTCGAATCCCTAGTGTTGCCCCATAACGGGGTGAGCTCCCGTGACTTGTCCCAGCCTCTGCCAACCTAGCAGTTTGAAAGCACGTAAAATGCAAGTAGAAAAATAGGTGGGAAGGGAACAGCGTTTTCCGTGCACCTTTGGCGTTGAGTCATGCCGGCCACATGACCATGGAGACGTCTTCGGACAGCGCTGGCTCTTTGGCTTTGAAACGGAGGTGAGCACCGACCCCTAGAGTCGGGAACGACGAGCACGTATGTGCGAGAGGAAGCTTTATCTTTTTAAGTCCACCGATCTTAAGGTTGCCAAAGTTGGACATCCCTGGTTTACAGCCTGACAATTTGGGAGTGAAAACAGACCTGAGCTTCGTTATAAGCAGGATAACCCCACATTTAATTGCTAGATTTTTCCTTGTTGGGGAGATTTCTTTGAGGCTGGTACTGAAGCTCTGCTCACAAACGGGTTTCTATTAACTGATGAATAAGGACTGGAATTACAACCTGGCTGGTGTATTTACGTATTCATGACACGTTATTTCCTACAGAATGGAGAAAACTGGTCACAGCGTTCCTGGATGATGGAGAATGAACGGGTAAGAAACGCCTTGAGATAGCTTTAATCTATGGGTCAGCCTGTAGGTCAGATCTGGCTCGGTCGGTGACTTTCCATATGGCCCACGAGCTAGGAATGGGTGGTAGACATAGATCTCAGCCTTGGTCCGGTTTCTAGACATCCTGAGGGTTGGAACTTGATTGGTTCAATTTATTTGCTGCCGATCTAGCTGCGGGACTACCATATAGGCGGTTTAGAGCAAAATTGGGGGGAAATGGCACTTCGGATTAGACTTCGGAGGTGGGTTTTAACACACAGTCTTGTGAGTGGTGCAGTGGCCTAGAGGTGGAGCTCTCGCCACACAATCAGGAGGTTGCGAGTTCGATCCTAGGTACAGGCAGATATTTCTCTCTCTGGGCACGATGAGAATAGATCTGCTGAACAAAACTCCGCATTGGTGACAGGGAAGGGCATCCAGCCAGTAAACACACTGCTAGCTCCATTCAGTTGCCCAGACTCCACACCCCCGATGCCAGGGATTATGGCGGTCGTTAAAAGACATAAATAAATGGGCGTTTTCAACCCTGCTACATTGCAGTTTTGATGATGAATACAACTAGCTCACTTTGAACATAAATGAAACGTCAGGAACTGCCTGAAAAACTGCAAAAGAGAACGAATTTTATCAGCTTTGATTCCTGATGGGTTCCCATTGCTGTATTTATGGAGAGTTGTTGATGTTTGGTTGTACACATGCTGCTTTTTTCTTTCCTCCTGCAGAAAATAACTTGGAAGGAACAGCCCAAAGCATAGGTGAGTGGATTTTCCTGCCTGTAAACATAAGTCTCAATTTACGAGCACAACTGAGTCCCAACACTTCTGTTTGTCAGCGTTCCAGCGCTGACATATGAAAGGAGAGGAGAAGCTTGAACTTTTGCCTACTTAATTCCTTTGAAGATTCTGTCTCCTCGGAGATGGGAGGAAGGGGGGACATTCCTGTGATCTGACGGAGATGGGAGGAGGAGAGTGGCTTAGAAGATAGCCAATGAGACGCAGAGAATTGGGGATCGGAAAGGGAAGGATTGGAGGGCCAAAGGTCAGTGCTGACCGTGAAAGAGCCAGGGACAGATCACTATGCTCAATAAAGAGAAAATTTCCTCAAAGATCGGCAGTTTGGAAATTCATTTATTTTGAGATTGAAACCTGACACTGTTACTGAGACGGTTGTTCTGTTAAGTTTTTTCTCCATTTTATGACCTACCTTGTCCCAGTGGTAACACGGTGGTTAAATGAATCTGGCTTCCCCATCGACTTCGCTTGTAGACGGTCGCAAAACATGACCCCAGGAACATTGCAACCGTCATTAATACGAGTCTGTGGCCAAGCATCTGAATTTTGATCATAAAAGCGTGAAAAATGTTAACAAGTCACATTTTTCAGTGCCATTGTTACTTTGAACTGCCAGTCAATGAATGGGTTGTAAGTGAAGGACTATCTAGACAAGATAAAGTTAGCAGAGTGAGACAAATCCACCTGGATTCATAGCTCTCGCTAAATCACAGTCTGGTTTGTTTTTGGCTTGGGGCAGTGGTGTGGTTAGTGGTGTGTAAACCAGGTTTTTGTGGTTTTTCTGAATGCTTGTCCCGGCTGGCTCTCAATGATGAGATCTTTACCGCCCCAGTCTGATTTCCTGTGACTGAGTGGTCCCTCTGATTTACCCCAAGGCCGGCTCTACTCTACAGTCGTGGCCAAAATCGTGGAAAACCTTTTGGGAAAAGTGTATTTTTGAGGTTTGATGGCTAATAACACTACTTTTTTTTTTCCTTTGGAGTTTCAAGATCATCCTATTCCACTGCTGGAATGGCCTGGGAATAGCCCAGATTTACACCCAATTCAAAATCTATGGAGCCGACTCAAGAAACTGGTTAGTCAGAAGCGACCCAGCAATAAAACCCAGTTAATAGAAGCCATCATTCAATCCTGGTTTCACATAGCAGCTGCAGAACTAAAAGACTTGGTTCCCTCCATGGGAAGACGTTGTAAAGCCGTCAGGTTACCCAACTAAGGATTAACTTGACAGGGTGATCATTTTTGAATAACTCATTTTTTTCTATGGTGATCATTTTTGTGTATCTTTTTTTCTATCTGTTTCCCTTTTTTTCTTTATACTGTAACGGCTATTCTAATAGCAAATCCTTCCTAAAAGTTACTGCATTACATTCTTGATTAAATTATCTTTCCATTGATATATAATTTTACGGTACTACTACCCAAAAAAAAAGTGTCATTAGCTAGTTTTAGAAAATAACACTTTTCCCAAAAGCTTTCCACAATTTTGGCCGCTACTGTAGGTCAGTCTGGGAATTTATGGCTTGCCTGCCTTCGCTAAATGATGCATTTTTTTTCCTCTTAAGATCAGATTTAACGCATGCTGGTCCTGCCATCTTTTTCCTTGCACAGGTGGACTCCAGGCTGTTTTTGCTGGACCCACAGAGCTTGAAATCTGCTATTTCCCACTGGAAGAGGTGAGAGCCCATTTCTAACACCAGACATCATAATAGTTTAAAAATGAGATTGCTTTTGCGGGAACAAGCTATCGAGAAGACAGATTGAAGTCTCTTTTTCTCAGATGGACAGGAATTTGTCTAGTGAAAAGAAAGTCTAGGGGGTGACACGATTAGCAGTCATCTAATATTTGAGGGGCTGCCCCAAAGAAGAGGGGAGCCCACCTATTTTCCAAAGCACCTGAAGGCAGGACAAGAAGCAATGAATGGAAACTAATCGAGGAGAGAAGCAACTTAGAACTAAGGAGAAATTTCCTGACAGTTAGAACAATTAACCAGTGGAACTGCTTGCCACCAGAAGTTGTGAATGTTCCAACACTGGAAGTTTTTAAGAAGATGGTGGATAATCCTTTGTCTGAAGTGGTATAGGATCTCCTTGCGCAGGGGTTGGACTAGAAGACCTCCAAGTTACCTTCCAATTCTGTTACTGGTTTCTTGTGCATCATCTCCCTAGTTCAAATTTTGCAGCCTTCGTACTCCAAAAAAGCATATTTGTTCTCATTAACACTTGACTCTTGAGATTCAACGTACTTCGTAATTTACAGATTATTTCAGCATATATGTCTTCTGTCTCCATAAAAACAGGCTTAAAATGGTTACCGTGAAGACGTTTTGAGAAGAATACATCAGCCGCCCTGTTTAGGGTGTCCCACTCCCTTTTGAATCGGGGAGCAAGGGATGACCCTATGCGTGGGCGGGCCGAGGATTATAGCCAACATCTGCTGGACAAGATCACTCGGATTCGGGACGGGCTGGACTCTGACTGGGCAGAGTCGGTTGAGGGGGTGACGACGGGTCTGGTTATCTGGGACGAGTTCGATCCTGTTACTCCGGAGGAAGTGGACAAGATCATGGGGAAGCTGAGTACCCACCACGTGTTTGTTGGACCCGTGTCCCTCCTGGCTTGTTTATTCGGCTCGGGAGGTTACACGTGACTGGATCCAGGCAGTGATTACTGCTTCCTTGGATGAGGGGAGCTTCCCTGCCGCCTTGAAGGAGGCGGTGGTGAGACCCCTCCTCAAGAAGCCTGCCTTGGATCCAGCTATCTTGAACAACTTTCGTCCTGTCTCCAACCTTCGCTTTATTGCGAAGGTTGTTGAGAGCGTGGTGGCACATCAGCTCCCGTTGGCCCTGGAGGAAGCAGTATACCTGGGCCCATACCAGTCGGGTTTCAGGCCCGGGTACAGCACGGAGACGACATTGGTTGCGCTGGTTTATGATCTTTGGAGGGCTCAGGATGGGACATTCCTCTGTCCTGGTCCTGTTAGATCTTTTGATGCCATCAACCATGGTATCCTACTGCAACGCCTTGAGGGGTTCGGGGTGGGAGGCACTGTTTTACGGTGGTTCTCATCCTACCTCACGGGTCATTCACACGTGTTGGTGGGGGGGCAGAGGTCGGCCCCGAGGCCCCTTACGTGTGGGGTGCTCCAGGGGTCGGTCCTCTCCCCTTTTGTTCATCTGTATGAAGCCGCTGGGGGAGATCATCCGTGGTTTTGGGGTGGGGTACCATCAGTATGCTGATGATCCCCAACTTTTTCTATCCACCCCGAATCAGCCCAGTGATGCCCTCGACGTGATCCCGGTGCCTGGAAGCGGTGCAGCTCTGGATGGGGGAGGAACAGGCTTAAGCTCAACCCTGCCAAGACAGAGTGGCTGTGGGTACCGGCATCTCGGTTCCATGGGGATGCTCCACTGCTGGTCATAGGGGGCGAGGTGTTGCCCCCCTGTTGACAGGGCACGCAACTTGGGTGTCCTCCTGGATTCGCAGTTGTCTCTGGAAGATCAGGTTATGACTGTGACCAGGGTGGCATTTGCCCAGATTCGTCTAGTGCGCCAGTTGCGCCCCTACCTGAACCGAGTTGCCCTACGCATGGTCACTCATGTGCTGGTCACCTCCCAGATTGACTACTGCAACACTACATTGGGCTGCCCCTGAAGACTATTCGGAGGCTTCAGCTGGTGCAGAATGCGGCCGCACAGGTAGTGATAGTGTCCCGACACTCATGTTACACCCCTCCTGTGCGACCAGCACCTTGAATCTCACACAGAGGGCAACCGGTAACCAATGCAGGTCGCGCAGGAGGGGTGTAACATGAGAGCGTCGGGACACTCCCATTACTACACTCTGGAATCAGCTCCCCCTGGAGCTCCGGATGGCCTCCGACCGTCGCTCTTTCCGCCACGAACTGGCCGGCCTGGATTGATGGGTTTTTTTTAAATGGATTTTAATTGATTTTAGGGTTTTAATGTATAATTTTTAACCCGGAGTTTTTGTTTTATTTTTCTGTTTTATTGTGAGCCGCCCTGGGTTCCTCGGAGAAAGGGCGGCATATAAGTCTAAACAAATAAAATAAATAAATGTATAAATAAATATAATATGTCCAAGGAAGAAAATAAAACAATTTTTAGAGAAAGAACAATATGTTAGATTGTAAGAGTGTATCAGCTCTTATATTCAGCATCCAGAACATTGCAGAAAACATTACATCTACAAATCTACAGGATTCCCTGTTAAAAAATACTTTGGTACATGTCAAAAAAAGTGCATTGGCAATCCATAAATTTCTTTTAAATGTGTACAAATTTGCTGCTATTAATAAATACACCAGTTTGAAAAAAGTAAATGCTGCAGTTGGTTTGTTTTCCTGACTTAACCTGGTGAAAGGTGGATGGATGACGATTTTATTCAGATGGTGTAACCTTATCTAATTGGGTAACGATTATCTAATACTCCTTCCTCTTCCTCACAACAATCCTGTGAGGTGGATTGGGCTGAGAAGGACTGGCCGAAAGTCGCCCAGCTGGCTAAAGTGGGACTAGAGCTCACCATCTTCGTGGTTTTGTCGAATGTCACCCAGCCAGCATTCATGGTTAAAATGGGACTAGAACTCCCAGTATCCTCATGATCGGCCCAAAGTCACCCAGCTGGTTTTCATGCCTAGAGTGGGACTAGAACTCACAATTCCTCTTGCTTTTAGTTCCTTTCTAAGTGTTTCCAACAGCCTGCAACTTTTATTTATTTATTTTTTTACAGTTTGTGAGAATTTTTATGTTCAGGATAATGCTGGCTTGGGGATAAACCAGAAAGATAAAATGTGTGGACTAAATTTGATTTTTACTGAAGTACATTTTGTTCTTAAATACGGCTCCAAAATCTTTTTTTGAGATAAGCAGACAATTCCAACCCTTTCAATGTGTGGCTTGGTACTATGGGTCTTTTCTCACCCCGTTGGTTTTGGGTCAACGAGGGCCCAGTGATAAGCTACAACAGCCTCTGAAAAGGTCGTTTGGTGGAAGGAGGAAGTCAAACAGGCACTCTGGAAATTTGTATGCTGCCCATCCTGCACTCAAAGTAATTGTTCAGTGACCCAAAAGCACCCATAAAAGATGCTTTTTTCCAAGATGCAACTGCATCCAAGAAGCTTCTTCACTTCTGCTCTGAAAAAAGAACCTTTGCGATCACCACCACCTGGATGACTTGAGAATCTCCATAGGCAAGTGAGTTTTGCAACCTCTCGCCACCGTTGTTAAGTGAATCGTCGTTCCTAAGTTAGTAACACAAGTGGGTCTTGCTTCCCCCCCCTCCTCGGCTGGTCAGAAGGTCGCAAAAAAGGGATGACATGAGCCCAGCACACTGCAACTTGTCATAAGTGCATGCTAGATCCCGAGCGTCCGAATGTCGATCGAGTGAGGATGGGGAAGTTGCAACGGTTGTAAGCTGAAAAAACGGGTCGCGCGTGGCTTTTTCAGTCTTGTGCATTCGAACGATCGCTAGACAACGTTGGTAAGCCGAGGACTGCCTTGGCGTGTTTTCAGACCCTCTGGGAATTCCTCATTCCACGCAACGCATTATTGGTCAAGAAAAGAGGCCCTGGAGGGCAGGGAGCAGAAGAAAACCGTATCGGACACCTCTGTTAGCAATCTGTGACTACGGCAGTGTCCTGTCCGGACTTGCACAAAACGGTGGGACAAAACTGGCATTCTTCGGACGGACGGACGGACGTGAAAAACGTTCATTGTAAGCTCCATTTTATATAACTTGGCTATGCTTGGCGGTCTTTTTATCTCCCTCCCTGTCTCCGGTTCCCCCTCTGGCGCCTGGCATTCCGAAGCTGTTGGCAGCTGCCGCTCTGGGCACCCTCCCAGCAGCTGGCGGGGGCCAAGGAATCCGCACAGGCTGAAGGAACAGGTTCAGGCCTGTTGTGGCTGTGAGATCCAGCCCTCCGCGCTCTTCTTCGACATGCTGGTTTCTGTCTCGAAAACCTGCAATGGGTCATTCTGGGCTGATCATCTTTTGGATCCTGGGCACGGTTGTTCTGAGCTATGTCGGAACTCAGGAACTGGCGACGGAGGTACCGACGGGCGGGCAGCCCTCGGTGCTTTGCCCCGCCGATGACAGCCCAGCGGCTCCACCAGAGGAACAGCTGCCAATGCAGCCCAGATTTAGCAACTGCATGCTTCGATGCACCTCCCACGCGTACGAAGCCTACACTGCGATGCTGGCATCCGGCGACTTCAAAAGGATGACGACGTCGCTGAAAGTCAACGAAGGCGGGCAAGGTGAGCAGGAGGGCTGTAGGATGGGTGCCAGGCTCCGACTGGATGCCAGCTGTGCAAACCAATCAGACCCAAGCAGGGGATGGGCTTTGGAGACTCCGCCCTGGAGCCTTGGCAGCTGTGCAACAGCTGCCGGCCCCGTTCCCAGGGCTTTTGAGTTCCTGGGGAGGGTCTCGAAATAGGAGGGTTTTGGAGGGTTTTTTTTTTTTTTGCAATCGATTCCCATGGAATCTTTTTGTCCCCACATAAAACTGATGGTCGTCGTAGTCCCAACCAGATCTGCAGTTAGAGCTCTTCTAGATTTAAAATGGGCTAGGGACAGGGCAGGCTGCAAAGATTGTGAAGGAAATCGAAGCGTGTTTATACCAACTCTGTTTGAAGTCCAGTGTTGTAACTTAGGGGAAATCTGCAGTTTTAAAAAATGTGATAAATTGGGTAGGTTTCCGTGGCTTCCAGCCAAATTCTGGTGGTGTGAGTTAGATCAGCTGAGAAAGAAAGGTTTTACTTTATATTTTATAACTATAATTTACACTTTAGATGTTATTGTTTTGTTTCCTTGTTACCTTGGTTTTCCTTTCCTTTCCTTTCTTTCCTTCTGTCCTCTATCTTCCTCCCCTCCCCTTTCCTTTCCTCTATTTACCTTCCCTCCCCTTTCCTTTCCTCTATCTTCCTTTCCTTTCCTTCCCTCCCCTCCCCTTTCCTTTCCTTTCTTTCCTTCTTTCCTTTCCTCTATCTTCCTTCCCTTCCCTTTCCTCTATCTTCCTTTCCTTCCCTTCCCTTTCCTTTCTTTCCTTCTTTCCTTTCCTCTATCTTCCTTCCCTTCCCTTCCCTTCCCTTTCCTCTATCTTCCTTTCCTTTCCTTCCCTCCCCTTTCCTTTCTCCTTCCCTTCCCTTTTATCTTTTCCTTTCCTTCTTTTTTTATCCTCTACTTTTCCCCTCTCCTCTGCCTATCGCATCTAAGTGACTGTTGTTTACAACATACTGCCTCTCTTCTCCTCACAGGGGCAGAGCACGAATTCTGCTGGATGCTTCATCTCCGTTGCCAGAGAGGCGTCCGTCTCACCAAAGCGTTCGTCCTGCTGAACATGGAGCAGTCTCTGGATCAGAGCCAGCCTTTCCCTCTTCGCCTCCTCCTCACTGCTCCACCTTGGCCCCATCCTCTCTTACAACCACGGTCCAAGAGACGGGACAGCCGGTTGCTGAACGGGGAAGCCTGCGGTGTCCGTTTCGATGTGACGGAGCCCTTCCGCAACGCCGAAGGAGGCCGGGACGCCAAAATGTGCGTGAAAGTTGTGTGCCCAGAGGGAGACGCCTGCAAGGACCTGCAGTTGAGTCTGCGCTGCCCGCCCTTCCTGGCCACTCTGTGGCGCAGTCTGCCTCGTCCTGATGGCTAAACGGGTGGAGGGTTTCTTCTGCAAGGTTACCAGGAGGAAAGGAAGGGCTCCACAATTCCCCTTGTGCGCACACGTTCGAGTTCAGCTGCTGAAGCAATCTTCGGACCGGTTTCTCTTCAGGATTCATTTATATTTGGCAATGTTTACATTGCTTCAAGCGGGACATAGGATACGTTGCAGGCCACAGCTGCGCACATTCGATCATGCGTCGAACGCTATTCCAGACGGCAATGACGGGAAGATAGTTTTAACTCTTGAGAGTGGACGACAGCAAAACTCCTTCCCTTTTCGCATTAGTATTCTAGTCAGATTTATTGCAAATACTATAATACCGGTAGTCCTTGACTTACAACAGTTCATTTCGTGACTGTTCAAAGTTACGACGACACTGGACAAAGGGACGTGTGATCGTTTTTCACACTTGTGACCGTGGCAGCGTCTCCCTGATCACACGACCAAAATTGGGAAGCTTGACAACTGACTCGTATTTGTGACGGTTGCAATGTCCTGGGGGAGTCAAAGGATCCTGTTTTTATGACATTCTGACAGGCAAAGGTCAATGGGGAAGCTGGATTCACTTAACAACCGTGTGACTAACCAAACAACTGCAGTGATTCACTTAACAACTGTGTGACTAACTGAGCAACTGCAGTGATTCACTTAACAACCGTGGCGAGAAAGTTCGTAAAATGGGGCAAAACTCACTTAACCAATGTTTTAACTTAGCAACAAGAATGTTGGGCTCAAATTATGGTCATAAGTCAAGGACTACCTGTAATGAGATGGGGCTGATTTGGAGTCACCTGTTACAAAGTTTTGCAAACCTACCACCAACGTCAAGCGATTACCTAGCCTGCTAAAAGAAGAGATTTCAACTAGCAAAAACAATACCATGCTTCGAAGACTTGTTCTCTCTTTTTATCTTTTACCTGAGATTTTATTATTCCTGCTCTACTTCTGCCTGATAGGATCTTCCTCATTTCTGCAGGAACTCACGAACTTATCACAGGCTGGAAGTTCTCTCCGTTTGTGTTGTTGTAATCTTGGCTGCTGGGGTTAAGCATAAGAAAAATATATTAGACGGCACATCCCCGTTGTAGGACAGATTTTGCTAGACTTTAAAATGTCCTTGAAAGGAATAGCAATTCTCTGAAAAGATGTGGAAAAAACTCTGAAATCAGATCTCTGTATTTCCTCATGAAATGTAACCTTGAACTTTGCGGGATGGTGACAGTGTCATAACAATATTTATCTGGGCTCTGTGGTCTCTTGTCCACTGTTATTGTCTCTATCCATTCCTTCGTTTATCTTGTCTGTTTTTTTGGGAGTCTGTATTTTTGGCTGAAGACATCCATTGTAGATTCAGTCAAACTCTTTATCTAAAATGTTGGGAGGAAAGGGAATCAAAAAGAAAATTATGTGGTGTTGCCATGTTGTTTGGGGGCTTCTGAAATAAAATAAGCCTCTGCTGAAATCTTTGCTATGCTTATTTCTGATCAGTGGAATTTTCTTTTTAAAAAAAAACAAGATTATCTTCACTTCTTTCTTTAGCTGAAATCCTTGTTTGGCATTAGGGAACAGAAAAAAGAGGGAGAAGAAAAAAGCAGAAGACTGGATAAAAGGGACTTTTATTGTTCCAGTTCTAATGACTTCTAAGCATGATTTCTAAGAGGAAGTTTGGGCTAGTAGTTAAGACACTAGCCTAGAAAAAAAAGGAGATAGTGATTTCTAGTCCCACATCATATGCATTAAATGTGGCTGGGGGACTTTGGGTCAGTCCCTCAACTCAGTCCAACTCTACAGGGTTGTTATTAGTTTAGTTTAATTTATTTGATTTGTATACCGCCCTACTCCCGAAGGACTCAGGGCGGTGAACAGCCAACAATAAAATACATAAATACACAAAATTTAAAAACCCGATAAAACCAAATTAAATTATTTGGCCCAGACAAATTAAAATACCCCAATAATTTAAAAACATTAAAATTTACATATTTAAAAAGGGAAGAGATTAGGTTATGAGGAAAACAGGAGGATGAAGTATTAGGTAAGTTTGCAAACTTGAGTTATTTATACAAATAATAAAGGCGGGAGCCGCCCTGAGTCCTTGTGGAGAAAGGGCAGCATATAAATCCGATAATAAATAAAATAAATAAATAAAGAATATACAGATAAAATAACAAGCTATCTGTTGGGTGGGGGGGGGAACCCACCAAGAATTCAAATGACCCGCTTCTAATTATCCTTGCAAATGGCTTTATTTTTCCCTGTGCCCAAAAGTGGCAAGGACCATCTGAAGAGGGGGAAAAAAGCGCGAGGGGGACGATTATGATCGGCGCACCCCAAGCGGCGCGTCAGCCAATCAAAGCCAGGGACAGCAGGATCCGGTCCGTCGTTTTAATCGCTCCGGTCCGGAAATACCGCAAAAGGCTCTGAAAGCAGAGCGGAGGCAAGACATGGCGTCTCCCTCGAGGGGCAGCCACGTGTGGGTGGGCTCCGAAACGGGCCTTTTGAAAGGTAATGAGGACTAGCCGCGTGTCGGGCTGAATGTGGAATGGAGAGTTTTAAGGGAGGGAAGAAGCAAGGAGCGGGCGGGGGTGGCTGGGGACACAGTTGCTTCTAAATTATGTGCATGGTGCCTCTGGGCATGTGCAGAGGGCGAAGGGAAATAGGCGAGCGGAGACTGGAGAGGGCAAAGTGGAGGGAAGGAAATCTCAGCTGCCTCCAGCTTCACTTTGCTCAATCCATATTGACTGACTGGGAAGCTAAAAGCGACTTTCTAAACCACATAAATTTAATTATAATATAGTATTAATTATATAGTATTATCTATCTATCTATCTGACACATACACATGCACACACTTTCTAAACCTTTAGGTGAGATGGGGATATAAATTTAATTATAATATCATATTAATTATAGAGTATTATCTATCTATCTATCTTTCTATCTGACATACATGTACACCCTTTATAAACCTAGGTGAGATGGGGCATATACATTTAATTATAATATATTAATTATAGAGTATTATCTATCTATCTATCTATCTATCTATCTATCTATCATGTACACCCTTTTTAAACCTCTAGGCGAGATGGGGCATATAAATTTAATAATATATTAATTATATAGCATATTTATCTATCTATCTATCTATCTATCTATCTATCTATCTATCTATCTATCTATCTATCTATCTATCTGACGTACATGTACACCCTTTCTAAACCTAGGTGAGATGGGGCATATACATTTAATTATAATATAGTATTAATTATATAGTATTATCTATCTATCTATCTGACACATACACATGTATACACTTTCTAAACCTCTAGGTGAGATGGGCATATAAATTTAATTATAATATCATATTAATTATAGAGTATTATTATCTATCTGACACATACACATGTACACACTTTCTAAACCTCTAGGTGAGATGGGGCATATAATTTAATATATAGTTATCATATATACATGCACACACCATTATTATTGTTATTCTTGTCATCTTCATTATCATTATTTAAATAATAATAAAGCTGGAGCTGAAAGGGGACACTTGGTCCATCATCCAGCAACATCATCATCATCATCATCATTATTTAAATAATAATAAAATAAAACAGGAGCTGAAGGGGCCACTTTTTTTTTTTTTTTAAATTTGATTTATATGCCGCCCTTCTCCGGAGACTCAGGGCGGCTTACAATGTGCTCAGCAATAGCCTTCATCCTTTTGTATATTTATGCAAAGTCAGCTTATTGCCCCCACAACTGGGTCCTCAATTTACCTACCTTAGAAAGGATGGAAGGCTGAGTCAACCTTGAGCCTTGGCGAGATTCGAACCTGCAGTAATTGCAGGCAGCTGGTCTTAATAACCAGCTTAATAACAGGGTGCCTTAGACCACTGTACTACCAAGGCACTTGGTCCATCATCCAGCAACATTGTCTCTTGAGGTGACTGCTGTTCTCTAATATTCTCCTTTATTGACGACATCGTCTGTTGCTGGAAGGTTAAGGGGAGGGGAGGGAAATAGGCTGTGGTAATGATTCTTTTTCTTACTCTTTTTTTTTCCTGTCATGGGATGTCCCTTTCCCCATTTTTAGGGGTCAACCTGCAGAAGAAACAGGCCACGAATTATAGGATGGGAGGAGCAACTCTGAGTCGACGAGAAGCTGTCACAGCAATGTGTTGGGGAGATTCGTACGAATCGGAGGTGACGTGATTCTCCAATTCTGCTTGTGATTTGCTGGCTTCACCAGACTTTGGGCGAGGGAGAGTGGGGGCCCTTTTTGCTTCATCGCTCTTGCCAGTTGTTATATTTAATTGGTTTGATTGTAATGTCTTTGTTTGACTCTTGTGAGCTGCCCAGAGAGAGTCAGATGGGATACAGGCTTACTATTTATTTACACTTTGTCCTCGACTTACCACAGCCCATTTAGTGACTGTTCAAAGTTACAAAAGGACTGAAAAGAAGTCAATTATGATTGTGTTTTTTTACACTCACAACCATTGTGGTTATATGATCAAAATTCAAACGCTTGGCAACTGACTCATATTTATGACGGTTGCAGTGTCCCAGGGTCATGTGATCTCCTTTTGCGACCTCCTGACAAGCAAAGTCAATGGGGGAAAAGCCGGATTCACTTAACAACCATGTTACTAACTGAACAACTGCAGTGATTCACACTGTGGCAAGAAAATCCGTAAAATGTTTTTACATTTAAAAAAAGACCACAATAGAGCCCAAAATTCCTGTTGCTAAGTCAGAGCGTTTTTAAGAGAATTTTGCCCCATTTTACAACCTTACTCACCACAGTTGTTAAGTGAATTGCCGCAGTTGTTAAATTAGCAAAGCGATGAAGTGACTCATGTGAATGTGGGGATGCTGCAATGGTCATAAGTGTGAAAAATGGTCGTCACTTTTTAGTACTGTTGTAACTATGAATAGTCACTAAATGAACCGTTGTAGGTCAAGGACTGACTATACTTGGCTTCCTCTTGTACCTAAGATTATTTTAATTCAAAATGTCATGTTGAGCCGGTGACCTTGCCTGAACTATCTAAGAAATGTTAACCCTGAGGATCCGTAACTGCCCTAATGAATCCTGCGGCTTTCTTTTTCCACACAGATCTTTGTAGGGTGCCTCGATGGATCCGTTAGATTATTCAGTACCGAAAAGGGCAAGTTTACTGAATCGCGAGACTGCCAGGGAGGTGAAGGATCTTTTTGTGGCTTAGCTGTCCTTGATGGGTAAGAGTAAAATCCCTTTTGATTTTTCCCTGCCTTGGAAAAATGACAATTGAGTTTTTTTCAATTCCTACTGGAGGTAGGAAATAGATGAAAGCAAACATTGAATACGCATCGCACAATTATCAAGACTTTTGCACACTCGCCCTCCAAACCCATCCTTGCCCGCAGTGTTAATGTGGCACTGCTGTTTTTGTAGTCTCTGTCCTTGACTTGCAGCCATGCGTGCAGCGATTTTTCAAAGTTATGACCATTTTCCGCCCTTAGAAGAAAGAAGAAACCACTTGTTTGCTTTCTTGAAGTCCAAACCATATCAGGCCTCTTTCTGTATTTCTGTACCTTGCACTGAAAATTATTTCTCTGCCTTTATTATTATTTTTTTCTTTGCTGCTTGCAGTTCCCTTATCACCTGTGTGGAGTCTGGGCTGATGAAAATTTGGCGGGATTCCTCTTCAGAGAATGTAAGTGTTGCCTTGTATTCATTGTGAGGTCCGTGCTATTCAAGATGGAAATTTAAAATGGTTTCTCTCTTCGTTTGTACCATTGAATAGCTGTATGGTTTTTTTCCTCCATGGATGACATTTGTATGGGATGATTATAGAGGAGGCACACGTCTGTAGTTTTGTGTTGGTCAAGAAATTGACTAAAAACATGCACGTGGTTGGAAAAGATGATACAACATATTAACTTGAAGCCTGAAATATTTCTTACCAGAAACTTATAGTAAAGAACATGTATATTTGATTATTCATGTAATAACCGCAGCTAGAATTGTATTTGCACAAAATTGGAAAAGTGAAGGGATTCCTACGGAGGAGAATATGATAAGGAAAATATTCGAATGTGCAGAAATGAATAGATTAGCACTGTCAATTAAAGAGAAAGAACAAACTGGTTATTATGCGATATGGGAAACATTTTATCGATGGTTAGAGAATAAATAGAAAAATTAGAAATAAAAGTAGGTGAGTAAAATATAGAAAATAGTTTAATAGAGTTAAGCAAACTAAGAAGAGACTGTAAAATATTAGATAATTAATGTATTGGTATTAAGCTAAGAATATATTAAATAATGAATATGATTGTAAATTTTAACTGTTATTGCACAAATATTTGTACCCGGACAACACACTGTTTAATGGAAGATGGATTATTTGTACTAAAATAAAATTTTAAGAAATTGACTCTGCATAAACTTAACTGTTTTAACTCAATCTTTCCCGATCATGGTTAGAAAATCAGAAAGCATTCTCCCTAAACAGTAAATGGTATTTATTCATATCTCGCCTTTGTTGTTTTTATAAATAACTCAAGGTGGCAAACATACCTAATAATTCCTCCTTCCTCCTCCTATTTCCACACAACAACCCGGTGAGGTGGGGTGGGCTGAGAGAGAGAGAGATAGAGAGACTGGCCCAAAGTCACCCAGCTGGCTTTCACGGCTAAGGTAGGACTTGAACTCACCACTTCTTGCTTTCTAGCCTGGTACCTTAACCAAGAGACCAAACTGGCTGTCGATTAAAAAAAAGCACAAGATAGAAATATCGACTTGCTAGTCAGAAAAAAAGAACTATCGGGCTCCTTGTATTTTTAATTCCTTATTTTTTTCTCACCATAGACCAGTACTTCCCAAGGAGTGGTGCGGTGGCAATCAGGAGGCTGTGAGTTCGATCCTAGGTAGAGGCAGATATTTCTCTCTCTGGGCACAATGAGAATATTATCTGCTGAACAAAACTCCGCCCTGGCGACAGGAAAGGCATCCGGCCATTAAAACACTCTGCTAGCTCCATTCAGTTGCCCAGACTCCACCCAGCAAGGAATTATGGGGTCGTTAAATGATGATAGACTTCCCAAACTTGAGTAAACTATCTCAAATTTGAGTAAATATATTTTTTCTTTCAGTAACAACATATAAATTCCATTCATGGTATCTACTTTTTCTCTTCCTACTCTTTTTTTTTTTCTTTCATTCCTTTGTACTAGTTTTTTTTTTATTATTGCCAGTAGAATGGTTAATAAAATCATTTTTTCCTCCCCAAAAAAGAAAGGACGTGGCCGAATTCATCTTCGCTCACCAGATTCTCCTTTTGGCAGGTGGAAATTCAGGTGGGGGCCGGCGTGTGCCGCATGAGGCAAAATTCCGAGCAGCGGCACCGTATCGCCACGGGGGGGAAAGAAAATTGTCTGAAAATATGGGACCTGCAGCAGCCTCAGCAGCCGGTTTTTCGAGCCAAAAACGTGAGTAGTTTGTTGGCCTGTCTGAATTTGTGTTTGCACACATATATGGGTTCATTGCCTTGGGTTTGGAATTTCGGAGTCCAGAGGCTCCTCCCTGCATTCACGTGATTTCTTTGTACCCGTTCACAGGTGTGCCACGATTGGCTCGACCTGAGGGTACCTATCTGGGACCGGGATATGGAATTCCTGCCTGGATCGGAGAAGATTGTGACTTGTACCGGACACCATCAGGTAGAAGCTGGTCGAGATAATAAGTGAGATCTTCAGCCACTCAAAGCGGTTTAGAGTTGGTCAGCTGGGTTTGGCCTAGTAGTAACTACACCGGATAAACTCCCAACTAGCATTGCTCTTGAAATAGGTTTAGGAACTATGCCTCTTCCAGAATATGGGATTGAGAGGTTAACTAGTCCAAAGGAAAAGAAGTGCAGGGAGGAAAAGAAGGGAGGAAGGGAAGAAAAGGGATGAAGGAAGGAATGGATGAGAGGAGGGAAGGAAGAAAAGGGAGGGAGGAACAGAGAAGGAAGGGTGGAAGGGATGAGAAGAGGAAGGAAGAAAAGGAGGGAGGAACAGAGGAGGATGAACGGAATGGATGAGAAGAGGAAGGAAGGGAGGGAGGAATAGAGAACGACGGAATGGATGGGAAGAGGAATGAAAGAAGGAAGGAAGAGGGAGGAAGGAAGGGATGGATGGATGGATGAGAAGAGGAAGGAAGAAAAGGGAGGGAGGAACAGAGAAGGAAGGAAGGGATGGATCAGAAGAAGAAGGAAGAAAAGGGAGGGAGGAACAAAGAAGCACGGAATGGATGGGAAGAGGAACGAAAGAAGGAAGGGAGGAAGGAACAGAAGGAAGAGATGGATGAGAAGAGGAAGGAAGAAAAGGAAGGGAGGAACAGAAGGAAGGACGGAATGGATGGGAAGAGGAACGAAAGAAGGAAGGAAAAGGGGAGGAGGAAGGAAGGAATGGATGGGAAGATGAAGAAAGGAAGGAAATAAGGTGGGAGGGAGGAAAGAAGGAAGGGAAGTAATGAGGAAAATGGAGGGGAACACCCTTCCCCCCCCCTTCACTAAGGTAGAACAACCCTTCTCTACCTATTGTGCCCCAACGGTATTTCATTTATTTCAATTATTTCATCCTATTCTGCTTTTTGTGCAAAAACGTGGCCTGACTTTCTCTTGATCTTCTGCATCCAGGTCCGCGTTTACGATCCCAGCTGCCCCCAACGCCGTCCCGTCCTGGAGGCGACCTTCGGCGAGTACCCACTCACAGCCCTCTCGCTCACCTCCGATGCAAAGTGAGTCTCTTTTTTTTCCTCTCCCTGAAACGGAGAAGCTTTTGGAAAAGGCAGTTATACGAGTTAGGGGCAGTTGTTTCTTAGATGATAGAACTCTGCTTTATAAAAATTGTTATCTTTTTTTTCCCCCCCAGTGCTGCTGTTGTTGGCAGTTCCCACGGAGACGTTGCGGTTATAGATCTACGGCAAGGTATAAACGGAGAAGAAAAAAATAGGATTTACTTCAAAAGAGACTTTGGAGGGTGAAAAGAAGGCTGTGTTTTCTAGGCCAAGTACCGGCGCCTAGAGTGTGGAATTTGCTCCCTGTTTATATACTGCGGCTTGCCCTGCCAATATTGGTGGGGATGTCGTTTTCCCCTTGACGATCCCTTGATTGGGGTATTGTTTTCTGCTCGATTGTTTGTCTGGTGTTAATCCCTGCTTATCTGGGTGTTGAGGAGGTGTTGTGGTCTTGTTATTTCAGTCCTAGCTTGCTTATTGTCTTCCGAAAGGGGTCTAAAACGGGGGTGAAATGCTCCCGGTTCGGACCGGATCTCTCGATCCGGTAGCGATGGCAGGTGGTTCAGAGAACCAGTAGCAAAAATCCCTGCGTTTCCCCCCCCCCCATGCCCAGCTGAACCACGCGATCATCAGAGGCTTTTTTTCCCCCCTTTTAAAAGCATTTTTTTCTACAACCTCTTCGGCCGAAAAAATGCTTTTAAAAGTAAAAAAAAAAAGCCTCTGATGATCGCACGGCTCAGCTGGGATCGTCGGAGGCTTTTAAAAGCATTTTGGTTACAACCTCTTCAGCCGAAGAGGTTGTAGAAAAATTGCTTTTAAAAGTTTAAAAAAAAAAAAAAAAGTTGGCCACGCCCTCCCAGTCACATTACCGTCACCAAGCCACGCCCACAGAACAGTAGTAACAAATTTTACATATCACCACTGATCTAAATGTTGTTTACCTCTCTGTGCCTGCTGATAGTTAATTGATCTTATTTTATTATTTATTTATTTATTTATTTAATTTCTATACCGCCCTTCTCCCGAAGGACTCAGGGCGGTGAACAGATTAAGATTTATATATATATATATATATATATATATATATTAAACAGTAAATAATAAATTGAGTCAACTTGGTGTATCTGCTAAGACCTTGGCATAGAATTTAGATGTTTATGCTAGCCCTGCTTGTTGAAACAGAAAGGTCTTCAGGGCATGTCGGCAAGTGCGAAGATCTGGGATTATTCGTATTCCAGGGGGTATTTTGTTCCAAAGAGTAGGTGCCCCCACAGAGAAGGCCCTCTCCCTTGGAACTACTGGACGACATTGTTTTAATGATGGTACTATGAGTAGGCCTACTCTGTGAGAGTGTATTGGTTGGTGGGAGGTTATCGGTTGCAGCAGGTGGTCTCATAAGTACTCAGGTCCTAAGCCATGGAGCACTTTAAAGGTAAGAACCAACACCTTGAAGCGCACTCGGAAGGCCACCGGAAGCCAGTGCAGCTCGCGGAGAAGAGGTGTTACATGTGAGCGCCATGTTGCTCCCATAATTACTCGCGCGGCCGCATTCTGGACCAGCTGGAGCTTCCGGGTGCACTTCAAGGGGAGCCAAGCTTGAGTGCCAAGCTTCCAGAAATTCCTAAATTTCAATTTAGGGTTCTCAAAAGAGTTTCCCAGTTGAAATATGGTTGATTGAGCCAACCCTATCACATGTATTTTGGGGTGAAGACGTAATTCTTGCCACTCAACCTTGGACTCTCTCTGTCACAGGGCGTTTGGTGAAGTGCCTTAAGGGTTTTGCCGGCAGTGTCCGCGCCATCCAGTGTCACCCTACGCTTCCTGTGGTCGCCTCGTGTGGATTGGACCGTTTTCTTCGGCTGCACAACCTCCAGAGCCAGCGTTTAGAACACAAGGTAGAGTCGGCAGAATTGGGGATTTGGGTACAGAATCTGGAGCTTACAATCACAATAGAGCTGGAAGGCACTATAAGATGCTGAGCTTGTCAATCAAAAGGTCGGCAGTCCGGCGGTTCGAATCCCTAGTGCCGCGTAACGGAGTGAGCTCCCGTGACTTGTCCCAGCTTCTGCCAACCTAGCAGTTCGAAAGCAGGTTAAAAAAAATGCAAGTAGAAAAACAGGGACCACCTTTGGGTGGGAAGGTAACAGCGTTCTGTGCGCCTTTGGCGTTGAGTCATGCCGGCCACAGGACCACGGAGACGTCTTCGGACAGCGCTGGCTCTTCGGCTTTGAAACGGAGATGAGCACCGCCCCCTAGAGTCAGGAACGACTGGCACGTATGTGCAAGGGGAACCTTTATCTTTACCTATACAATCAAGAATTGTATTAGGTTTTTTGGCTGCCGCTGCACACAGCTGGCTCATCTTTAAATGATTGTCCACTAGGACTCCCAAGATCCCTCTCACTCTAAATGATTGGGTGGGGGGGGGAGCCTGTGCGAGCTGCAGGTTGCCTAACTTTATCTCTAATCAGGTGGGATCCGAATCTCCAGGAAAGCTTGACGCAGGCTGTCCAAGAGACTGGAAATCCTGGGGTTTAATTTCTTCCCTTTTAAAAACATTTCTTACCGAGTCTGTCTTGATTCCAGGTTTATCTAAAATCCCGATTGAACTGCCTCTTGCTGACCAGCCGGGAAAAATGGGAGGTGAGTTACCATGGCCATGGTGTGTGTTTGTTTGTGTGTGTGTATGTTTGTATACGGCTATCATAACTTTGAAAATGGGCCGTAAGTAGCTTTGGGGGAGTTCGTCATAACTTTGAGTGGTTGTTTAAACCAGCGGTCACAAACTGGTGATCCGCAAGAAAATTTTGGTGGTCTGCAGAAAAATGATTTGCATTTTTTTATATCGCACTAAATCAGGGGTCCTCAAACTACGGCCCCTGGGACGGATACGTGCAATGAACGTTTGTGTTGCTGCAGAGAGTCTCCCCCTTCGGGGTCTTTTTGTGTGGGTTGGAGGGGGGCAGAAATTCCGACTCAGGGTCTGCTTTGATCTCCTGGTGTGGGGCTTTGGGCGAAGGCTGGAGGGAAGAGCCGCTGGTGGCAAAGAGCCGGAGGGCCCCGTTCCAGTGGGGACAGCCTCATGGCCTGGAACTGGCTGACCATCTCAGCCCGCTGAGCCTCCAGGCGCTGGTACCTGCCCTTGCACTCCTGCAGGTCTTCCCTCTGCTTAGAAAGCCTGTGCTCCTAGTCCTCAGTGAGGTGCTTCTGCTCAACCTCCTTCTCGGTCAGATCCAATTTAATCTGAGCCAGCTGTTTTGCCAACTCTTTCTTGTGATGCTTAGCTCCAACAACTGCTTCCTGTTGGGCGCCTAAGGAGCCGGGGCGGGCAGGCGAAGAGTGGCTGGGAGGGGAGGGGCGAGTAGAGGCCAGCGAGGCGCCCCTCGATGTGAGTGACATCAAGTTCGCCATCGAGTTGGCCACGCCCACCCAGTCATATGACCACCTAGCCACGCCCACTCAACCTGTCAATTGGCAGATTATATTAGTGGGATTTAAAATTATAAATTTAGTGGTCCCTGAGGTCCAAAAGATTGGGGACCCCTGGTTTAAACAGCCGGTCTTAAGACGTGCTGCATTATTACTCCCAATCAACCAATGAGGCTGAAAGGAGATTTGGACACTACCCGCCAGTTCCACCCCCGTGATCTGTTTCTCTTATTTTCTTTTTGCAGAGTGAGGATCTGGAGCCGTCCGTTAACCTGCAGGACGAGGTGAAAGAGGAGGACGACGAATTATGGAACTCCATGGAAGTGGTGGCTTCCAAGCGGAAAGTCGATCCAGATCTTGGCTCCCGGACGGGGAATCCGAAACCCCTCAAGGATCCGAACGTCCAAAAGCAGAAGAAGATGAAAAAGACTAAATTGTGTTCGCGGTGAGAGGTACAGCAAGCCTCTACCTTTTTAACACAAAGCTGGCAAAATCTCATCCGATGGGTTTCCTTTAACATCCGGACACGCATTTGAGAAGTTTTCTTTGGCGCGTTGATTGGAAGAGGGGGAGGGGGTCACGGGTGAAATTCAGCAGGTTCTGGAGAACCGGTAGCGGAAAATTGGAGTCGTTCAGAGAACCGGCAAATCCTGGCCCCAGGAGTGGGGTGGGAATGGGGATTTTGCAGTATCCTTCCCCCAGGAGTGGGGAGGGAATGAGGATTTTGCAGTATCCTTTCCCTGGAGTAGGGTGGGAATGGAGATTTTGCAGTATCCTTCCTCTGCCACGCCCACCAAGCCACGCCCGCAAAACCAGTAGTAAAAAAAAAAAATTGAATTTCATCCCTGAGGTGGGGGGGGGGAGGGAAAGTTAATGAAGACAAGGCTGCCCGATTCCTGGGCAGGGGGGGGGGGGAAAGATTCTTTAAGCCCTTGGCTGCGAGTTCGGATGCTGTCAAAGCAGGAATGAGCACACGTTTCGTCTACAAGATTTTACAGGACCGAGAGCTAAAATGAAACGGAGGTGGGAATTAATTTATTTTTTTCCCCCTGTTCCCTCTATCTTCACTTTTATCTGCTTTTGGTTTGTTTGTTTCTCTGTGTCAGAAGAATCCCAGGGAAAATAAAAGGTCTACTATACGACAAAAAATATTAAAATCTAAAACACAGGTAGTCCTTGGCTTACGACCACACCTGAGCCCAGCATTTAATGTTGCTAAGTGAGGCATTTGTTAAGTGAACTTTCTCCCATTTTACAATTATCCTTGCCAAGGTTGTTAAACGGATCGCTGCAAGTGTTAATAACACTGAATCCGGCGGCTTCCCCTCATTGACTTTGCTGGTCAGGTGGTCACAAAAGGGATCACGTGTGACACTGCGACCGTCATAAATATGAGTCAGCTGCCAAGCGTCCGAATTTTGATCACGTGACCATGGGGGGGGGAGGGGAAAAGATGCTGCAACGGTCGTAAAGTGTGAAAAACGGTCCTAAGTCACTTTTTCTCAGCACCGTTTTTAACTTTGGACGGTCACTAAGCGGGCTGTTGTAAGTCGAGGACTACCTGCATTTCGGGAGAGCCTGTGCCAAACGGGGCAGTCCCAACAAGCCGGGCTTTCTGATGCAATTTAATTTTGGGGGGGGGTTTTCCCAATCTGGGTGGGCTTTGGGGTTTTGTTTAAAAGGTGCGAAGGGGTTGGGTTCCATTCTGCACACCTGTCTTAATTTGATGCTAGCCCTCAACGGCCGGCCACAATTGGGGAGCACAGTTTGGTCGTTAAGTTCATCGCGTCCGATCTTACGACCGTTTTCGGGCCGCCATTGTTTAAGCAAACCGCAAGAAGGTAAGCGGATCTCACAAGGTCGTTGATTTTGTGCGTTGGGAGGTGGGGCTGGGACGGTTACCTCCTGGGATGGTGTGATCCCAGGAGGCTGGAACTAAGAGGAGAGGATAGATATAAAAATAGAATAGAATAGAATAGAATAGAATAGGATAGGATAGGATAGGATAGGATAGGATAGGATAGGATAGGATAGGATAGGATAGGATAGGATAGGATAGGATAGGATAGGATAGGATAGAATATAGAATAGAATATAGGATAGAATAGAATAGAATATAGGATAGAATAGAATAGAATAATTAGAATAGAGTAGAGTAGAATAGAATAGAATAAGTAGATAATAAAATAGATAATACAATAAATATGAATAGAATAAATTAGAATAGAATAAGAAGTAGAGAATAGAATAGGATAGAATAGAATAGAATATAGGATAGAATAGAATAGAATAGAATAGAATAATAGAATAGAATATAGGATAGAATAGAATATAGGATAGAATAGAATAGAATAGAATAATTAGAGTAGAGTAGAATAGAATAGAATAGAATAAGTAGATAATAAAATAGATAATACAATAAATATGAATAGAATAAATTAGAATAGAATAAGAAGTAGAGAATAGAATAGGATAGAATAGAATAGAATAGAATAGAATTCTTTATTGGCCAAGTGTGATTGGACACACAAGGAATTTGTGGTGCATATGCTGTCAGTGGACATAAGGAGCCTTGGTAGTACAGTGGTCTAAGGCACCCTGTTATTAAGCTGGTTATTAACACAGCTGCCTGCAATTTACTGCTGGTTCGAATCTCTCCAAGGCTCAAGGTTGACTCAGCCTTCCATCCTTTCTAAGGTAGGACCCAGTTGTGGGGGCAATAAGCTGACTTTGTATAAATATACAAAAAGTATGAAGGCTATTGCTTAACGCACTGTAAGCCGCCCTGAGTCTCCGGAGAAAGGCGGCATATAAACCAAATTTTTTTTAAAAAAAGGAGAATAAAATACATTCATCGAGAATAAAAAGATACAGCACTTAGTGTTAGTCAAGGTCACTAATAAGCTATCAAATCGTACTAGGAAATGAATAAAAACGATATAAATTGAAAGATACAAGCAACCTATAGTCAGAAGTGGGAAGAGACAGATACTAGTAAGGAAGAGAAGGATAATGGTAATACAGTCTTAGTGAATTATTTGACAGAAGGCTCAGGGGGCAAAAGCTGAGCTGGAGCGATGGAGCCTCCAGGTTTAGAAGCAGTCTAGCTGAAGGCTTAGGGGGGCAAAAGCTGAGCTGGGGACTCATGCTGTAATCTCCATCCCCCTTCCCCACAAGTCTGGGGACTCCTTCCTCTGATTTGATTTGATTATTTTATTCTTCTAAGCATATAAATTTAAAAAATTGATAGGCAGCCTATCTCTCCTTCAAGGCACCTCTGGGAAAAGCAACAGAGGACAGACAGACAGACAGACAGACAGACAGACAGACAGACAGATAGATAGATAGATGATAGATACATAAATAGATGATAGATAGATGGATGATAGATGGATGATAGATAGATGGATGATTGATAGATGATAGATGATAGATTAGATAGATGGATCATAGATAGATAGATGGATGATAGATACATAGATGATACATAGATAGATGATAGATGGATGGATGATAGACAGATGATAGATGGATGATAGATGATAGATAGATGGATGATGGATGATAGATGATAGATAGATGGATGATAGATAGATACATAGATGATAGATACATTGATAGATGATGGATGGATGATAGATAGACAGGTGATAGATGGATGATAGATGGATGATAGATGATAGATTGATAGATGATAGATTGATAGATGATAGATGGATGATAGATGATAGATAGATGGATGATAGATGATAGATAAATAGATGATAGATAGATAAATGAATGATAGATATATAGATAGATGGATGGATGATAGATGATAGATAGATGGATGATAGAGATACAACCTTTAAAAAAAGGCTAAATAGGAACATTAAAATCAAAACGACCTTTAGTTTTCCAAACATCCCCACCCCACCCCCAATTCCCACCACCTTCTGCTCCTCACCTGGCCGGGGTGGGAGGTGGACTAAGTAACAGTAACAACAGTTGGAAGCCACCTTGGAGGTCATCTAGTCCAACCCCCTGCGGGCGGGGAGCGGGAGGGAGAGAGAGAACGGGGCTTCTTTTGAATTGAGCCTGGTTCTTAATAAACTCCCCCTCCTCCCTGCCCCATTGGTTGCAAATGAAACTTGGTTTAATGGCTTCGGGGGGAGGGGGGGGAAAGGATCCCCCGCGATCTAGTCTGCACGGGTGGGTCAAGCGGCGGTGGCGTGATCTCACAAAAGCCGCCAAGGCATCGGAGGCAGCCGATCGGCGGCGCCGCCGAGTCCCTTACTGGGGGGGGCTCGGCCCCCCATCCAGGCGGGCGATGGGCTGCGTGGAATCCAAGGAAGGGCATCCCGACGTGGAGGAAGACACGGGTCAGGCTTACAGGGCAGCGGCTTCCGCGCCGGAGGAACAAAGTGAGCGGAGGGTCAGCGGAGGGCTTTCCCGCCCCCTCCCCCCCCCATAATAAAGGGAATCCCCGGGTTGGGGATTCCCCGCCACGTGGGTGGGAAGAGCTTCCCGATGGAACGTTCGGGGAAGCACGGGGCGGGGCTCGCGGGGAGAGGGCGGGGCTTATTTTGCAGCTGGGGCGGGAGGTGGTCTCCCTCCGCTCCTGGGAATCCCACCCCCCTCCAAGACCCTCACTTGCCCAAGGAGGGAAGGTATATCTAAGCCTGCCTTCTCCAAACTTAGCTGCCCATCGTGGGAATAAGGAAAATTGAGCTGGCCCTTTTATAACAGATGAGTTGGAAGGGACCTTGGAGGTCATCTAGTCCAGCCCCCTGCTCAAGCAGGAGACCCTTCTCCATTTCTGACCGATGGCACTCCAGTTTCTTCTTGGAAGCCTCCAGCGATGAAGCTCCCACAACTTCCGAAGGCAACTTCTGTTCCATCGGTTGATTGTTCTCACTGTCAGAAAATGTCTCCTTATTTCCAGGTTGAATCTCTCCTTGGTCAGTTTTCATCCATTCTTCCTTGTCTGGCCTTTGGGTGCTTTGGAAAATAGCTGGACCCCCTTCCTCCTCCCTGGGGCAGCCCCTCAAATATTGGAAGATGCTCTCCTGTCTCCCCTGGTCCTTCTCTTCACTGGACTAGCCATGTCTTCTGTCCATCCATGGTTCACTCAGATTTCTTTCTTCTTTCTTTCCTTCCGTCCCTCCCTTCTACCTTTCTTTCCTTCCTCCCTTCCTCTTTCTTTCTTTCTTTCCTTCTTTCTTTCCTTCCCTCCCTCCCTTCTACCTTTCCTTCCTTCCTTCCTTCCTTCCTTCCTTCCTTCCTTCCTTCCTTCCTTCCTTCCTTTCTTTCTTTCTTTCTTTCTTTCTTTTCTTTCTTCTGCTTTGGAAAATAGCTTGACCCCCTTCCTCCTCTCTGTGGCAGCCCCTCAAATATTGGAAGATGCTCTCCTGTCTCCCCCTGGTCCTTCTCTTCACTAGACTAGCCGTGCCCAATTCCTGCAACCCTTCATCGTATGTTTTAGTCTCCATTCTCCTAATCATCCTGGTTGCTCTTCTCTGCACTCTTTCTAGAGTCTCCAAATCTTTTTTTATAGTGTGGTGACCAAAACTGGATGCAGTTTTTCTAGGTGCGGTTTTACGAAGGCTTTATAGCGGCGGTCTTCAAACTGAAGACTTGTGGACTTCCAACTCCCAGAATCCTCCAGCCAGCTATGCTTGAAGTCCACAACTCTTAGAGCATCCAAGTTTGAAGATCTCTGCTTTATAGAGTGGTATTAGTACCTCCTTTGATCCTGATTGTATCCCTCTGTTAATGCAGTTTAGGATTGCATTGGCTTTTTTGGCTGGAGGAATAACAGAGTTGGAAGGGATCTTGGAGGTCTTCTAGTCCAATCCCCTGTTCAGGCAGGAAACCTTATATCATTTCAGAGAAATGGTTCTCCAATCTCTTCTTAAAAACCTTCAGTGACGGAGTGGAAGCAAGCCTGGTTAAGAGTTCTCACTGTCAGGAAATTTCTCCTCAGTTCTAGGTTGTTTCAATCAGTTGATCCCATCCTTAAAATCGGGATTTAATCTTCCTTGTTCTTCTCTCGCCTTGCCAGGGAAAAAGAAGAAAAAAATCTCATTACGGAAAAAATTGGCCGGCCAGAAAAAAGGAGTGGATGCGCAGAAGCCAGGTTTGACATCCAGATCAGAAAGTACCAAGGTCACCGTGATTTGGAGACGTTGGTCCGTTTTCAACAACACCCACGAATCCTTTAACAAGCGCCTGGAGGGAGAAGCTGCCGGACCCAGTGGAAGACTTGCTCAAACCTCCCAAATTAGCGACCTCAGTGCCGAGAATATGTTGTGACCACTGGACAGAAGAGTTAGCTAGTGTTACGGCAGCTCGGTTCCAACATGTCGGAAGTTATACAGCTACGGGGAATAAACATTCATTATCACGTATGTTTCCTATGAAATTGTAGCTTGTGTGCGTGGTGCAAAGGGAGCAGTCAGAAAATGGGTTTGTCGGGTCTGAAAGGATGGTCTTATTCAGTGTTTTTCAAACACGGGAGTTTTAAGAAGTGTGGTCTTCGCCTCCCAGCATTCCCCAGCCACCGTGCTTTGAGATGGGTGGACTTCAACTCCCAGAATTCCCCGGCCAGCATGGCCATGGAATGAGAATTCTGGGAGTTCCCATCCACAATCCTAGAAGTGCCACCGCCTGTGGAGAAGCACATGTCTTGTATGCATTGGATTACAACGCCCATCACCCCCCCAGCCAATTTTGTGTAGGTGTGGGGAAGAAAAATAAACGTTTGATTGTCTGAAAATCCCCCTTTTGCCTTCCTAGATATTGGTTTCAGCATCTTTTGTCTGTTTCCAGACTTAGGGACTTCAACTCCCAGAATTCCACAGCCAGCATGGCCATGGGTGAGAATTCTGGGAGTTGAAGTCCACAACCTTGCATTGCAGCATCTAGAGCAGGGGTCTCTCCAACCTTGACCACTTTAAGCCTGGCGGACTTCAACTCCCAGAATTCCCCAGCCAGCTTTGCTGGCTGGGGAATTCTGGGAGTTGAAGTCCGCCAAGCTTAAAGTGGCCAAGATTGGAGACCCCTGTCCTAGAGAGCACCAGACTGAGGTGAGGTGGCTCACTGCGACAGGTGCAGCCTTTCTAAAAATTGAAATTCTTCCCGTTGCACTCCAGCAACTTCTAGATATCGCGGCACTGCCTGCACTAACTGAGTGAGCAGGGGGTTGGACTAGATGACCTCCAAGGTCCCTTCCAACTCTACTGTTACTGTAACTGCTGGGAAATGGCTGCTTTGTCTATGGAGAGTTCAAGAGAGCCTGCACTAAAGTAAGGCTGAGGAAAGGCACTAGGCCCTGTTTGCTTTGGTTGCCCAGCAACCATGACGGAAGGTAGTCCCTCCCCCTTCGCTTTCTACCGACGCCTCTCAAAAGTGCTCCTCGGTCGCCTAGCAACTACCCTCCCTCCCACTCCCTTCAACGTCACGGGTACGACGACAGGCAGGAAGCCGCGCGAGGGGCGTGGCGCGGCGACGCCGTGCGTGCATGCGCGCGCGGCGCCGTGCGTGTGACGCCATCAGCTGATAGGGTACGTGGCAGTGACGTCGCGGCCCGCCCTCTTTTCGCCTTGTTTGGCTGTTCGATGCGGAGGCCGGTGTTCGGAACCGAGCCGCCCAGCGACGCCGAGAAACGCTCCGGGTCCGCGGGATTGGTGAGTGCGGGGCGGGGACGGAGTATCCCTTGGGGGTGTCCCCTCGTAAAAGTCCCCCCTCCCGTCCTCGGGGTCTCCCCTCCCGCGTCGCCCCCCCGTCTTTTCCTGTTGGTGTCCCCTCGAAAGGGCTCCCCCTTCCCCCCGCTGCCTCGCCTCGAGGGGGCCCCCTCCTTTGGGGTCCCCCCCATGGATTTCTTCCCCTGCCCTCTAACCCCGGTTTCTTTCCCGTTTTCTCTGGGCTGAGGTCCCAGGCAGCTTGAACTACACCACCCATCCTCCCCAGCCTGGAGGGATGAGGGGTGTAAATATCCCTCAGCCACTGGTATTACAGTTCCCATGCTCCCCAGCCTGGTGGGTTGAGGGGAGTAGATGCCCCCAAACCAATTGAGCTACACTTCCCATCCTCCCCAGCCTGGTGTGAGGGGAGTAAATAACCCTGAGCCAGTGGAATTACATGTCCCATCCTCCCCAGCCTGGTGGAGTGAGGGGAGTAGATGCCCCCAAACCAATTGAGCTACACCTCCCATCCTCCCCAGCCTGGTGGTGTGAGGGAAGTAAATATCCCTGAGCCAGTGGAATTACATGTCCCATCCTCCCCAGCCTGGTGTGAGGGAAGTAAATATCCCTGAACTAGTGGAATTACATGTCCCATCCTCCCCAGCCTAGTGGAGTGAGGGGAGTAGATGCCCCCAAACCAATTGAGCTACACCTCCCATCCTCCCCAGCCTGGTGGTGTGAGGGAAGTAAATATCCCTGAGCCAGTGGAATTACATGTCCCATCCTCCCCAGCCTGGTGTGAGGGAAGTAAATATCCCTGAACTAGTGGAATTACATGTCCCATCCTCCCCAGCCTAGTGGAGTGAGGGGAGTAGATGCCCCCAAACCAATTGAGCTACACCTCCCATCCTCCCCAGCCTGGTGGTGTGAGGGAAGTAAATATCCCTGAGCCAGTGGAATTACATGTCCCATCCTCCCCAGCCTGGTGGAGTGAGGGGAGTAGATGCCCCCCAGCCAATTGAACTACACCCACCATCTTCCCCAGCCTGGTGGGGTGAGGGGACCAGATGTCCCTGAGCCACTTGAATCACACCTCCTATCCTCCCCAGACTAGTGGGCTGATGGGATTTAGAGGACCCCAAGCCATGAACTACACTCCCCATCCTCCCCAACCTAGTGGGATGAAGGAAGTAGATGTCCCCCAAGCCACTTGAACCACGCCTCCCATCCTCCCCAGCCTGGTGGTTCAACCCAAATCGGGTGTCCGTGTTTGCTAGGGACGGTCAGATTATTTTTTCCTTCCTTCCTCTCTTTCCTTTTGGCTATAAGTGCTACATTAGACTTAAGAGACCCAGGTTCGAATCCTCCCCTCCACCTGTCAGTTAGCTTCTCCGGTTTAGATCACTTCCTGTCTTTCAAACCGAAACCTACCCTACCTCGCAGGGCTGTGGTGAAATGAATCAAGGAAGAGGGAAGGTTTTGTTGTGTTGGTTGCCATTAGCTGACTTCAGCAAATGTAGGATTTTGGTGCAATGAAAACTTTTTGTCTCTTGCTTTTCGTTTCTTCTGGCATTAGAATAAAATGTTATACGTAAGATTTCTGTCTGGCCTTCAGCAATATTTAGATATAATCCCTCTGGCTGCTCCTGCATGAAGAGATCCCATATGCTCAGGCAGAACATATTAATTAAGGGGGGGGTCGTTCCTCAATTCTTCCCGCTGAAATGGGGGAGGCCAAAAAAGACGGTAGCCTGTATGACGGAGCAATCTTGGAGAAGCTAATAAGCAGGGTTGGGTTTTGCCAATTCCTGAACGGGAGACCTTTTAGGAACCCTGTCATAATAAATTCTTTTTAATTTCATGGTGAGTAAGTGGTTGGTCGAATGATAATTGAAGTGAGGCCCTCGGCGGTCTCTGAGCTTGCTGGTTTTCTTGCAGATGTTTCATGACCCAACTAAGTTACATCATCAGTGCTAGAAGGGGGGAAGGAGGAGGAGGACTCTGGGGTCCTTGGTGCTCTCTGAGCTTGGTAGTTTTCTTGCAGACGTTTTACTGCCAAAGTAGGTAACATCAACGCTAGAAGGAGCATTTGCAACAATCTCCCCTCCCCATTCCTTTCTAGCACTGATGACGTTACCTAGTTGGGTCACGAAACGTCTGCAGAAAAACCACTAAGCTCAAGAGAGCACCAAGCACCCTTCATTCCAACCTTGAGCTTCAAATAGTTTCTGTTGACAATTTGAAGTATTGCAAACAGGTACTTTCCTATCCAACCATCGCTGCATGTATGATCACAGATTAAGGAAACTTGGATCAGATTGATTTTATGGCATGTGAGAAGTCAGGCAGGAAAACAAAAAAAACAGAAGCCGGATTTGTCAAATAAACAGTTTGCCCCGAAAGATTTAAAAAAGCTGACTTAGGTAGTTTCAACAAGTGACTTAAATGGAGAAGTTTCACTTCGTTAGGAAGGTTGCTGGCATACTGTTCATTTCCTATTCGGTTTCAGTCTTGGGTGTTATTTAGAAGAAAAAAAAACCTCCGTGCTTTGTTGCGTCTTTCATTTTTAGTTTTGTTCCAGCTTTCATAGGCATGAATTAAAGGCTTGTTGTTGTTGTTGTTTTCGCTTTGAGTAATTGAAAGCAAAAGTAATTTAATTCTGTTTCAAAATAAACAACATGCCACATTAGAAGGAAAAAGATCCTGCAGAAAGAAAAAGAAAATGAAACTAAAAAAAAAGAAAAGAAAAGAGGAACAAAGTCATGCAGGACAAATATTTACAAATAGATAGACACATATGAAAAGGGTAGCCATATTTCATGGGAATCTTTCATATGGGGTTTCTTGCTTAAGCAGCGGGGTAGTCTAGAAGATCTCTAAGATCCTAAGATAGCAACAAAGATGATTAGACTGGAGGCTAAAGCATATGAAGAACGGTTTCGGGAACTGGATATGTCTAGTTTCATGAAAAGGACTAGGGGAGACATGAGAGCAGTCTTCCAATATCTCAGGGGCTGCCCCAAAGAAGAGAGGAGTCAGGCTATTCTCCAAAGCCTCTGAGGGCAGGACAAGAAGCAACGGGTGGAAACTCATCAAGGAGAGGAGCAACCTGGAACTAAGGAGAAACTTCCTGACCGTGAGAACAATTAATCAGTGGAACAACTTGCCACCAGAAGTCGTGGGTGCTCCATCACTGGAAGTGTTTCAGAAGAAATCGGACAACCATTTGTCTGAATTGGTGTAGGGTTTCCTGCCTAAGCAGGAGGTTGGACTAGAAGACCTCCAAGGTCCCTTCTCTTCTCTTCTCTTCTCTTCTCTTCTCTTCTCTTCTCTTCTCTTCTCTTCTCTTCTCTTCTCTTCTCCGCTATGCTATGCTATGCTATGCTATGCTATGCTATGCTATGCTATGCTATTCTTAATTCTATTCTATTCTATTCTATTCTATCCTATTCTATCCTATTCTATTCTATCCTATCCTATCCTATCCTATCCTATCCTATCCTATCCTATCCTATCCTACCCTACCCTACCCTACCCTACCCTACCCTACTCTACTCTACTCTCTCCCTATCCCTATCCCTATCTCTATTCTATCCCTTCCAAATCTGTTATTCTGTGAGTCTAACTCCAGAAGGCAGGACAAGAAGCAACGGGTGGAAACTCATCAAGGAGAGAAGCAACCTAGAACTAAGGAGAAATTTCCTGACAGTGAGAACAATTAATCAGTGGAACAACTTGCCTCCAGAAGTTGTAAATGCTCCAACACTGGAGGTGTTTAAGAGGAGATTGGAGAGCTACTAGTCCAGAATGGTCAAGGATTTCCTGCTTGGGTGAGGGGCTGGACTAGATGACCTCCAAAGTGCCTTCCCACTCTGCTCTCCTCTAATCCCTTTCTCTCTCTTCCCTAACAGCCACAGGTTATGAGCCTCCATGAATACGAGGAAACGCCACGGCTCCCGAAACACTGAGGAAGGCGTTTACCTGGGGCCGTCCCAGACGCAGGCTTTCTCTCCGCTTGGGGCCCCTCCTGCGGCGACCGCTGCTGCTGCCCCCATCAACCCTCCCCAGCCACAGTGGGACGCCATGTCGTGCCAGGACCGCACGCACGAGTTCCGCTCGGCCTGCAAGTCCTTGCAAAGCAGAGAAGTGAGTGCGGAGAAGCGATCCCTTTTCAACCAGAAGCTTTGCCCTTTGAATGATCCTCAGCGAGATGGTTTGGCTGGTAGGAAATAAACAGCCGGTTCTTTACTGCTGCGGTTGAAATCTTTAAAAAGACAGGAAGTGGCGGTTGGTCTCCTGCCCAGCATAGAAAATTAGCATTTTCCCACCCTCGGGAATGTTTTTCAATGAGGTAAAAGGGCCGAGGTGGCGCAGTGGTTAGAGGGCAGCACTGCAGGCTTCTTTAGGTGACTGCTAGCTGCAGTTCAGCAGTTCAAATCTCGCCGGCTCAAGGTTGACTCAGCCTTCCGTCCTTCCGAGGTCAGTAAAAATGAGGACCCGTATTGTTGACGGGCAAGAGGCTGACTTTGTAAACTGCTTAGAGAGGGATGTAAAGCATTGTGAAGTGGGATATAAGTCTCAGTGCTATTGCTATTGCCCTTCCTTCCTTCCTTCCTTCCTTCCTTCCTTCCTTCCTTCCTTCCTTCCTTCCTTCCTTCTCTTTGATCCATCTATTTATCTACTCATCTTCCTTTCCTTCCTTCCTTCCTTCCTTCCTTCCTTCCTTCCTTCCTTCCTTCCTTCCTTCTCTTTGATCCATCTATTTATCTACTCATCTTCCTTCCTTCCATTCGATCCATCTATTTATCTACTCATCTTCTTTCCTTTCCTTCCTTCCTTTCCTCCTTCCTTCCTTCCTTCGATTCATCTATTTATCTACTCATCTTCCTTCCTTCCTTCCTTCCTTCCTTCCTTCCCTCCCTCCCTCCCTCCCTCCCTCCCTCCCTCCCTTTCCATCTATTTATCTTCATTCCTTCCTTCCTTCCTTCCTTCCTTCCTTCCTTCCTTCCTTCCTTCCTTCCTTCCTTCCTTCCTTTCTTCCTTCCTTGATTTTATAAATCGCTTAGAGAGGGCTGTAAAAGCACTATGAAGTGTTATATAATTGCTATTGCTATTGCTAAAATGGGAATTTTCTCTTTCTGCCTTCTCCGTTTCCAGAATGGGCTTCACATCAACAAGCCGGCGCAGAGCGGAGCCATCCGGCAAAGAAGTGAATTTACTCTCATGGCTAAGTAAGCACCTTGGACCGTTTATGTCTAGCAAGGTTGACTTGTTAAGTCAGGGTGGGCAGCGCGGAGACACCGATGAAGGCCTCTCAGCCATGGCTGCTGGAATGGGTATGCAGTCCCAGGCTGCGTTAACAGAGGGATTTGGAATATTGCATCCAGTTTTGGTTTCCACAATGTACAAAAAGATGTTGAGACTCTGGAAAGAGTGTAGAGAAGAGCAACAAAGAGGGTTAGGGGGCTGGAGGATAAAACATACGAAGAACGGTTGCTGGAATTGGGTATGTCTAGTCTGATGAAAAGAAGGACCAGGGGAGACAGGATAGCAGTCTTCCAATATCTCAGGGACTGCCCCAAAGAAGAGGCAGTCAAGCTATTCTCCAAAGCCCCTGAGGGTAGGACAAGAAGCAATGGATGGAAATTAATCAAGGAGAGAAGCAACCTGGAACTAAGAAATTTCCTAAAAATTAACCAGTGGAACAGCCTGCCTCCAGAAGTTGTGGGTAGAGGTTTTTAAGAAGAGATTGGACAACCATTCATCTGGAATTATATAGTGTCTCCTGCTTGAGGAGGGGGTTGGACTAGAAGATCTCTAAGGTCCCTTCCAACTCTATTATTACTGTTTCATTCTTTTAAGGCAGAATGCGCAGGGGATAGTTTTCCTTAACTCTCGCCACAAAAAATGTCCTAAAATCAGGTGCGGCCAGGAAAATTCCTCCATTTTTTTTTTTTTTTTTAATTTGATTTATATGCCGCCCTTCTCCGAAGACTCAGGGCGGCTTACAATGTGCTCAGCAATAGCCTTCATCCTTTTGTATATTTATACAAAGTCAGCTTATTGCCCCCACAAACTGGGTCCTCATTTAACCTACCTTAGAAAGGATGGAAGGCTGAGTCAACCTTGCAATTAACGACTGCAACAATTTACAATCGTAATACTGGCCTGAATTGCCATTGGTATAATTCAGGACTACCCCGTAACTCGGGAGCGATTGTCAAAAAATCATTCAGCGTAGCGAACAATGTTGCCTGTCGAGGATTTGGTGTTGTATTTGATGGCCCGTCTCTTGTGATCCTCAGGCGCATCGGGAAGGATCTGAGCAACACTTTTGCCAAGCTAGAAAAACTAACCATTTGTGAGTATCTTGGGGACTTACGCGCTGCGAAGATTATTATGTGGCTCGTAGTAATTGGGGGGGGATCACCGAGTGGCATCAGCTAAATTAATGGAAACCAGGAGAAGTGCAGGAATGAGAAAGCTGGCAGGTGCCTACGAATAGAAGAGAATATTTGTAGCTCAGGGTTAGATTGTGGATTCCTTGGTGCTCTCTGAGCTTGGTTGGGTTTTTTTTTTGCAGACGTTTCATGACCCAACTAGGTAACATCATCAGGCTAAAAGGGAGTGAAGGTTGTGGAATGGAGGAGGAAGAGAATGGGTAGAGCAGGAGGAGGAGGAGGACTATGGGGTCCTTCACGCTCTTTGAGCTTGGTTGTTTGCTCACAGACTTTTGTTGACTGATTGAACATCATCAGTGGTCAGAAATATCTGCAGGCAAAGAGCCAAGCTCCAAGAACACCAAGGACTCCATGTAAATACTGTGTTTGAGTAAGAGAATTTTTCATCCAAATTGGAATGGGGGAGACGCTGCTGCTGCCACTCCCTTAACAGATGTTGAAAATAATCCTCTAGTTGCAGCTTAATAAACTAGAGACCTGATACTATCTTGTTTCCCCCGAAAATAAGGCCCAACCAGAAAATAAGCCCTATGTCAAGTTTCGAGGTCGTCTCAAATAAATTGCATTTCAAACAAAGTCTTTGAAGAAAAACTCCTATTTATTAAGCACGACATTTCTAACCCGACTCCAAACGAAGCCAACACTGACGTCCAGCCCCAAAACCCTCCCTTTCCGTTCCCCACTCCCCTGCACTCATTGGCCATCTTCCAAGTCATTCTACCCCTAATCTACTGCTCCAGCTCAAAGGAATTTCCCCCCTCCCATCCCATCTCCTAGGGGATATTATCTCCAGGGAAAATAAGTAGGTGAAAAGTCAAATGTCACTTTCCAGACGCCTCCGCTGTCAGCACTAGAGTAAATGCAGGTTGAAATGCTGACATCCTAGCATGATTTTTTCAGGATGCTCATAATATAAGCCTTACCCCAAAAATAAGCCCCAGTTAAGATCGTCAACCAAATGGATGCGTTTAATACCGTATTCCTTACCCCCCCCCCCAAAATAAAACCTAACCAGAAAATTAATCCCAAATGCATCTTTTGGAGCAAAAATTAATATAAGACCCGGTCTTATTTTGGGGGAAACACTTTATTTATTTATTTGATTTATATACCGCCCTACTCCCGAAGGACTCAGGGCGGTGAACAGCCAACAATAAAATCCATACATACAAAATTTAAAAGCAGAATTAAAATCAAATTAAATAGTTTTGGCCCAGACAAATTAAAACCCCAATCATTTAAAACCAATTTTAAAATTTGAATATATAAAATACTAAAAATATTAAAAATTAAAATTAAAAAACAGCGCTGGCTCTTCGGCTTTGAAACGGAGATGAGCACTGCCCCCTAGAGTCAGAAACGACTAGCATGTATGTGCAAGGGGAACCTTTACATTTTCCCTTTTAAAGGCTCTTGAAACTTAGCGTTTCCAAATGTACCTTTTATTGAATAGAGGTGATAGGGCAAAAAGAAAGCAGACTCTGTGGAGCCCTCAAGCCATAAAGGTAGAATAAAGGAATTAGGAACCCCTCCCAAAGTGGATTCAGCCAATCCACAAGTGCGAAAATGTTATTGTACCGGCTGCTCTGAGAAAGTGATAAGGGAACTTTCTCAGGGTCATCCTTCCACTGGCTCTCTAGCCATGGAATCCGCACGGCCTTCCATCCCCTTACAATCCCCAAGAGGTGAAAAAATGCCAGGCCACTTAAGCGCCAGGCTTGAAAGTATAAATCAGTACATTGCAGGATACAGGATAGAGAACAGAACAGAACAGAATAGGATTCTTTATTGGCCAAGTGTGATTGGACACACAAGGAATTTGTCTTGGTGCATACGCTCTCATTGTACATAAAAGAAAAGAATCATAAGGTACAACACTTAACGATAGTCATAGGGTACAAATAAGCAATCGAATCATACTAGGAAACAATATTAATATAAATCGTAAGGATATCAGCAACAAAGTTACAGTCATGCAGTATAAATGGGAGAAGATGAGTGATAGGAACGATGAGAAGATTAATAGTAATGCAGACTTAGTGAATAGTTTGACAGTGTTGTGGGAATTATTTGTTTAGCAGAGTGATGGCGTTTGGGGAAAAAGGGTCCTTGTATCTAGTTGTTCTGGTGTGCAGTGCTCTATAATGTCATTTTGAGGGTAGGAGTTGAAAGAGTTTATGTGTCAGCGTCTCACCGCTGGCATAGAGAGGAGAGAGATAAGCCCTGAACTTTTGCCTGCTAAATCCCTTTGAAGCCCGGTCGTCGTGGAAATGAGGAGGGGGGAGACATTCCTGGGAAATGACGAGACAAGAAGTCAGTGGAGTGACTTGGAAGATAGCCAATGAAAAGCAGATCATTGGGGATCGGGAAGGGAGGGATTGGGGGGCAAAAGGTCAGTCTTGTCCGCATCGAGTCATGATCCGGTTGCTGTGCTCAATTAAAGAGAAGATTTCCTTAAAGATTGGCAGTTTGGAAATTCATTTATTATGAGATAGCATCGAAGTCTGACATTATGTCCAGGATGCGAGGGGTCTGTAAATATTTTACCAGCCCTCTTTTTGACTCGTGCAGTATACAGATCCTCCATGGAAGGCAGATTGGTAGCCACTGTTTTTTCTGCAGTTCTAATGAACCTCTGAAGTCTGGGTCTGTCTTGTTGGGTTGCAGAGCCAAACCGGACAGTGATAGAGGTGCAGATGACAAGACTCGATAATATCGGGGAGAAAGAAAGAAAGTATAAATGCAATAATAAATGCAGGGGTTCCCCCCTTGAGGAATGGCAGATTCATGGATCTGACAGATGGGAAGGGAAAGGGAGGGAGGGAGAAAGAAGAAAGGGAAGGAAAAGAGGGAGGTGGAAAAGGGAGTGAGGAAGGAAGGAAGGAGAGAGATGGATAGGTAGGGAGCAAGGAAGATGGGAAGGGAAAGAGGGAAAAGGAAGGAATAGAGATGGAAGGGAGGAAATGGAGATGGATTGGTGAAGGGAAGGGGTGAGGAGGAAGAGGAAGAGGAAGGAAGGAGTGAAGATATAAGAAAATGGAGAGTGAGAGGACAGAGTGGGGCCTGGTGTGGTTGCTGGGGGATACAGGGAGGGCAGGCAAAAGGAAAATAATAATAAAAATCACCCTGGATCTGACTCTTTGCCTACCCAGTGGCCAAACGGAAATCGCTCTTCGACGACAAGGCGGTGGAGATAGAGGAGCTGACTTACATCATCAAACAGGTAAGGAAGGCGGAGCCCGCAGAGTGAAAAGAATGCCCAGCCCTTCTGTCGGCCTCGCTGCCCTCATCCCTCAACCCCGTTTCCCTTCCTCCTCGCAGGACATCAACAGCCTGAACAAACAGATCGCACAACTCCAGGAGTTTGTCAAAGCCAAAGGAAGCTTGACCGGCAGACATGTGCAAACACACTCCAATACGGTGGTGGTATCTCTGCAGGTGAGGCCTTCGGAGCCGCAGGGAAAAAAAAAAAACACCCTTTTCTAAATTTTGGGGAGCGGGTGGGGGAGGAGATTGGGAGGGGGGTGTTGTGAGGAAAAGGCTGCAGTGGGGCCCGTCCGGCAGGATTGAACATGGGGCTTGCTTCCCCTGCCCTCCCCGGCCTCCTGGTGCTGAAGTTACAGATACCCGGAGCTAATCCTTGGCGCATCTTAAAATACGCTTCCTGCAAAATGTTCCCCCCCGCTAGTACATTCTGCTCAGGGACGTCGGGGAGGGGTGGGGGACACCGGCAACGGGAAAAACGGTGGGAGTCGCAGAGCAGGAGAAGAAACTCGTGATTTTTGCCTTCACTCCCTCCTTCCTTCCTTTTTGTAGTCGAAGCTGGCTTCCATGTCCAACGATTTCAAGTCCGTTTTGGAGGTGCGGACGGAGGTGAGTTGCTGGTCAGCTGTGGTTTTTATGCTTTGCCCTGAGGAGTTGCTAGGCAGTAGCTCTTTTCACAGGAGGGGAGGGGGGAAGGAAGGAAGAAGCAGAAGTGAAGGAAAGGAAGGGAAAGGAAAGGAAAGGAAGATAGAAGAAAGGAAAGGAAGAAAGAAGAAAAAAGGAAAGGAAGATAGAAGAAAGGAAGAGAAGATAGAAGAAAGGAAGGGAAACGAAAGGAAGGAAGATAGAAGAAAGAAAGAGAAGAGAGAAGAAAGGAAGGGAAACGAAAGGAAAGGAAGAGGGAAAGGAAAGGAAGAAAAGAAAAAAGAAAAGGAAAGGAAGATAGAAGAAAGGAAATGAAAGGAAGGTAGATAGAAGAAAGGAAGGGAAAGGAAAGGAAGATAGAAGAAAGGAAGAGAAGATAGAAGAAAGGAAGGGAAACGAAAGGAAAGGAAGATAGAAGAAGAAAGGAAACGAAAGGAAGGAAGATAGAAGAAAGGAAATGAAAGGAAGGTAGATAGAAGAAAGCAAGGGAAAGGAAGAGAAGATAGAAGAAAGGAAAGGAAACGAAAGGAAAGGAAGATAGAAGAAGAAAGGAAACGAAAGGAAGGAAGATAGAAGAAAGGAAGGGAAAGAAAAGGAAGATAGAAGAAAGGAAACAAAAAGAAGGAAGATAGAAGAAAGGAAGGGATATGAAAGGAAAGGAAGATAGAAAGGAAAGGAAGATAGAAGAAAGGAAAGGAAGATAAAAGAAGAAGGGAAATGAAAGGAAGGAAGGTAGAAGAAAGAAGGGAAAGGAAAGGAAGGTAGAAGAAAGGAAGAGGAGATAGAAGAAAGGAAAGGAAAGGAAGATAGAAGAAAGGAAAGGAGAAAGAAGACAGGAAAGGAAAGGAGACAGTAGCCCTTTTCACTTTCTTAGCTTTTGGGGAGGGGGAAGGGAGGAAGGAAGGAAATCGAGACGGGAAAAAGGGGATAGAACAACAGGAAGGGGAAAGATAGGGGAGAAAGGAAGGAGATGAAGATGGAAGGAAGGAAAAAGATAGATTGATAGAGGATAGATAACATACGGTGTGAGAGAGGGGAGGGGTATTTGTATAGATAGATATATACATCCACATGGTGAGATAGAATAATATAAATAGAGACAGGGTAAATAGAGCCATAGCAACTGAGAGGTGCTAATCTCGGTTGTCTGCCTGGCCCCTCCCTAATCCCGTGACCCTGCCTCTCCCCCCCCCCCCCCCCGGACTTTCCTTCCCCAGAATCTTAAGCAGCAGAAAAGCCGGCGAGAACAATTCTCCCGTCCCCCAGTGACCACCTCTGCAAACAACCTCGGTGAGTTTCCCCCACACTCTCGTGGGGCAGAATCGGCTGATGCTGGGATCGCTTTGGGCTGGTGAAGGAGAATGGGGGTGAAACCTTTGCCCGTCCCCCTGGAAATGGGGGGCTTCGGAGGCGCCGCTTCTGACCTTGTCTCCTCCTACAGGGGGTTCCAGCGTGCTTCAGGACGAACGCCGGTACTCGGGAGATGTGGCCATTGACATGGACAATCGGACGAGTCAGCAGTTGCAACTCATCAATGAACAGGTGCCTTGGAGACGGGGACGCACAAAGGAGGAAGTGGAATGTTGTCCTGTCTGTCTGTCCATCATCCATCCATCCATCCATCCATCCATCCATCCGTGTCTATCTACCTATCTACCCCATCTCCCTTTCTATCATTTATCTATGTCTATTATCTGTCTGTCCATCCATCCATCCATCCATCCATCCACCTACCTACCTACCTAATTCCTATCTCCCTTTCTATCATTTATCTACTGTATCTATCAGTCTATTTATCTGTCTATCCATCCATCTATTCATCTATGCACCCCCCATCTCTCTCTCTCTCTCTTTCTGTCTATCCCTATCTTCCTTTCTATCATTTATCTATCTATCTCTGTCTATTATCTATCTATCTATCTATCTGTATCTATCTATCATCTCTATCATCTATCTCTCTGTGTCTATCTATTCATTCATCCATCCCTTTCTCTCTCTCTCTCTCTCTCTCCCTTTCTATCATTTATCTATCTATCTCTGTCTATTATCTATTTACTGTTTATCTATCTATCTATCTATCTATCTATCTATCTATCTATCTATCTATCTATCTGTCTATTCATTCATCCATCCATCCATCCATCCATCTCTCTCTCTATCCCTATCTCCCTTTCTGTCATTTATTTATCTGTCTATTGTCTGTCTATCTGTCTGTCTGTCTATCTATATATCATCTCCCTCTCTCATATCTATCTATCTATCTATCTATCATCTATCTGTGTCTATATTCATTCATCCATTCCTTTCTTTCTCTCTCTCTCTCTCTCTCTCCCTTTCTATCATTTACCTATCTATCTCTGTCTGTCTATTATCTATCTATGTCTATTCATCCATCGATCCATCCATCTATCTATCTCAGTCTGTTTGCTAACCTCCTGGGCTTGCGTTAAATTTGTAAACAGGATCGCCGGGTTTAAAGGCGGCCATCTTTAAGTTTTGCAGAACTACGCTTAACTTTTCAGAACAATGATTTGGAAAACGCCGAAAGAACAGACCCCCCTGTTTAAAAAACACGCCGACTTTACTTTTTTCCTTTATTTTTTTGCAGGATTCATACATCCAGAGCCGGGCGGACACTATGCAGAACATCGAATCGACTATCGTAGAGCTGGGCTCCATATTTCAGCAACTGGCGCATATGGTCAAAGAACAGGAGGAGACGATCCAGAGGTTAGAGGCCTAAGCTGGCTTCTCACAGGCTTCTAACTAAGCCATGGTTTGCTTAGCAGCGGCTTGTTAAGCAACCACAAGCTTAGAGGGTTGATTAACGTTGTGGTGAATCGGCCATCTGCGATGAATGGACAATAGTCCTCGATTTATGACTGTTCTCGCTTAGCAAAGGAAATTTTGTGGCTTGCGAGAACTAACTGTAGTCCTCGACCTACGACCGTAATTAGGATCGCAAGTGGTGACGGCGGTTAAAACGAGATGGCTTCGCTAAATGACCTCCCCACCCCCCAGCTCTCCTTGATGCAGCTATTAAACAGACAAGCAGACTGTTCGGCAGAGTAGGGGGTGCAATGGGTGGGGGGAGGCCCTGGAAGGTCCAGAGATCTTCGAAGAGTTAAGTGTGCAATGGTTGATAGGATGGGGAGCCAGACCCATGCTAAACTTGTGCGGACCAGGATCGGTGGGGCGGTGGGGTGAGGTCAGGGGATGCTTCTGCAGTGTCCCTGTGGTCGGTCGTAAAGGGAACATGTCCAACATGTTTATTCATTTATAAAATTTATTGGCTGCCCATCTTATCATAGGGCAAGTTACATTGAAAAACTTAAAAAGATGTTAAAACGAAGAACACGGCAATCAACCAGCATGTGAGCCCCTTAAAAAAATCTAAAATCTTTCCTTCTATGTCGATGGAGATTCTCAGTCATCCAGGTTTCAGGGTTGTCCCAAAGGGGCTTTTTCAAGAGACAACTGGACTCTAGTTTTTGTTTGAAGACGTTTCGCTTCTCATCCAAAAAGCTTCTTCAGCTCTGACTGGATGGAGGAGAAAAGAAGGATTGTTATTCCTTGCAGACAGCTGGTCATTTGCATCCTTTTTAGAGGGTCGTTGCCAACACAACACACATGCACACTTCAAACCCAAGAATACACTAAGGCAGAAGCTTGCCCACCCCAAGAATAAAAAACAGCCAGACAGAAACTGAGCAACGTGGTATATGCAGTACAATGCAGTGAGCCATGCGCAGATCTGTACATTGGGGAAACAAAACAACCACTTCACAAACGCATGGCGCAACATAGGAGAACAAATCGATCGGGACAAGATTCAGCAGTCCAGCTGCATTTCAAAGACAAAGGCCGCTCTTTTGAAGATGGCAAAGTCCACATTTTGGATAGAGAGGGGTCAAAGAGGCCATCTATGTCCAAATTGAACAGCCTTCTCTCAACTGAGGGGGAGGAATACGACATCACCTATCTCCAATCTACAATACAGTCCTTTCAGCAGTTCCAAGAAGGCTCCACACCCTATTTTGCACCAGGACACAGATAAACCTCCAAGTGGCCTCAACGAATCTCTAAAAAAGGATGCAAATGACCAGCTGCCTGCAAGGAGTATAAAGCCTTCCATTCCCCACCATCCGGTCAGAGCTGAAGAAGCTTCTTGGAATGAGAAGTGAAATGTCTTCAAAGAAAAAACAAAGCTGCCACTTGAAAGAGCTGAAGAAGCTTCTTGGATGAGATACGTAAAACGTCTTCAAAGAAAAGGTAGCTTGGGGGTTGGTGGTAAGGAAACGGGGGGTAGGGGGAGCTCTCCTGCTAAGGAAGCCCACTCCTCAATTTTCCCTGCCGTTCTGCCCCTGACGTAGAATCGACGCCAACGTGGAGGACACCGAGCTCAACGTGGAAGGCGCCCACATGGAGATCTTGAAGTACTTCCAGTCGGTTTCTTCCAACCGGTGGCTGATGGTGAAGATTTTCCTCATCCTGATCGTCTTCTTCATCATCTTCGTGGTCTTCTTCGCCTGACGGAGGAAGGGGGCTTGCTCGACCTCCCGTCCCCTTCCTCGTCGCCCTTCCTGAGCCGTGACGAACACTGGACACTGCCACGTTTTTGCAAAGCTAGTCGGCAAAGAGCGGGGGGGGGAGGTGGGGGGGGTGCAGGGCCGCGCCGCGCCTCGAACCCCGCGCCGAAGACTCTTCCGCACCGCCTTGCCCTTCGCTGCGGTTCCTTCGGCCGAAACACAAGGCTGCCCCCTTATTGGGGAGCACAAGAGCATTATGGGGTGGCCTCGCGGCAGGAAACCCCCCCCCTCGTCGAATGGGACTCAACCCAGGGAGCGTGTGTCAGTGCCGCGTTGCTCAACCAGGCCCGTTTTTTAAGATGGGTGGGCTTCAACTCCCAGAATTCCCAGAGCCAGCGCACTTTAAGTGGGGGTGGGCTTCTAAGTCCCATGTTGGCTGGGGTGAATTCTGGGAGTTGAAGTCCACCCGTCTTCAAGCTGGCCAGGTTGAGCAACAGTGAGGTAGTGGGACCAGTATCTTCCTTCCTTCCTTCCTTCCTTCCTTTTTTTTTTGTGTGTGTGTGTATATTTTCCCAACCTCGGCTGTGCTAACCGCAACCCTCTTTATTTTTATTTTTTATTTTTTAAAAGAAAGATGAGTATTTCAGAACGGGATCCAAACTTCCACGCCTTCCTCCTTGGTTCCCAGCGACGAGAGAGGATCCAGGAGGATGGCCACACCCAGAAGGCTGGATTCTCTCCCTCTTTTTAACGTATTTAAGTTGTCTTCTTTCTTCCTTTTTTTCCTTTTCTTCTTCTTCTTCTTCTTTTCCGGGACTAGTTCTTCCCTACCAGGCCCTTTTGCCCAGCTGCTCTCTCCCTCTGAAGACAACCGTCCCCTCCCCACTCAGTAGGCAGGTTTTTGTAGCACGTTTTGAGCCTTGCTGACCAAGTGTGTCTTCTCTAAGCTAAACTGGAATGGCAGATCCGTTTCTCGCTCATCGTTGGGAAGGAGCCCCAGTTCTTTGACCGGTTGACAGGTTTTCCTTCTCCTCCTTTTCTCCTTTCCTCTTCCCTTCTTCTCCTGCTCCCCGTCCCCTTCTCCTCTTCTCTTCTTCCTTCTTTTCTCCTCCTCCTCCTTCTCTGTTTGTTCCCTTCTCCTTTTCTCCTCCATCTCTTCCTCCTTTTTCTCCTTTCCTCCTCCTCCCCTCCTCCATCTCTTCTTCCCTTCTCCTCTTCCTCCTTTCCTCCTTTTTTTCTCCTCCTCCTTCTCTTCTTCCTTTCTTCCTCCTCTCCTCCTCCCCTTCTCCATCTCTTCTTCCCTTCTCCTCTTCCTCCTTTCCTCCTTTTTTTCTCCTCCTCCTTCTCTTCTTCCTTTCTTCCTCCTCTCCTCCTCCCCTTCTCCATCTCTTCTTTCCTTCTCCCCTTCCTCCTTTTCTCCTCCTTCCTTCCTCCCCTTCTCCATCTCTTCTCCTCTTTCTCCTCCTCTCCTCCCCCGCATCCCCAAGCAGATTTGCTCTCTGTTGCAGGAGCAAAGAATCTGTACAACTCAAAGTTACGAAAGTCTGTAATACGGCTGTAATTTTCAGCCCTGGCTGATCACAAAAAGTTCTGGGCGTTTTGAGTTCAGCCACCTTTAGACCAGGTGAGATTTTTCTGCCTCCCCGTCCCAGTACTGCTGTTCCATTTTCCGGTTCATTTGGGCTTCAACGGTTAACCTTCCCCTCTCAAGAAGGGAGCAGAGAAAGCATTCCTGCTTCCCCCCCCCCAAAACTTAATTTTTACACTACTGGAGATTAATAAAACGTATTCTTTAATCTCCTTCCTTATTATTATTATTATTATTTTAAAGCCTACGCTGGAGCCAATGTCGTCTCCCTCTTGGCCTAGTTATGGTGGCTGAACTGTGACTTCCTTTCCCTCTTTTTCTTTTTTTTCCTTTTCTTAAATTAGGGAGCTGGGGTTTTCTTCCTCCCCTCCACCCACTTCGCAACTTTGCCCTTAATGTCCCACTCTTGGTATCTTCTTCCATTCTTCAAAAACTTCTTGCTCCTTCTGAAAAAGACTGTGCCAGTACCAAGGGAGCGATTTCTCCGCTGCGGCTGAGTGGTGGTGGTGGTGGTGGGGGGGGAAATCAGCTGTTTCTAATCTGAATTCCAGCACCAAGCGATCCCCAGCTCTTCCTTGTGCTCTGAAAACTATTAAACGGAAAAAAAAAATCTACTTTAAAACCAACATCTTGCCCCTTTCTACGTCTTGTATGCCGCCTTTTGATCAGATGCCTATTAACTATTTTGCCGTCCGCTTTCGTCGGTGGCTCGGCGGCTAAGACGCTGAGCTTGTCGATTGAAAGGTCGGCAGTTCAGCGGTTCGAATCCCTAGTGCCGCATAATGGGGTGAGCTCCCGTGACTCGTCCCAGCTTCTGCCAACCTAGCAGTTCGAAAGCAGGTAAAAAAAAAATGCAAGTAGGAAAATAGGGACCACCTTTGGTGGGAAGGGAACAGCGTTCCGTGCGCCTTTGGCGTTGAGTCATGCCGGCCACATGACCACGGAGACGTCTTCGGACAGCGCTGGCTCTTCGGCTTTGAAACGGAGATGAGCAGCGCCCCCTAGAGTCGGGAACGACTAGCACATATGTGCGAGGGGAACTTTTACCTTTATCTTCGTCGATGGAGCTTCTCAATCATCCAGGTTCGTGGTTGTGACAAAAACGCTTTTTCAAAAGGCAACTGGCCTGGGGTGTTTGTTTGTTTTTTTCCTTGAAGATGTTTCACTCCTCATGTCAGAAGCTTCCTTCCCTTCTGCAGAACAGAAGCTTCTTGGATGAGAAGCGAAATGTCTTCCAGGAAGAAAAAAAAAAAAAAAGCAAGAAAGTCCAGTTGCCTTTTGAAAAACACCGTTGGGACATCCGCTTTGGTTTAGGGGACGCGTTCAGCCTACAATGGGGATGTCGTGCGAATCCAGCCTGTGGAATTAATGTACCTTTTTTTGTTTGGCCTGCAAATCCAGAAGACTAACTTAAGTCTGTTTAGGATGTGTTAAAACAGGTGTGTTTAGTGTGCCATGAGCTCACTAGGTGCAATAATAGTTAGGTGCAAAAAAAACTAGGTGCAATAACAGCCACAGACGAAGTCACACCTTAACATGTACAAGCATTCCCTTAATAACGGGGGCCAAAAAAATGGTCATAAAATCAGGCGCGACTCACATAACAGCCATCTTGCTTAGCAAGAGATGTTGAGGTCCTTAAATATTGTAAACCGAGGACTATCTGTACAGCACCTCAGGGTAGCATACTTAAGCGTCATGTAAATTCACAGGTCTTTGGATCATTGGATATAAGTTATATTTTTTAAAAAAACGTTCAGATACGATGCCTGCTTTGTTAGCGTGATCTTTGAAATTTCCCAAGTATAGGAACATTTTTTGCTGGGGGGAAAAAAAATAAACCTATTTTGTTTAAACCTATGAGGCCTGACTTTTGGTAAATCATAGGATTTAAATGCATTTCCTTTCTTGGGGCGTCTTAAAGCACTTTGCAGTTCCTGTAATCTAGCAGTCCCATTACAGGTAGTCCTCGATTTAACGACTGCAACGGAGCCCAAACTTTCCATTGCTCAGGACAGTTAAGGGAGTTTGGACCCATTTTACGACCTTTTTTTTTTTTTTTTTTGCCACCGTGAAGAGAATCCCCGCAGTTAAGAGTAACATGGGTTGTTAAGCGAATCCGGATTCCCCATTGACGTCGCTTGTCAAGAAAGAGAATCACGTGACTCTGGGACACGGCAAGCGTCATAAGTACATGCCAGTTGCCAATTTTGATCATGTGACCACAGAGGTTCGGCAATGGTTAAGTGTGAAAAAATGGTCATAAATCACTTTTTTTTCAGTGTAACTTCAACCGGTCATTAAATGAAGGACTCTCCAAAATCTATCTCTCTTTCTCTCTCTCTCTCTATCTTATCTATTATTTCTATCATCTACTATATATCTAATCTATTTTATCTTATCTATCATTTCTATCATCTATATATCTATTTAATCTATCTAATCTACTTTATCAATCTATCTTATCTATCATTTCTATCATCTATCTAATATATCTAATCTATTTTATCAATCTTATCTATCATCTATCTAATCTATTTTATCTATATCTAATCTATCATTTCTATAATCTATATCTAATCTATTTTATCTATCTCATCTATCATTTCTATCATCTATCTACATCTATCTAATCTATTTTATCAATCTATTTTATCTATCATTTCTATCATCTATCTACATCTATCTAATCTATTTTATCAATCTATCTTATCTATCATTTCTATCATCTATCTATCTAATCTATCTATTTTATCTATTTCTATATCTAATCATTTCTATAATCTATATCTAATCTATTTTATCTATCTTATCTATCATTTCTATCATCTACTGTATATTTTATCTAATCTAATCTATTTTATCAATCTATCTTATCTATATCATTTCTATCATCTATATCTAATCTAATCTATTTTATCTATCTTATCTATCATTTCTATCATCTATTTTATCTATCTTATCTATTTCTTATATAATTTTTATCATCTATATCTTATCTATCTAATCTATTTTATCAATCTATCTTATCTATCATTTCTATCATCTATCTACATCTATCTAATCTATTTTATCAATCTATCTTATCTATCATTTCTATCATCTATCTAATCTATCTGTGGTCCTCAAACTGCTTTAAGACTTGTGGACTTCAACTCCCAGAGTTCTCCAGCAAGCTATGCTGTCTGGAGAATTCTGGGAGTTGAAGTCCACAAGTCTTAAAGCGGCCAAGTTTGAAGACCTGATATACATATATCTTGGCAACTTTGATAAGCCCACCAAGCGTGGCTTAGCATCCCACTGGCAACCGGTGCAGGGCAAAGCATCCCTCCAAACCACCATTCAGGGCCAACCCTAACCAGGCTTAAAAGCTTGGCCACTTTGGAAAAAAAAAAAAACCACCTTCCATTCTCTCTTTCGCCCCCACCACAATCCTAAATCTATGGTCGCAAAGTGGGCTAGAAGGGCGCCGCGGGGAAAGCGCGCCTGCGCGGCAGGCAAGGACTTTTTTTTCCCCCTCCCTCCCGGAAATTGTGTTGCCCGCACCGGAAGCTCATGGCGGCGGCGGCGGCTACGCGTTGCCCGCCGCGCGTGCGCATTGGGCGGCTCGCCTCCGTTCCAGAGCGAAGCGCTGAGGGGAGAGAAGAAGAGGAGGAGGAGGAGGAGAAGAAAGGCGAGCAGTTGAAGCGGCGGCGGCGGCGGCGGACGCGGAAGCGGCCGGGGAGCCAAAAGCGACTCTCTTCCGAGGCCTCTCTCGGCGGCCTTCCGAACTTGTGTGCCGGAGGGGGGGAGCCGTTGTCTGAGGTGCCCGCCAGCGGGGCTCCCCTCATGGCCGACGGCGGGAAAGGCGGATACAGCGGTGAGGGGGCGAGCGTGGTGGGTTTGGGGGGCCTGAGGGGACGAGGTGGGGGGGCTTCCCGGAGAATTTTATGCCTTCCCGGCCTACCTCGCAGGGTCGTTGTGCGAGGGGAGGGGCAAGGCGGATACAACGTGGAGCTGAGGGGGACGGGGTGGGGGAGGCCTTCCTAGAGAGTCCACGGCCGTCCCGGCCTACCTCGCAGGGTCGTTGTGGGTGGGAAAGGAAGGGGAGGCACCTGAGGGAAGAGGGGGAGGGGTCGTTACCTGGGAAACCAAGGAGGGTTCTGATGAGGGAGGGGCTTGAACTTCCCCCCCCACCAAGAAGAGGCCCCACGTGAGTCTTTCTCCTTTCAGCCTACCTGGCGGGGTTGTTGTGATGGAGGGAATGGGGGGAAAAAAGGGGGAGTTTTGGGGCTTCCTAAGGGGAAAAAAAAAGAAAATGGGGGTGTAAATCTAATGCTTGAGAAGGTTCTGCCTTTGAATTCTTAACAGTGGGGTGTGGAAGGCCAGGCGGCCCTCGGTTTACAACCAATTCGTTTAGTGACCGTTCGAAGCTGCCATGGCACTGAACAAAAGGAGGGGGGGCGGACTTAGGACCAGTTTCCACCCACACACACACACTTAACGACCTTTCCGGCATCCCCCTCTCCCCCCCCCCGCACCGCCATGGTCACATGATTGAAATTCAGACGCTCGGCAGCTGGCTCGTATTTATGACGGTCGCAGTGTCGTCGTCCTTTCCCCCCCCCCGGGTGTGTGTGTGTGTCACGCGATCCCGTTTCGCGACCTCCTGACAAGCCAAATCGATCGAGAAGTCAGATTCGCTAACTTATCAAGGGCGGTGATTGACTTAACAACTGTGATGAGAAAGGTCGTAAAATGGGGCGAAGCTCACTTAAATGTTTCGCTTAACCTAACCTAAATGTTGGGCTCGGCTGGGGTCGTAAGACGTTGGCCCGCCTGTAGATTTTCGGGCACCAAAAGCATGCTGTGTATATATGTGTAATCCTTCACTTAACAAAAGCTGCAAAAGTCATCAGTCATGGTCATCAGTCACTTTTTTCAGTGTAACTTCCAACAGTCACTAAACGAGTTGCTGTAAGTCAAGGACTACCTGTAGTTGTAGCTCAGGGTTGAACTGGTGGGGTCCTTGGTGCTGTCTGGGGGGGGGGGAGAATTGATAGAAGGGAGCGAGGCTTACAGGGAGCAGGAGTATTGTGGGGTCCTTGGTGCTCTCTGAGCCTTCTTGTTTTCTTGAAGAAGTTTCATAACCCAACTAGGTAACATCATCAGTGCTAGAAGTGAATGGGGATTGTGGAGAAGAGGAGGAGGAAGATTGTGCAGTCTTTCTGAGCTTGATGGTTTTCTTGCAGACGTTTCATGACCCACTTAGGTAACATCATCAGTTTATCTTCAGCAGTGATGGTGTTACCTAGTTGGGTCATGAAACGTCTCCAAGGAAACCACCAAGCCCAGTTATTCCTATCTATTTTGGAGCCTTAACTGACCCAATCGTCAGTTCTCTAAACCAATCTTCCTCAACCTTAGCAACATGCAGGCTGGGGAACGCTGGGAGTCTGAAGCCCACCGAAATTAAAGTTTCCAAAGACTGAAGAACGATGCTCTGAATCCCTTGCCTGCAGCCCTATATACCAGAGATGGGCAACGATGGCCCTTTTATGACTTGTGGACTTCAATTCCCAGAATTCCTGAGCTAACATGGCTCAGGAATTCTGGGAGTTGAAGTCCACAAGTCATAAAAGGGCCATCGTTGCCCACCCCTGCTCTATACAATTGAACCGCCTCGAGGCACCCTATTGATGCTTCGATCCGTTCTCCTTTTTTTCAGAACATGACGACCGCGTGGCCACCAGCAACAGGCACTATGCGCGGAGGAGAAAGGGCCGTGTCCCCTTCCGAGGAAAAATGTACAGCGAGACGGGCTCTCATCAGCGCAGTTGGAACAGTTCTGGGTCCGGTCCTCGTGGTTGGCCCGACGACGACGATGACGACGTTCTCATGAGCGATGCTCACGAAGTGCTCCGAACACGCTAGTGAGAAATAGATTCTGTGGGAATAGCCGGGGAATACTGTCTGCTTGTGAGAGAAATCCTTGTTTGAAAGCTTTGGTGATCCTTCTGATCCCTGTTTTGGTTTAATGTGTTAGCCCAGGGGTGGGCAGCTATGGCCCTTTTATGACTTGTGGATTTCAACTCCCAGAATTCCTGAGCCAGCCGTGTTAGCTCAGGAATTCTGGGAATTGAAGTCCACAAGTCATAAAAGGGCCATAGTTGCCCACCTCTGTGTTAGCCTATATGTGGATCCACCTGTAAGAAGCAACACGAAAAGTAGGCACTGGGGGGAAAAAAAAGTCAGCCTTTCCTGCCTAACCAGGTTTACGGTAGTTCATTGCTGAGAAATTCTGGGGTTTGCTCCTGGGGAAATTGAGGTCATCTGATTCATTTGTCATCCTAGTAATTAAACAAAGAGCCATGAAGTTCAAAGACAGCAGCTGGAAAACCAGTAATTGGAACCTGCTCATCACTTAGCAATTAAATGGTGCTAGTTTTCTAGGTGGTTTGGTTAATTAAAGTATAATTGTAACTTTAAAAAATTTAAAAAATGCATTGATAGTCCTTGATTTACGATTCGTTTAGCAGCTATATGAAGTCACAAGGGCACTGGGGGGAAAAAAATCACATCCTTGTGGTCACATGATCAAAACGTCAGGCACTTGCCAACTGGCATGTATTTACAACACCTGTCCCCAGGGTCATGTCATCCCAGATTACTTCCGACGGTGCAGTCAATGGGGGGAAGCCAGATTTGCTTAACGACCCTGTGATTCCCTTAACAATTGCATTAAACCACCGTGGCAGAAAGACGGTTAAAATCATTCGCTGACTGATTTAACAACAGCCCTGTTTTAGCAACGGAAATTCCGGTCCCTACTGCGGTCGTAAGTCGAGGACTACCTGCAGGGCAGTGTAACCTTCATCCAAATGATGGTCCATGCTGTCTGTGGCATTCCCACAATCCTGAATTTCATACTGGCCGTTCTCAGCAAACGAATTTAATTACGTCTCTCTGGTCCGTAGTTAAAAAAAGCCCTTTGTTTATCTCTTAGCACTCCTTACGGGTCACGTCCGCACCGACCAGACCGAGGGAGTCCGAGCCTTATGAATGCCACCGTGAGACGAAATCTGAATATTGGGGACCGTGCTCCTCCTCCTCCTCCTCCTCAGAAAGGGACAGGAAGCAGGAAGACCTGGTTCAGGATTACGGTGAGCTACCCAGCAGGAATTCGGGGACTGGGGCGTTCAGAAGGACGAGGACATCTTTTGTGCCTCCAATTTTCACTGAGCCATTTCGGGCTTTTTCAGGAAGGGCTAGTTCCTTCCTTCCTTGGCCCTCTTCTTGTCTCTTGGGTCTTAATTGTCCCCACAGACTTTTCGTACTATGAATTGTAATCAACTGTTAGAGACCCAGTTTGTCCTGGCTGGCAGATAAGGCACAAGGCAGGGGTGAAATCCAGCAGGTTCTGGAGAACCGGTAGCGGAAATTTTGAGTAGTTTGGAGAACCGGCAAATACCACCTCTGGCTGGCCCCCAAGTGGGGAGGGTATGGAGATTTTGCAGTATCCTTCCCCTGCCACGCCCACCAAGCCACACCCACAGAACCGGTAGTAAAAAAAATTGGATTTCACCACTGGCGCAAGGCTAACAACTAGGAGACGATGAGTTCTAGTCCCATCTTAGATATGAAAGCTGGCTGGAAGACTTTGAGCCGATCACCAGGAGACAGTGAATTCTAGACTCACCTTAGATGTGAAAGCCGACTGGGAGACTTTGGGCCAATCACCAAAGAGACTGGGATTTCTAGACTTGCCTTAGGCATGAAAACCCACTGGGTGACTTTGGTCCGATCTCCAGGAGATAGAGAATTCTAGTCCCGCCTTAGATAGGAAAGCCGGCTGGGTGACCTTGGACCAATCCCTCCTCCCCCAGCCCAACCCACCTCACGAGGTGGTTGTTATGGGGAAAATAGAGGGAGACTTAGTCATAAGGTATGTTTGCTGTTTTGAGTTATTTATAAAAGTAATAAAAGAGATAACAATCCAAGAAACGGGGAAAAAATTCTGGAAAACTTGAGATTTCAAATACGGGTAGAAACGCTTCGAATGAGAAACTGGAACAGAGGGGCCACAGAAAGAAAACATCCTGGTGATTTTGTTTTTATAAGCAAGTGTGTGTTCAGAGAGAGGGACGCGGTGGCTCAGTGGCTAAGACGCTGAGCTTGTCGATCGAAAGGTCGGCAGTTCAGCGGTTCGAATCCCTAGTGCCATGTAACGGGGTGAGCTCCTGTTCCTTGTCTCAGCTTCTGCCAACCTAGCAGTTCGAAAGCAGGTTAAAAAAAAATGCAAGTAGAAAAATAGGGACCACCTTTGGTGGGAAGGGAGCAGCGTTTTCCGTGCGCCTTTGGCGTTGAGTCATGCCGGCCACATGACCACGGAGACGTCTTCGGACAGCGCTGGCTCTTCGGCTTTGAAACGGAGATGAGCACCGCCCCCTAGAGTCGGGAACGACTAGCACGTACATGCGAGGGGAAACTTTACCTTTAGGTGTTCAGTCAAGATTAGAAAGAAAAGTTTAAAAAAAAAAAAAGCTTTGATGACAGCTGTAGGAAGGCAGCTTATTTCCCGCCATCTGCCAGGCTGCAGGGCATTCATCCGGGGCCCCTTTGGCATTCAGAGGCTTGGACAGCTGTTGCCTTAAAGGGCTGTTAGGTAGAGCAGACGAGAAAGAGAGAATTGTGGGTTGTGCCTCAGAAATCCTGATTTTTGACTGGCTCCTGTGTTCTCCTTCGTCAGATTCCTTACGGAAGAAAATACGAAAAGAACTGGCTGATGAATGCCATACACGAAACCTGCAGCGTCCCCTTCCACCCCGTGGAGGTAAGAGAGCCCTCCAGCTCCCTCGAAACTACAGGGAGTCCTCGACTTAACAACCCACAACTGAGCCCAACATTTCCATGGTTAAGTGAGACGTTTGTTAAGTGGGTTTTGCCCCCAAGTTACGACCTTTCTTGCCACTGTTGAGTGGATCACTGCAGTTGTTAAATTAATCACACCATTGTTAAGTGAATCTGGAGAGTGGTACGGTGGCCTAGAGGTGGAGCTCTCGCCTCACAATCAGGAGGCTGTGAGTTCGATCCTAGGTAGAGGCAGATATTTCTCTCTCTTGGTACGATGAGAATATATCTAATAAATAATAATAATAATAATAATAATATCTGCTGAACAAAACTCCGCTCTGGCAACAGGAAGGGCATCTAGCCAGTAAAACACTCTGCTAGCTCCATTCAGTTGCCCAGGCTCCACCCCCCCAAGGGATTATGGGGTCGTTAAACGATGATGATTGTTAAGTGAATCTGGCTTCCCCATTCATCAGAACGTCGCCGATTATCAAGAACGTTAGCTTTATTTTAATTGTAAAATTAATTGGAAAGAAGCTGTTTGATCCCAAGATGACGTTTCCCTCCCATTGTAGTTCCACTGCGTGAATAATCGGGTTGTATTCTACGTAGAAGACACTTCTGTGGCCAACGCCCTTAAGCAGACCTCTCGTAAAATTTTGTCTCCGGATGGATACAAGGTTTGTTCATCCTTGCCTGGGAGGTGCTGGTGGGGGCGGGGGCGAGTGGGGGAGGGCAGGTCCTGGCTCCAGAACAACCCCCACTGAAAAACCGGCCTGTGCTTCGTTTCGCTTCCCACAAGCCATTTCCCTAATTCAGGTTCTGCTTCCTTTCAGGTGGCGATACTTATAAACACGTGCAATCCGCCGATGACCGTCCAGCATGAACTGAAACCAGAAGATATTGAGCATCTGAAGGTAAAACGTTCGGCAAACGTCTTCCTACTAGCTTGCCGTACAAGTATTCCTCCGCTAGGGAAAAGAAAGGGAGGGAGGGAGGGAGGGAGGGAGGAAGGAAGGAAGGAAGGAAGGAAGGAAGGAAAGAAGGAAGGAAGGAAGGAAGGAAGGAAAGAAAGAAAGAAAAGAAAGAAAGAAAGAAAGAAAGAAAGAAAGAAGAAGAAAGAAAGAGAAAGAAAGAAAGAAAGAAAGAAAAGAGGGAAGGAAGGGATGGTTTGGAATGGCTTGCCTTCAGAAGTTGAGGTTTTTAAGAAGGGATTGGATGTCCTTTTGTCTGGAATGGGATAGGGCAGTGATGGCTAACCTTTTTGCCATTGTGTGCCAGGAGAGGGGTGGGTGGGGGAGGGTCGCGCGCGCAAGTGCCCACGCGCACGCAACCCCATCCACCCCCGCTCCTGGCACATGATGGCCTGGTAGGCCTGTTTTTCTTTCTTACCTGGTTCCAGAACCTCTCTAGGAGTCTCTAGGAGCCTCTCTAGGAGCCTCTCTAGGAGTCTCTGGAGCTGGGGACAGGAAAAAACGTCATTTCCTGTCCCACTGGGAGTCGGGAAATGGGCCCTTTCAGGCCTTTGGAGGGCCTCCAAGGGAGTGGGAAAGGCTGTTTTCGCCCTTCCCAGATGCATAGAGAGGATCTGGAGCCAGGTAAGAAAAAAAAACGGGCCTTCCCCACCCCACCCCCCCAGCCCTCCAGAGGTAAGAAACAGCCTGTTTCCCTACTTCTGGTGGGCCCAGAAGGCCCGAAAATCAGCTGGCCGGTGCGCGCATGCGCCCCAGAGCTGAGCTGGCGTGCCCACTAATATGGCTCCGCGTGCCACCTGTGGCACGCGTGCCATAGGTTCGCCATCATGGGGATAGGGTCTCCTGCTTGAGCAGGGAGTTGGACTAGAAGATCTCTGACGTCCCTACCAGCTCTGTTATTCTCATATTCTTTTTTCCTTCCTTCTTTCCTTCCTTCCTTCCTTCCTTCCTTCCTTCCTTCCTTCCTTCCTTCCTTTTTCACTGGAGTTTTTAAAGAAGAGATTGGATGTCCTTTTGTCTGGAATGGGATAGGGTTTCCTGCTTGAGCAGGGGGTTGGACTAGAAGACCTCCAAGGTCCCTTCCAACTCTGTTATTATGGTAGATAGAAGGGAGGGAGAAGCGGCTGGTTGCTGAAACAGCAGAGAGGAAACAGACTTAAAGACCGAATCAGCTTAAGGGAGCAGCCTGGAGGCCGAATAAGCTTCCTGTTATTGTTTGGATCACTTCTGACCCATTTGGCCCTCGAGAGTTCAGATCAGTTCTGCTTTCTTAAATCTTTGGGGAATGCCAACCTCCAGCGGCGATCGCGGCCTCCTCTCAAATCATCCTCTCCTTCTGCTTTCAGCAATGTATGAGCAAAAGGTACGATAGCGCCAATCAAGCTTTGGATATGAAAAATATCCACACAGATCCCGGTGAGTCATTCCCCCCTCCCTTTTATTTTATTTTATTTTATTTTATTTTATTTTATTTTATTTTATTTATTTATTTTGATTTGATTTGATTTGATTTGATTTGATTTGATTTGATTTGATTTGATTTATATGCCGCCCTTCTCCGGAGACTCAGGGCGGCTTACAATGCGTTAAGCAGTAGCCTTCATCCTTTTGTATATTTATACAAAGTCAGTTTATTGCCCCCACAAACCGGGTCCTCATTTCACCTACCTTAGAAAGGATGGAAGGCTGAGTCGACCTTGAGCCTGGTAAGATTCGAACCTGCAGTAATTGCAGGCAGCTGTGTTAATGACAGGGTGCTCTAAACCACTGTACTACCAAGGCACTGCCCTACACACACACACACACACACACACACACACACACACACACACACGTAAATTTAACTCGCGGGGTTTTTTTTGTTTCACAAAGTCCATTCTCAAGGCTATAGGCATCCTTTGCTTCGGAAGTGAAATCAATCCCGTTTTGTTCTCTTCCCTCCCTCCCTCCCTCCCTCCCCAGATCTGATAGCCCAAAATTGCGACATTGTGTTGAACCGCCGAAACTGCATGTTAGCTGTGCTGCAGATCATCGACGACAACATCCCCGAGGTCAGCCATTTTCCCGTCCTCCGTCCTAATCCTCGGTTTGGGTGGGGTGGGGTGGGGGGGCAGGCACGAAAAAGTGGGTTTTGCCGCGTTTCCACCTGGGGGGGGTTTCAAATGGACGTGGGCCGCTTTGGAGAACTCTAGCGGGTCAGATGGGCCTCCCTTTGGGGAACAACGGCCGCGGGCTGGTCGCCGATCCTTAAAAAAATCAACATTTCTCGCTTTTCGTTCTGTTATGCCTCCAATGCAAGGATCTTTTCTTCCTAAATGTCACAAAGGAGTGTTTTTTTTTTTTGAGGCATCCCATCTTTATTTATTTATGTAATATCCTGCCTATATAAAGGAGGTTTTCATAGGGCTCTTTCGGCTGTTTCCCCCATGATAACAACAACCCTGTGAGGCGGGGGTGGGCCATGAGAGCAAGCCTGGCTTAAAGTCATCCAGCCAGTTTTCCTGCCTAAGATGGAACTAGAACAGTGATGGCTAACCTTTTTGCCATCGCCTGCCAGGAGAGGGGGGGGGCGGGGGAGGGTCACGTGCACGCGTGCGCAACCCCCCCTCCCCCCCCTGCTCCTGGCACATGATGGCCTGGTAGGCCCGTTTTTCTTTCTTACCTGGTTCCAGATCCTCTCTGTGTATCTGGGAAGGGTGAAAACAGCCTTTCCCACTCCCTTGGAGGCCCTTCGGAGGCTGAAAAGACCCATTTCCCAACTCCCGGTGGGACAGGAAGTGACATTTTTTGCTGTCCCCAGCCTCCAGAACCTCTCTAGGAGTCTCTAGGAGTCTCTGGAGGCTGGGGACAGGAAAAAACGTCACTTCCTGTCCCACCGGGAGTGGGGAAATGGGCCCTTTGAGCCTCTGTAGGGCCTCCAAGGGAGTGGGAAAGGCTGTTTTCACCGTTCCCAGATACACAGAGAGGATCTGGAGCCAGGTAAGGAAGAAAAACGGGCCTTCCCCACCCCCCCAGGCCCTCCAGAGGAAGGAAACAGCCTGTTTCCCTACTTCTGGTGGGCCCAGAAGGCCCGAAAATCAGCTGGCTGGCGCGCGCATGCACCCCAGAGCTGAGCTTGCGTGCCCACTAATATGCTCCGCGTGCCACCTGTGGCACGCGTGCCGTAGGTTCGCCATCACGCAACTAGAACTTACCGTCTCCTGGTGATTGGGCCAAAGTCACCCAGCTGCCTTTCATACCTACGGCAGGACTAGAATTTACCATCTCCTGGTGATTGGTCCAGTCACCTAGATAGCTTTCATGCCTGAGGCAGAACTGGAACTCACCGTCTCCTGGTGATGGGCGCAAAGTCACCCAGCCAGCTTTTCTGCATAAGACTTCTAAATTGTCACAGCTCTGCCGGGCTACAACTCGTGTAGCACACAGCCCTTTCTTTCCTTGTCAGAGAGTCCACCCAGCCACTGCACGGCCTGTTTCTGTTGCTCCCCTTCGGGAGGAGGTTTCCAGGCGTCTATTCTTTCCTTTCGCCGTGTATATGTATGCGTTCAAACTAGACTGTGATGTTTCTCTGTGTCATGTATGTGTGTGTATGCGAGTATATGCATAATGCCTTTGGCATGAAAGCCGGCTGGGTGTTTTTGGGCCAATCACCAGGAGACTGAGAGTTCTAGTCCCGCCTTTGGCATGAAAGCCAGCTGGGTGACTTTGTGCAACGAAAATTTCATTTTAATGTATGCTGATAAGTGTACATTTAAAGCCACAATAAAGTTTCTATTCTCTGCAGCTCCTCTCCCTCAACCTGAGTGACAACAAGCTCTATCGCCTCGACGACATGTCCGCGCTAGTTCAAAAAGCTCCCAACCTGAAGATCCTCAACTTGTCTTGTAACCAGGTAAGCCCAGTCCCACCCCCCCCACCCCCACCCCCGCCACTCAAAGCTGGACCTGTACTTAGCCAGCTCCTCCCCTGCCTAACTCTGCCTCCTCCCTGCTTACCTCTTTCCCAGCTGAAGACCGAACACGAGCTGGACAAGCTGAAAGGCTTAAAGCTGGACGAACTCTGGCTGGACAGCAATCCCCTGTGCGACGGCTTTCGGGACCGCTCCCTTTATATCAGGTGAGCCGCAGCCTTTAAGTCCCACCTCGGCTACCGGAGGAGAACCGCCCTTCCCGTGGCCCTCTCTCCCCGGACTTCTGATGGGGTGACAGCCCCCCAGTTTTGCCTTCTCTCCTGCCTGGTTGAGGACTGGATCATCCCAGGAGGCCGTCTTCCCAGCTGGCGTCGGATCTCCCAGAGGGGCCCTTGTGCCTTCTCTGAATTTGCTTTGCGATGTGTTCTGACCATGGTTTTATTGCAGTTAAGATTGGAGCATCTGCCCGGCGGGGTTTCCTTCTCACCCACCTCAGCCTTACAAAGTGATTTAAAGTTTGCTCTTTTTTTTTTTTTTTTGAGCAAGTGCCCATATACCCATCCTTCCCTCCTCTTCCTCCTCCCCTTGTTAATACATTTCTGTTCCCCTCCGGGCATCTCTTGCCTGTTTTTAACATTCCCACCCGCCCCTCAATCTTCTCTCCTTCGGAGGCCCCAAGACTTCTGAGCGCACAGCCTTCGTCATCCTCTCCTGCTTTCCCTCTGTGGCTCGCCCACCTCCCTTGGCCCGAGCCTGCCATTCTGGGTCTTCCCTTCTCTGTTTGGAGGGCCAGGATTTTTTTGCACCTCCTTGGCTTTAACGTTGGCACGAGAGCTGCTGCCAAACGGCGAGGATTCCCTGGTGACCGGAAGGAAAAAAAAAACACAACGTGGCCCCTGCAAGACGGCTGGTTAGCCAATGACGGGTAAGATTCCTCAGTGGAAGGAACAACCTAAGACAGGCACAGTCAGAGGGGAGCCGGAACGAGCCTTCCCGGCGGCAGAAGGCGATGGGAGGAAAAGCCCAGGGACCTCATTCGCGCACGCACGTGCTTTCTCCTGGCACGGCTGCCACCGCCGCCGCCACCACAAACAGCTCAAGGAGGGAGATGTTCTCGCTTTTAAAGCAGCCGAGCGGTCGGCGTTTCTCCCGAACTGAAATGGTCACGGAGCTTGTGGCGAGCAAATCGGCCAAACACCTCTCCGCACACACACACACACCCCACTCCCTGCAGAAGGAGGCTTCAGACATGATGGCTGGCCAGGCGGGCATCTCGCCGGGACTTTGGCGGTGGGAAAGGAACGCCCAAAGGGCTTTTGAGGATGGAGGAGGCTGTGCGCCGGAGCGAGCGGGCTTCTGAATCACACACACACATAAACACACACCTTTTTTTTTTCCCCTGGGATTCCCTTCTCAACTCGCCCCCCCCACATCCCTGTCCTCCGCAACCATTCATTCGATTTAGACCTTGATACAGGAACATTTTTTAAAAACGTTTTTAAAAGATGGTGGTCAGGAAGTTGCTTCTGGCATCTCCAGGACCGATGGTTTACCTTGGCCATTCCCCTCCTTCCCTCCCTCCCCTCTCCTCACCCCACCTCCCCCAAGGAGCGTTTCTCCTATAAAGGAGCCCACCAGGTGAGTACACCCTCAGGTAAGTGCTTAGACCCTTCCAGTTCACGCAGCCTGCTTTTTAAAATGAACACCTCTGTCTGCATGCGGAAAACTAGCACAGGGAGAGAAAAATGCCCCCATTTTACAGGGTGTTCGACTGAGGCTTGCGTTTGGGGGGTGGGGGCAGAGCCGTGGCGTGCTGTCTCCTAGCATCAAGCCAACGGCCACCCCCTGTTCCACGCAGTGGCAAATAACAAGCTGGACCCATTTCTCTTAAAAGCCAGAAGGGTCCGGCGAATGAAAACGGATGGTGACTTTTTCTCCTTAAAGAGAGGTCAAGCATCAGATATCCATTACTGAACTGGCCAGCGACGGAGCTTCTAACGGATTCCAGAAGTGATTGAGCTTCGTTTTAAGAGGCGCTGTGTCTTCACGGTCTTTTACTGTGCTCCTTTTAGCGCCTGACTTAAGAGACTGGGCCTGAGTTCAGACGCTAGACGCCCCCTTCATTTGACGGGTCTTGTTTTAAAGCCTCTGTAAATCCCCCCCCCCAAAAAAATCTAAAAAACGGCAGTCAAGTCTTATTTCGCAGCTCCTCGTTTAAAGATTCCGGTGAGCCACGTCCTCGTTTCTTAGCCCTGAGAGCTATCGCTCCAAGGCTCAAACCTGTCGAACGAAACTCTTTTGCAAAATGCTGACCGGCGCAAGATGCCCCGTGTCAAGAGGACTAGCTGCTTCGTAATTGAAACACCGGATTGGCAGCTGGAGAAGTTTTTAAACTTCCATCCACCGGAGCCGTTTATGACTCCCTTCTTTCTTGGCCCATCAGCACCATGCTGGGGGAATTAAAAACCCTGCTGAATGCATGGGTGCCGTTCCTAAGATGGACGAAATGGGCTCCCGAGGGCGGGCGATAGGGCCCACTGAGGCAGGCGGTCAGAGGGAGGGGTCGGCTGTGCCAACAGGACCTGCTGCGTACTCATTCTTGTTCTGTTTCCGACAGCGCCATCCGAGAACGGTTCCCCAAGCTGCTGCGGCTGGTGAGTCCTGCTCTGACCTAGGCTCCCTTAAAAAGCAGGAAGCAGAGTTTTGGTCTCGGCAAAAACACCTTTTTATTTACACTACTGTGAATTCCTTTCATTCACCGTCAGCAAGGCCTGTCTAAACAGTCTTTCAGAGGAAGACTTATCAACACAGACCTTATCTCGCTTGGAAAGCTGCCATTGTCAATAGTTTCCAAACACAGTACAAGGCCAAACTTGGCACAGAGTTTCTCAGAGTCACGGAACGAACGAATTGTTTCCTGCAAAAGCCCCCTCCCCGTTTGCTCCTCTTTTGTTTCCTATGAGAGGGGCCAATCACCTCCGAGGGGTGGCTTACTCCCAAGTCGGCCCTGCTTTCTGAATTGTTCTTGTCTTCTGGCAGCTCTGCGCACATTGGGAACAGGCTCCAGCTATTCCTCTGCCTCACTGCTGTCTAGCTCCCTCTCTGCCTCCGACGCAGAGCCCTCCGAGCTTTTCCCAGCCCCCAGGACTGGCACACGTTGCTCCCCAACCTCCTCACTGTCGTGGCCCGCCGGCGGCCAGCAAAGCTGGCAGCAGAGTCAAACAGGTCCTGCTATGTATGTGTGTGTATGTGTGTGTGTATCAGGCACATTTGACAAGGTCCCTCTTTTCCCTCTGCAGGACGGTCATGAGCTGCCCCCGCCGATCTCGTTTGACGTTGAAACGCCGACTACTCTGCCTCCGTGCAAGGTAGACCAAACCTTGGGGAAGGGGCAGATGGAAATGGGTGTTGTGTGGGGAGGGACGACACACGACCTGTTACGGAGGGTATCCCGAGTTCAGCCGTCCTCCCTTGTCCACTTGGAAACCCGCTTCTTTCAAACCAGCCTCCTGGTCTCTCTCTCTCTCTCTCCGCAGGGCAGTTATTTTGCCTCCGAAGGCTTGAAAATGCTGATCGTTCGCTTTTTACAACAGTGAGTATCACTTTATTAATAATTCAGAGCAGTTGACCCCTAGTACACGTGAGGTGAGGTGAGAGGAGCACAGGGTGAAGGGTGCGCAGCAGTGGTGAAATTCAAATTCTTTTACTACTGGTTCTGTGGGCGTAGCTTGGTGGGCATGGCAGGGGAAGGATACTGCAAAATCCCTATTCCCTCCCCACTGTGGGGAAGGATATTGCAAAATCTCCATTCCCTCCTCACTCTGAGAGAAGGATATTGCAAAATCTCCATTCCCACCCCACTCCAGGAGAAAGATACTGCAAAATTCCCATTCCCTCCCCACTCTGGGGAAGGATACTGCAAAATCCCCATTCCCTCTCCACTCTGAGGGAAGGATGCTGGAAAATCTCCATTCTCACCCCACTCCGGGAAAAGGATACTGCAAAATCCCACTCTGGGGGAAGGATATTGCAAAATCCCCATTCCCACCCCACTCCAGGGGAAGGATATTGCAAAATCCCCATTCCCTCCCCACTCTGGGGAAGGATATTACAAAATCCCCATTCCCACCCCACTCCGGGAGAAGGATACTGCAAAATCTCACTCTGGGGAAGGATATTGCAAAATCCCCATTCCCAGCCCACTCCGGGGAAGGATACTGCAAAATCCCCATTCCCTCCCCACTCCAGGGGAAGGATACTTATTGCAAAATCCCCATTCCCACCCCACTGGGGCCAGCCAGAGGTGGTATTTGCCGGTTCTCTGAACTACCCAAAATTTCCACTACCGGTTCTCCAGAACCTGCTGGATTTCACCCCTGATGCACAGACATTTTGGAAGGATAGACCAGTAATCTTGACCTTTGTGTAGTTCAGGGGTGTCAAACACACGGCCCGTGGGCAGGATCCACACATCTGTGCCCACCCCCGTAATTCTACGTGACCCACGCATGCATACACGAACCCCCACTCTAGAAGTCTGGGGAGGGCGGAAACTGCCTCCCCACCCACCAACACGGAAGCCCTCCAGAGGCCAGAAAGGGCCGGTTTGCTGAGTTCCGTTTGCCAACCGGAAGGCCCATTTTTCTCTCTCACCTGACTCCAGAGCCTCTCTAGGAGTCTGGGGAGGGCAAAAACTGCCTTCCCCCCCCCCCCAAGGCCCTCCAGAGGCCAGAAATGGCCCGTTTGCCAACTTCCGGTGGGGCCCAGAAGGCCTGAAAATCAGCCGGAGCTGAGCTCGCATGCCCACTGATACGGCTACGCGTGCTACCTGTGGCATGCATGCCATAGGTTCGCCATCGCGGGTATAGGGTCTGCTGGTAGAGCAAGGGGCTGGACTAGAAGACCTCCAAGGTCCCTTCCCGCTCTCCTATGTTCTATGAAAGCAATAGTGCATCCTGCTGCTTGTGGTGGTACACAGTTGTCCGTTCCCTTCCAGATACTACGCCATCTACGATTCTGGAGACCGACAAGGCCTGCTGGATGCCTATCACGAGGGGGCGTGCTGTTCGCTGAGCATCCCGTTCTCCGGGAATCACCCTTACAGGTCGGTTTTCCGGGGGTTCCACCGCTTGGCTTTGGGGGTGGGGGGGTTCGGCATGTTCCACCTTAACATGCGCCGGGGTGTAAAGAGAGCTATTTAAAACTCAGTGGCTGCCTTCACCCCGCACTCGTTGGACCAGGGCAACGAGTTAAGCTGGATATCTTTGCATCCGCTTCCTTTTCTTCCTGTGACTCGGGGTACAAACCCACTCAAGTGAAAATTCAGGATTCCAGTAGAATACCTACTGGAATATGCTATGGCGGAAGAACAGGTGAAAGAAATCATGCTAGCTTGGGCTTAAAACTTCGGTTATAGTATTGATTTAGATAAAGGGCAGGAGTTATGCGAGAGGAATAGAAAATTAACTCTCAGCCACTGCATACAAAGAAAACCTCTACAAGATGTTTTACAAGTGGTGTGCTGTTCAGATAGTGAATTAGTTACCTTAAGAATTAAGAGCGGTGTCCTGAAGAGATTGCATTGTGGGAGATGTAGAGAGAGAGAGATTGCATGATGGGAAATGTAGTCCATGACATGTGACCACTTCTGTGTGTCTGATTGGCCACTGAGGCTCTCTGCCTGGGGTGTAGAACAAAGCCCGGCCATTACAAATTGCCCCGGAGGAGAGAAGCATGCTTTCTGAACAGAGGGACAGATCTTCTGTCATTTTACACTAAGAAATGGGACAGATTATGAAATATACGGATGAATCCCACCTTGACTCACCCATGATTGTAAGTCTATATTTGGAGGATACCCGAAATAAACTTGATCTGTATGAAAACCTGTTTGCTAGAGTTTTAACTAGCCAAAGCCAGATGCTTTGGGAACAGAACAGGTGGCCTCTCCCACCCACGAGATTAGCTAAAATGAACAAAAACCTCTCACCGATGTGCTGGAAATGTATTGTTATTGAATATTGGTCACTTCCACAGACGGAAGAGATTGATGTAGCTGAATTTTGATAAGATTGCACAAAGGTATATATTGAATATTGAATTGTAGTTGTTGTAAGGAAAAATGCGATGGAAATGTTGGAACCAGAGAAGTCGCACTTTGCCCAATGTTTTTAACTGTATATTTAATTTAATGTTTAAGTAATAAAAAAAAAAAGGAAAGGAAATTCAAGATGTTCAACACCCGTGGGAAAACAGCCGTAATTAAGAAGGGAACCCACTCAGAAAACTGACCTTCAGCCTTTCATCCTTCTGAGGTCGATAAAATGAGGAGCCAGAATTGTTGGGGGGGGGGGCAGGAGGCTGACGCTTGAGTTTGAAAAGCGAGGGTTTCGGTCAGCTCAGGGGGACCCGATCCCAAAGACGGACTCTTCTGGTCAACGTATGATAACGTCAATGCCTAGAACAGTGTTGGCTACGCTTTTTGTTGTCGTGTGCCGAAAGCGCGCACATGTGTGCATGACAGCACCCACAATGCAGTGCAGCCCCGTCTCACGCATGTGCACGCGACACCCCCACCCCCACCCCCGTTTTGGGCCTAGTAGGCCTCCCTGCTGTTACAGGTGTTATGTCAGCCTTGCATGCAGCTTTATTCCTCTTTAGCATTCACCTCCATTGTTTTGTGATGCATTTCCTGCCTCTCTAGGATTTACCTCTATTTGCTCCTGTGAGGCGCTTCCTGTTCCTGTTGTATATTTATTTTATTTATTCATTTGATTTGATTTTTATACCGCCCTTCTCCAGCAGGACTCAGGGCAGTGAACAGACAAGGTAAAAACATAGCATACAAAATTTAAAACAATTTTAAAAGATATTAAATAGTTTCGGCCCACAGGTATATACCCTGTTCCCCCCAAAATAAGATATTATCCCCTGATAATAAGCCCAATCGAGCTTTTGAGTACATGGCAATAAGGCCAAGCGCTTATTTCAGGGTTCAAATAAATATAAGACAGGGTCTTATTTTCGGGGAAAGACAGTATCTGTCTATCTATCTATCTTATATAGCCCATCTCATCAAAAACAATCTTCCTTCCCTCCCCACCTCCCTCCCTCCCTCTTCTTTCTATCTATCTATCTATCTATCTATCTATCTATCTATCTATCCCTGTCTATCTATCTATCTATCTATCTATCTATCTATCTATCTATCTATCTATCTATCTATCTAATCTATCTTATATAGCCCATCTCATCAAAAACAACCTTCCATCCTTCCTCATTTCATTCCTTCCTTTCCTTTCCTTCCCTCCACTCATATCTATCTATCTATCTATCTATCTGCCCCCCATCCTGAAAATCAGCTGGCCGGCGGGAGGCGCGCGTATGCACGGTGGAGCTGAGCTGGGCGACGGCTCGCGTGTGCCAGAGGTTCACCATCACGGGCCTAGAATTTTAATGAGATTTATAGCAAGATAGGCCTCTTATTACTCAAGTGAAGGACTAGGAAGAGTTCTCTACCTCTCCCCCCCCCCCCCCGACCCACCCTTCCCTACAACTGCCCCAGTTTTCATTATTTAATAATGTGCACTGAAGTCTTTTTATTTATTTACTTATTTGTTTATTTTTCCCCGCAGGAACTGTTTGTCTGAATATTTCAAAAACAGCCGGAATGTCAAGCGACTGAAGGATCCTTGTAAGCAAATTATGACAATAGGAGGTTTGGGCGTTACAGGGTTACCTTTTAGGCCTAGCATGAAAGAGCATTGGGTGCAAAGCGAAAACCTTGCGAATTCTTTAAAAAAACGCAGAAAGTTTCCATACTTTGTTCCCTGCTTAAATTCCTTAATCAGCTAGCTAGAGCCAGTTTGGTCTAATAGAGAAGGCACTTGCTAGGAACCAGGAGACGGTGAGTTCTAGTCTCACCTTAGGCATGAAAGCTGGCTGGGTGACTTTGGGCCAATAATCAGGAGTTGGAGAGTTCTAGTCCCATCTTAAATCGTGAAAGCCAGCTGAGTGACTTTGGGCAAATCACCAGGAGACTGGGAATTCTAGTCCCCTCATAGGCATGAAAGCCGGCTGGGTAACTTTGGGCCAATCACCAGGAGATGGTGAGTTATAGTCCTGCCTTAGGCAGGAAAGACAGCTGAGTGACTTTGGTCCAGTCCAGTGGTGAAATGCAGCCGGTTCTATCCGGCTCGGGCGAACCAGTAGCACTGGAGGCTCTGTCCACCTGCCTGGACGTCATCACGTCCCATTTTTGACGCTCTGCGTATGCGCAGAGGTGTTGCGTGCTTGCGCGCGCTCCTATTTGCAAACGAGTAGCAAAGGTAAGTGGATTTCACCCCTAGGCCAGTCCCTCCCTCTCAGTGCAACCCACCTCACAGGGTGGTTCTGGGGAAAAGAGGAGGAGGAATGAAGTATGTTTACCGCCTTGAGTTATTTATAAAATTAGTACACAACACAAACGAATTGGAAGGGACTTTGGAGGTCTTCTATTCCAACCCCCTGCTTAGGCAGGAAATCCTAGACCACTTCATACAAATGGGTTATCCAAATCTTTTTTAAAACTTCCAGTGTTGGCGGGGAAAAAATTAAAAACCCTCTTTATTCAGTCCAACTGTCCTTCTGTCTAGCCCAGCCTGCCTTTTAAGGCTCACAGATTGAGATCCTTCCCAGCTCCTGATCCTGGATCCCTTTATTTGGGGAAACGAGGATCAGGTCCCAAGTTTTCCTGCATAGAAGTTGTACACCCAATCGCAGGCTGGCCTGGCCTGGCCTAACTCTCCTCTTTTAAATTTTTAATTCGTCATTTTATAAATTGGGTGTTTTAATCTGTGTTTTGGCCAAAACATTTAATAATTTTAAGGGATTTTTAGTATTTGTATTATCTGTATTTTATCTTGGCTGTTCACCGCCCTGAGTCCCTCGGGAGTAGGGCGGTATAGAAATTTGATTAATAAATAATAATAATAATAAATAAATAATAAATACCCCCGAGTTCGAGTCCCTCTTTCTACCTTCTGGTTCCTAGTTCCCAAATTCTTTCCCTTTGAAGTCTTTTTTAATATCCAGCCTTCTTTCAATCGCTTTCCCACCGTCCTTGTTGGCCCCCTTCTTTGTTTCTGTTCCTCGTTCCTTTGAGGCAGGAAGCCTCTTGCTTCCCTTCTGGGTTTCAGTTTTTGTGTAGAAAGCCCCGATCTGCCTCCAGAAAACCTCCTTGACTTTTTCTCTTCCTCCCCTTCAGCCCTGCGCTTCCGACTCCTCAAACACACTAAGCTGAACGTCGTGGCTTTCCTCAGCGAATTACCCAAGACTCAGCACGACGTGAATTCCTTCGTGGTGGACGTCTGCGCGCAAACGGTGAGTAAGGAGAAAAGGCTGGCCAGGTCTGACTGATGGGCTGTGGCTCCATGACGGTCGTTAAGTCGAGGCTTAGCTGTATTTTGAGATCAGCCAAGGGGAGGCCTCTGGTTCTGATCCAGCTCCCCAAACATGACAAACCCTCTGACATGAACTCAAAGATTCCTTTATTAGGACCGCCGGCAGCCCCGGCAAAAAGTTTCTCTCTCAACGCAGGCTAACAAGTCCGTCCATCCGGAAGATGAATAGTTGTCTGCCACATCTATTCATCTCCGCCCCCTGCCTTTTATCCCCAGAGCTAGGGTGGAGCTTCGCTAGGAGCGGTGGCTCTTCCTTCCCATATGATATTTATTTATTTGTTTATTTTATTTCATTTCATTTCATTTCATTTTATTTTATTTCATCTTATTCAATTTGTATACCGCCCTTCTCCTAGTGGACTCAGGGCGGTGCACAGCCAGAACTAAATAATAATAATAATAATAATAATTTTATTTCTATACTGCCCTTCTCCCGAAGGACTCAGGGCGGTGTACAGCCAATTTAAAAACACAGGACACAACAATAATTAAAATTAAAATAATTAAATAGATTTGGCCGATTTAAAACGCCAAAAATTTAAAATACCCCAATTTAAAATTATTATGTTGATAGCCCTGCCTGGCAGAACAACACATACCAATACAAAATTTAAAATTATTAAAAAGAATTACATACTTTGGCCCAAATTTAAAACAATTCGAATTAAAACCCATTGACAGATTAAAAGCTAAAAAACTAAAAAACTATAAAAAAGGGGGGGGGTTTCCACGCCAGCCCTGCTTGATGGAAAAGAAAAGTTTTCAGGGCACGGCGAAAGACCCGGAGATCCGATATCCTTCTTATCTCTGATAAAAAGCCCCTGGCTTTTTATCGCATTTCCAACACATCGGTGAACCATTTTTGCTCATTTTGGCTAGTCTTGTGGGTGAGAGATGCCACCCATAGAACACCGTGTATAGATTTTCTTTGTACGTGGTAGCTAAAGTAAATTTTCTTTTTTCTTTTTTTTTGTAATAAATTTTATTTCTTTAAAAAAGTACAAACAGACGATTTGTCGACAAACACGGTGAGAACATTACACCATACATAACTTTCAATCTAAATAAACAGATAAAAAATAAAAGTCTAATCTAGCATTGTCCTCTTTTTTTATTCTATTATTTATTTTATTTATTTTTTATTTATTTTATTTTGATTTATACGCCGCCCTTCTCCGGAGACTCAGGGCGGCTTACAATGCGCTAAGCAATAGCCTTCATACTTTTTGTATATTTTATACAAAGTCAGCTTATTGCCCCCACAAACCGGGTTCCTCATTTTACCTACCTTAGAAAGGATGGAAGGCTGAGTCAACCTTGAGCCTGGTGAGATTTGAACTCGCAGTAATTGCAGGCAGCTGGTCTTAATAACAGTGCTTTAGTCTGCTGCGCTACCAGGGCTCCTCCTATTATCTAACCAGACATACCATAAGTCCCAGCATTGGAAATATCCAGAGTCTTTTTGATCTCTTAAAATTTTAGTTAGACTATCAGCTTCTGCACATTCCATGATTTTCCCTATAATCGTATCTTCAGACGGTTCCCTATAATCGTATCTTTACCCTTCCAGTTTTGGGCGAGGCATATTCTAGCCGCAGTTGTGATATAAACCATCAGATACCATTTGTTAGTGCTCATTTTATCTGGCCTGATGTTTAATAAATAAAATTCAGGTTTCAGTTGTAGTTTGTAACCAGTAATGTCTAACAACCACCTCTTACTAAACTAAGTTTTCTGCTGCTTTCCCATAATTCCTGCCAATTGTCTAAATCGATGCTATAACCAGAGTTTTTACTCCCCGAGTTCACGTGGTTTCTTTCGCTTGTTCTTCAAACATAACTTGTTCCAGTAAATATTGGTTATAATTACGCTCTGTGTCGTCTTGAGGTTGTACCTGGTTGTGGCTTTGTAAGTTTTTGTGAGTGGTGTGTCGGCGGCCTGCCAGTCCTCTCTGTTTTTAATGCTCGCTCCTTTCTCGTTTCAGAATTCGCTGTTATGTTTTAGCCTGAGCGGAATCTTTAAGGAAGGTGAGTTACATGGCCGAAAGGCCCCGTCCTACAACGCAAGGGGGGGGGGTCGGATCTCAGCATACAGGGCCCCCTTCCTGACCCCTCCCCTCTGTTTCTTTCTCCCTCTCCAGTCGACAGCCGGTCTCGGGAGCTGGTGCGAGCCTTCACCCGGGTCTTCATTGCCGTACCTGTGGGCCACAGCGGGTAAGGGAAGCGGTGGTTTCAGAAGGTCGGTAATCAGGAGCCACTCTGGACGTCAGAGTGCTGCCTGGCCGGGATTGGAGGAGACCCCGGTTCGAATCCAAAGGCCTTTAAAAGCCTTTGAGTCAGTCGCTGTCTTATCTCTCTCATCACCATTCCCCCCCTTGAAAGAATCTTGTTGCCTCCTGAAGTCAAAACATCTCCAAAAGATATTTGGGTTTATAAGCCCAGCACCCTCCAGTGTAGCACTGATGACATTATCTAGTTGGGTAATGAAATGTCTGCAAGAAAACCACCACCAAGCTCAGTGAACACCAAGGACCCAACCATCCTCCTCCTCCCCCTCCTCCCACCAACCCCACTCCCTTCTAGCACTGATGACGTTACCTAGTTGGGTCACGAAATGTCTACAAGAAAACCCACCAAGCTCAGCAGAGCATCATTTCAACCCTAAAGGTATCCTCCTTTTATTGAAACCTCCAGCGTTATCGTCTTCAGTGGTTGCCTGCTTTTTTTTTTTCTTTCCTTACTCTCTTTTTTTATTCTTTTTCTTTTTCTTTTTTTTTCCTCTTCCCACCCAAAAATTTTAGAGAGTCATTGCGAGAGATAACAGGGAATCCGACATTCAACTGTAGTTTTTTTGGAAAGCCACTCTGTGAGCGTAGGGTTAGCACCCGGCACAATGGGGTGAGTCAGTATTGGTTGTAGCTTTTATTTAAGATTTTGGAGACTCTCAGCGCTCCCCCATCTCCCGGGTCTGTATGGGCCACTCGCACACTCTCGGCTCAGCCTGCCTCCCAGGACGCTCTTTTGGGGGTCACGGGAAACAAAGAAGGATAGAAATGATTCAGACTCGACTCCCCCTCCTCTCTCAACTGCTAGAGTACAGATAGCCCTCAACGTATGGCCGTCATTGAGCCCAGCATTCCCGTCGCTAAGCGAGACGTCTTTTAAACGAGCCTTGTCCAGTTTCGCGACTTTTTCCTTGCCACAATTGCTAAGGGAAGCAGTTTATAACGTGCATCGTTTATAAAGTGAATCGGGCTCCCCCCCCCCCCCCCGCTTGACTCGACTTGCCATGAAGGTCGCGAAATCACCGCGGTTCAGCGAGTCGCCTCGTTACAGAGTGAATCGGGCCACGCCCTGTGGACAGGCGGTCCTCGACTTAACGACCACAACGGAGCCCAACATTTCCTGTTGCTAAAGCGAGACATTGGTTAAGTTGAGCTTGGCCCCATTTTACCACCTCTCTTGCCACGGTTGTTAAGAGAATCACCGCCGTTGTTAAGTCCGTAGCCCGGTTGTTAAGTGAAACCATTGACTTTGCTAGACAGAAGGTCACAAAAGGGGATTGGGTGACCCCAGTTTACGACCGTCGTAAATACGACCCAGTTGCCAAGCGCCTGAAATTTGATTAAAGGTCGTAAATGTGAAAGCCGGTCCGAAGTCCCGTGGTAACTTCGGACGGTCACTAAATGAGCTGTTGTAAGTCGAGGACTCCCTGCACGGGGGGATGGGGGAAGCATCCGCCTGCAGCTCTTCCTTTCCTTCCCCCCAGGTTGAGCATCGTGAACGACCAGCTCTTCATCCGCAAAGCCAACAACACGGAAATCCGCAAAGCCTTCGTCATGCCGGCCCCCACCCCATCCTCCAGCCCCGTGCCCACCCCTTCCACTGAGCCCATGCCCTCTTCGAGCCCCGGGCCCACCCTGACGGCCGAGCAGCAGGAAATGTTGCAGAATTTCTCCCTGCAGTCGGGCATGAACCTGGAGTGGTCTCAGAAGTGAGTGCCGGCGGGGGAGAGCGAGGGCAGGAATGGGTAGGGGGTAGAGGCAAAGATGGCATTTGACTGACGTCAGGGGTCTCTCCCGTGGCTTAAGGATCTTCTATCTATCTATCTATCTATCTATCTATCTATCTATCTATCTATCTATCTCTATATCTATCTATCTATCTTTCAATCCCTCCTCTGAATCTCTTTTAATCTCTCTCTATTCTCTTTCTTTCAATCGGCATATAATCGGCGGCATATAAATTGAACTAACTAAATTAAATTAAATCTCCCCTCTCTCTCTCAATCTTTCTTTCAATCTCTCTCCTCTCTCTATTCTCAATCTCTTCTCTCTTTCAATCTATCTCTCAATCTTTCAATCTCTCTCCTCTCTCTCAATCCCTCTCCCTCACTCCCTCTCTCTCAATCCCTCTCTCCTCTCTCAATCTCTTTCTCTCAATCTCTTTCAATCTCTCTCCTCTCTATCTTTCAATCCCTCCTCAATTTCTTTCAATCTCTCTCTCTTCTTTTTCAATCTCTCTCTTTCTCTCAATCCCTCTCTTCTTCCCTCTTTCAATCCCTCTCCCTCCCTCCCTCTCTCAATCGCTCTCTCCTCTCAATCTCTCTCTCAAATTCTTTCAATCCCTTCTCTTTCAATCTCTCTCTCTATTCTTTCTCAATCTCTCTCCTCTCTTTCCCTCAATCTCTTTCTTTCAATCCCTCTCTCCCTCCCTCCCTCCTCTCTCTCTTTCAATCTCTTTCTTTCAATCTTTCAATCCTTCCTCTTTCAATCTCTCTCCTCTCTCTCTTTCTCTCTCTCTCTCTCTCTCTCTCTCCCTCCCCAGGTGCCTCATGGACAACGATTGGAACTACGCAAAAGCAGCTCATGCCTACACCCAGCTGAAGGTGAGTGTCGTGTCTCTGCCTTAGGAAACACAACCTGATTCCTCTTTGTGCCCAGGGTGAGCAAGTGGTGCCTCTCCCTTGGGATTCTGGCCATTATACAGGTTAGCCCTCCACTTAACAACAGTTCCCTTGGTGGCCGAAAGTCACAACGGGCGCCGAAAAAAGGCGACTTAACGGCCATTTTTCACACTTAACAACCATTGCGGCATCTCCCCCCCCGATGGTCACGTGATCAAAACCTGGGGCGCCTGCAAACTGGCTCGTCTTTACGACGGAGGCAGCATCTCCCCCTTCAACCTGATAAGCAAAGCCGATGGGAGAAAACGCCAGATTCACTTCACAGCTGGGTTACTCGCTTAAACCCTACTTAACGGCAAGCAAGGTCGCAAAAGCAGATCGCATGATTCCCGGGAGACTGCAACCGTCATAAATATGAGTCAGTTGCCCAGCTGACAACTGCCTTTTTTTAAAAAAAAAAAATTACGTTGTCAGCGTTGCAACGCTGCCAGAGAGAGAGCGGAGGACAGCGAAAGATAAACTCTGAAACTTTTGCCTGCAAAATCCCTTTGAAGCTTGGTTGTCGTGGAGATCAAGGGGTGGGGGCACATTCCTGAGAAATGACGGGGAAAAGAATTCTGAAGAATGACTTGGAAGACAGCCAATGAGAAGCAGAGTCTTGGGGGTCGGAAAGGGAGGGATTGGGAGGCAAAAGGTCAGTCTTGTCCGCGCGGAGTCAAGATCCGGTGGCTGAGCTCAATTAAAGAAAAGATTTCCTTAAAGATTGGCAGTTTGGAGATTCATTTAATCTTGAGACAGTACCGCAGTCTGACACACGTGCAACGGTTGTTAAGTGTGAAAAACCGATCCTAAATCCGTGAACTTTGCATGGGGAATGAAAGAACTGTTGTAAGTTGAGGACTTGCCTGTACCATAGTCCAGGACATCCCACAAAAGACACCTCAAAAGACTTTTGCCGATATCCCAGACATTAAGAAAGCCTCGATTTCTCACTTTTTTCCCCCCTCTTTTTTTTTTTTTCTGCTTCTCCCAGGCTCAGCAGAAGATCCCCGAAGTGGCGTTTATCCACTGAGCGTCCAAACGACCAAAGTCGATCCAGAGCAGCGTTTTTATTGTTCGGATAACCTGTTTGGGTTTTTTTTTTTCTTTTTTTGTAAATAAAAAGTTTATCCGTTGTAAATTAAAAGAGACTCCTGCCCTGCTCCCAATCATGTGTGGGGGGGGGCTGAAACGCCGTGCCTCTTAAAACCTTTTTGCTGTTCGGGGTGGAGGTAGAAAAAAAAAAAACCGTGAGTTATGCCGTAGTAGAAGACGACGCAGCTCCCGTTCCCAGCGCCGTCGGCAGCTGGAAGAGACGCTGAGAGAAGCCGGCGGCCGAGAAGACTAAATTCAGAAGCCAGAGAGGAAAGAGAAAGGGGGAAAAAAAAAAAAAAACTCCCACCTTTTCTTTCCTCCAATCCCTTTCCGTTCGGAAACATCAAATTTTTTAAGGAATTATTTTTGGCCAATCCGTAAACCTTTCCCCCCCCCCCCCATTAAAGCATCCTTGTCTCGAAAGTCACGTTTCGTATGCGCTGAGATGGGTCAGCAGTGCTGCCAGCACTCTTTAAACTTTCAAACTGGGTTAAAGCTTCCCAAACCCTGTTATTTTGTTTTTCCCCCCGAGCATTAAGTTTCTTCGTTCCTAGGCGCACGCTCTCAAATCGTAGCGTCTGTTGTTTTTCTTTTAAAGGAGAAGGCGGCTTGCGGGGGCCGTTCTATCCCAACAAGCTCTACCTTCTGCGTTTTCCTACCAGTCCTTGGAAACACTCTGCCTAGTAAAGTTGTTATTAAAATCTTGGATTTTTTGTGTGTCGCATTCTTGGGCCTACGAGGAACTGACTTTGTCTTCTGTGAATCGGGGGGGGGAGAGGGGGATTCTACGGTAGTTACAGTTAAGAGTTGGAAGGGACCCTGGAGGTCATTTAGTCCAACCCCCTACTCGCGCAGGAGACCTGTACTAGGGAGTCGAACTGCCGACTTTTCCGATCGACAAAAGCTCAGTGTCTTAGCCCCTGAGCCACCTAGTCAGGCCACCGCCATTCCTCGGCTGTCTCCTTCCCCCCACCCCAAAAAAAGAATTTCTCGATCAAGACATTGATATACGATGTAAATAACTTGATTTTTTTTCCCCTCTCCCCAAGCAGGATATATATATATATCCTGCTAACGTGCAGAATGTCTCTTGGCAAAGATTTCTCATTTATTTATTTTGAATTTAAAGGCTACCCTCCTCTGGGTAGTTTCTGTTCCAACAAGCAGGAATAATTGGGAACAAAGGTTCCGACCTAAGCTTAGTTCATAAGATTATTTATCAAAATGTCCTACCTGTAAACGAGTACGTTAATTTCAACCGTAATAACACAAGAGCTATCAATGGCTTCCAACTCAATGTAATCTGCTCTGATCTTGATTGTAGGAAATACGACTTCTGCAATAGAGTAGTAAATGTCTGGAACGTTCTACCTGATCCTGTTATTAAGTCTCGCTAACCCCCATACCTTTTACCTTAAAACTGTCTACCGTGGACCTTTCACGTTTCTTAAGAGATCCCTAAGGGTGCGTGCATAAGGCGCACCAGCGTGCCTACCGTCCCTGTCCTACTGCCCCCATTTATATGTAATCATTCAATGTGTTTATGGCTACGTTTTTGCTTATTTATTTCCTTTTATTTCAGAGGTCTGCAACCTTAAAACACTCAAAGAGCCATTTGGACCCGTTCCCCACAGAAAAGATAGATAGATAGATAGATAGATAGATAGATAGATAGATAGATAGATAGATAGATAGATAGATAGATGATACAGTGTTTTCCCGAAAATAAGACCCTGTCTTATATATAATTATTTTTTTGAACCCTGAAATAAGCGCTTGGCCTTATTGCCATGCGCTCAAAAGTCCGATTGGGCTTCTTATTAGGGGATAATGTCTTATTATGGGGGAAACCGCGTATTAACTGCCAATGAAACTGGGTTTAATTTAATGCAAAGAAATGTTGGCTCAAATTCATTCCAGTTATGGCTCAGTTCAGCCAAATTTGATAAATGCAACCTGAATATATAACCAAGCAAAGCCTGCCACGTTTGGGGGGGGGGGAGAGACCCTAAACTCAGAGCAGATCTGAAAAGAAACCAACCCCCAAATTTTAGGGGGGGGGGAAGGAGGAGATTTGCACCTGACTCCCTCCTATCTACTTCCCTGGGGCCAAAACCAGCCATTCAGGGCAACTTCCGGATTTGCACGTGTGGACTCCAACTCCCAGAGTTCCACCGCCGGCGTGGCTCCCCCCGAGCATGCTGGGAGTGGAAGTCCCCAGATCTTGGAATTGCAAAGGAGGGAAGAAATCAAGCGGTATTAAGTTACTCCACGTTTTGCCTCCCAACAGGCTTCTGAATTCTGCATCCTCGCGTGCAGGCTGGAGGACACGCATCTAGGGATGCAAAGGACCCCTTCGGTGAGCTAAGAAAGAAAAACTGAAACTCTCTTAACTTCCTACTCTCCTTCCCACGACCTTGCAAACCCTCTCTTCCTTCCTTCCTTCCTTCCTTCCTATCTAATTTCCTTCTTCCTTCCTTCCTTCCTCCCTTCCTATCTAATTTCCTTCCTTCCTTTCTTCCTTCCTCCCTTCCTATCTAATTTCCTTCCTTCCTTCCTCCCTCCCTTCCTATTTAATTTCCTTCCTTCCTTCCTTCCTTCCTTCCTTCCTTCCTCCCTCCCTCCCTCCCTCCCTCCCTCCCTCCCTTCCTATCTAATTTCCTTCTTTCTTCCTTCCTTCCTTCCTCCCTTCCTTCATAATTTCCTTCTTTCCTCCTTCCTTCCTCCCTCCCTTCTTATCTATCTAATTTCCTTTCCTCCTTCCTACCTTCTTTCCTTTCCTTTCCTTCCTTCTTTCCTTCCCTCTTTCCTATCTTCTCCTTTCTTTCCTTCCTATCTTCTTACCTGCTTTTCCTTTCCTCCTTTCCTTTCCTCTTCTCTCCTTTCCTTCTTTTATCTTCCTTTTCTTCCGCTGTCTTCCTTTCCTTTCCTCCATATTTTCCTTTCCTTTCTTCTTTCCTCCTTCCATCCTCTTCTTTCCTTCCTCCCTTTTATCTTCTTCCCTCCATATTTTACCTTCCTTCCCTTCCCCTTTATTTTCATTTTCCTTTCTTCTTTCCTCCTCCCTAACTCCCTTCTCTCCTTTCCCTTCCTTCTTTGCCTTCCCTTCTTCCTTCCCACCTCCTCTCTCCTTTTATCTTCCTTTTCTTTCCTTCCTCCTTTTCCTTCTATCTTCCTTTCCTCCATATTTTACTTTACTTTCCTCCTTTTTATCTTCTTATTGTTTTATTTATTTATTTTTATTTTATTAGATTTATATACCGCCCTACTCCCGAAGGACTCAGGGCGGTGAACAGCCAAAAAGATAAAGCACACAGATTATAAAATTTAAAACAGTATAAAAACGTATTAAACAATTTGGCCCGAGACGAATTAAAAAATCTTCCTGTCCTTTCCTCCTTTTCCTCCTCCCTTCCTCCCTAACTCCCTTCTCTCCTTTCTCTTCCTTCTTTTCCTTCCCTTCTTCCTTCCCTTTCATTTCCTCTATATTTTACTTTCCTTTCTTCTTTCCTCCTTCCCTCTCTTTTTACTTTCCTTTTCTTTCCCTCCTCCCTTTTATCTTCCTCCCTTCCCCTCCATATTTCCTTCCCTTCCTCTTCCCCTTCACATTCCTTTCTTCTGTCCTCCTCCCTTTCTCTCCCTCCTTTTCCTTCCCTTCTTCCTTTCCCCTTCCTCTTCCTCCCATGCAGCTCCCCTGATCCCAGCTCCACGATGCTGGTGCTGATGCTTCCTCGTTGCGCGTGGGCTTCCTTGACGTGGACCCGCGTGGGCTTCTCCTCCCTCCTGCGCGGGGGCTTGCAAAGTGCCCGGCTCGGGGTCCTTCCCCCGTTTGCAAAGCAGCTCTGGAGCCCCTCCATCCGGCGAGCCCAGGAGCCCTTCCCGCTGGACGGCTTCGTGAACCGGGACGTGGAGCTCTTCCACCACGAGCGATCGCGCTTCTTCCGCAATGTGGGGCTGTTTTGCTTGAGCCAGTTCGCTTTCTGGCTCTACCTGGCCGACCTCGCTTTTACGACCCTGCGGGAAACGACGGCTGTCCCGGAGAAACCGGGCTCCTCGGAGTCCCCCGAGCGACCCCCAGCCCCGACCCGGCCCTGGCTGGGCAACCTCTTCAACCTGACCTCCGGGAACTTTGGCTCCGCTAAGTGGCGCTACGGCTTCTCCGCCACCTGCGTGACCGTCGGTAAGCGAGGCAGGGCGTTCCATTGGGGTGGAAACGGCTGGGGGGGACGACACAAGGGTGGGTTGGCTTTCAGGTTCAAAGCCTTTTTTATTTTTAATTAAAAAAAATATATTTTTCAAAATACAAACAATCCATCCATCTTTCCTTAAACCAGGGGTCAGCAACCTGTGGCTCTGGAGCCGCATGTGGCTCTTTCACCCCTCTGCTGCGGCTCCTTGTCACTCAAAATATGCGTCACAACCGCCAATGTGCGACACCCGCCAGAACCCAATTTATTGAGCTTTTCAGCCTCCGGTAGGCCAACCATGGATAAATCCAAGAAAAGAAAAGTTTCAGAAGAAAACAGAACATTTAATACAACTACATATGCTAGTTTTGTTGCCGCTCAAGAAATGGTCAGGCACGGGAAGGGTTTTTGTGGCTCCTGGTGTTTTCTTTTCTGTGGGAAACGGGTCCAAATGGCATATCACTCTTTTATTACAAGAGCCAGTTTGGTATATTTTATTTATTTATTTATTTATTTTATTTTATTTTATTTGTATACCGCCCTTCTCCAACAGGACTCGGGGCGGTGAACAGCCATGCTAAAACATAACATATAAAATTGAAAAGCAATTTAAAAACATTAAATAATTTGGCTATCCAATTAAAACAACCCGGGTTAAAACCAATTACAAATTAAAATTGAAGGGATGGGATCAAGCCAGGCCGGCTAGGTGAAAAAGATGTTTTTTTCACGGCCGGACGAAAAGTCCGGAGGTCTGGTATCGTGCGTATCTCTGGGGGTAGGTCGTTCCAGAGGGCAGGTGCCGCCACAGAGAAGGCTCTCCCCCTGGGGGTTGCCAGCCGACATTGTCTGGCCGACGGCACCCTGAAGAGTCCCTCTCTGTGGGAGCGTACTGGCTGGTGAGAGGCTATTGGCGGCAGAAGGCGGTCTCGTAAATACCCCGGCCCTAAGCCATGGAGCGCTTTAAAGGTGGTCACCAACACCTTGAAGCGCACCCTGAAGACCACAGGAAGCCAGTGCAGCTCGCGCAGGAGGGATGTCACATGGGAGCGCCCCGTCGCTCCCATAATCCCCCGCGTGGCTGCATTCTGGACCAACTGGAGCCTCCGGGTGCACCCCAAGGGGAGCCCCATGTAGAGAGCATTGCATATAATGTGGCGCTGGCCTAGGAACCAGAAGACCCCGAGTTCTAGTCCTGCCTTAGCTGTGAAGGCTGCCTGGGGGAGTCTTGGCCAATCAGCAGGACATAGCGAGTTCTAGTCGGGTCATGAAATGCCTACAGGAAAACAACCAAGCTCAGAGAGCACCAAGGTTTCCACAGTCCTCCTCCTTCTCCTTCTCCTCCCCCCCTCCCTGCAAACCCCCCTCACTGCTAGCGCTGATAATGTTCTCTAGTTGGGTCATGAAACGACCAAGTTCAGAGAGCACCAACGACCTCACAGTTCTTGCAAATTTTCACTTCTGTTAAATTTATTTATTTATTTATTTATTTATTATTTATTTATTTATTTATTTATTTATTTATTTATTTATTTCTCCAATTCCGACGGCGTTTCTTTGCAGGTACGCTGATCTTTGTGGCAGGCTTCTTCTTCGCGCGACGGTCTGTCAGCCGGATCCTCCTTCTCCGCGGCAGCCAGGAGGTGACTTTTACGACCTATTACCTTTTCGGCTACACTTCGTCCTTCACGGTGCCCCTTCGCCACATCTGCTGCATGTCCCACCGTTCTGAAGTAGCCGCCATCATCCCGGTTAAGATCAAAGGGAAGCCTTTTTATTTCTTGCTGGACAAGCAGGGATCCATCACCAACAATCCACTGTTTGACATCACCGTGGGAGCCTATCGCGAATGGTGAAATCCGTGTTCCAGGGACCTAGCCACGAGGTCCCGATGTGTCCGGAGGCTGCTGGAAGAGAGAAGAGTTAAAATGCAGACATTAAAATCCAGAATTCACAGCTCCTTCCCTGTGGAAACTTTTGAATTATATCCTCCACCTTTCTGCTATAAATTAAATTTAAGTTTAAAAAAAGAAAGACCTTAAAAAGAGGAAGAGAAGGCAGCTAAGGGGGTGAGAAGGATGCTCCCTTATTCAAATTGTAGTTGAGCCTAGGTGTTAAAAATATCGAAGCCTCTGGTTTCAAATGCGGGTCGTCTCGTCACCCAGGGTGGTAGGGACTCATAATGTGAATTTAAATACGAATATCTATACTTTTGGCCCAGCGATGCTAATGCTCTGTGGCACCAAGAGTGGTGGGCACTCATATATGAACTTAATGTGAATTGATGTATGAATATCTTACCAATTTTGCCCAGCAATGCAGATACTGGGTGTAAAAAATATAGAAAGCATCTTTTTTTCCAAATATGTGTCTTGTCACCACAAAGATGGTGGTGGGGATTGTCTGTCTTCTATCTCCTTCTATCCATCCATCTATCCCTCTTTATCTGTCTAATTATCTCTATCTGTCCATCTCATTCTATCATCTATTTCATTCTATCTAACCTATCCCTGTCTTTGTCTGTTTGTCTTTATCTATCATCCATCCATCTATCCATCTCTCCTGTCTGTCTATAATCTATCTCTATCATCCACTCATCCATCTATCATCCCATCTATCTATCTATCTATCTATCCATCCATCCATCCATCCATCCATCCATCCATCTGTCTATCTTACCTATTTATGGTATCTATCCATCCATCCATCCATCCATCCATCCATCCATCCATCCATCTATCTATCTATCTATCTATCTATCTATCTATCTATCTATCCATCTCTCCTGTCTGTATAATCTATCTCTCATCCATCCATCCACCCATTCATCTATCCTCCATCCATCCTCTATCTATCTACCTATCTATCTATCTATCTATCTATCTATCTATCTATCTATTTATCTATCTATCTTACCTATTTGTGGTATCTATCCATCCATCCACCCATCCATCCAATTATCTATCTATCTACGCTCTATCTATCTATCTATCTATCTATCTATCTATCTATCTATCGTATCTATCCACCCATCCATCCATCCTCTAATCAATCTATCTATCTATCTATCTATCTATCTATCTATCTATCTATCTATCTATCTATCTATCTATCTAATCTTTTCATTTTAAATTTTGCCAGCCAATGCCATTAGGTCACTCTGCCCCAAAATATGGAGGTTGTAGCACTTTGAAAGCCATATTTAAAATTAATTCCTCTCAACATCCAACTCCAGCAATTTGGAGGAGCTTTGAGCACTTGCATAAAAATACCTCCCAATTTTTGTAGTTGAAGAGGGCGGGGGGGGAAACCCCCACTGCTCTGCTACCAGCAAAAGTGGATTATTTTGGAATAATAAGGGGGAGGCCCTGCCCCCAACCACTTTTGAGTCAAAATGAAGAGAAGGAAGGAATCTGCTTTAATCCTCTTCCCTGCCCCAAGCATCCTTTGCTTGCAACTGCTGTTGCCACGGCAACCTCAGCCTCTGCAGTGAGAGGGAGCCAAAATGGCGGCTCCAGGGACCGGAGAGCTGGGTGGTGGAGAGACCCCAACCATGGTTCACGAGAGAGCGGACCCCGAAAGGGAGACGGGGCAGCAGGGAAGCCGAGGTAAGCCGTTTCAGGCTTTTTTGCAACTGTTACAGCCTTCTGCATGCACATTTTAAATTATCTCTCTATCTACATCTATGTCTGTCTGTCTGTCTGTCTGTCTATCACTATCTACCTACCTACCTATATCGTTTCCTTCCTCCTCTCTTCTTCCGTCCTCCTTCCCTCCCTTGCATCTATCTATCTATCTATCTATCTATCTATCTATCTATCTATCTATCTATCTAATCTATCTTATATAGCCCATCTCATCAAAAACAACCTTCCATCCTTCCTCATTTCATTCATTCCTTTCCTTCCCTCCACTCATATCTATCTATCTATCTATCTATCTATCTATCTATCTATCTATCTATATCGTTTTCTTCCTTCTTCCCTTGCATCTATCTATCTATCTATCTATCTATCTATCTATCTATCTATCCGTGTTTCCCCGAAAATAAGACCCTGTCTTATATTTTTTTTGAACCCTGAAATAAGGGCTTGGCCTTATTGCCATGTGCTAAAAAGTCCGATTGGGCTTATTATCAGGGGATGTCTTATTTTGGGGAAAACAGGGTATATCATTTCCTTCCTCCTTCCTTCCTTCCTTCCTTCCTTCCTTCCTTCCTTCCTTCCTTCCTTCCTTCCTTCCTTCCTTCCCTCCCTCCCTCCCATCCCTCCCTCCCTCCATCCTATCTATCTATCTATCTATCTATCTATCTATCTATCTATCTATATTTCTTGAGGATGGGCAGGGCACTGCAAAGGGCTGGCATGGTGGGGTTTTTTTTAATTATTATTATTTTTATATGCCGCCCTTCTCTGGAGACTCAGGGCAGCTTACATATTTTAAGCAATAGCCTTCATACTTTTGTATATTTTATACAAAGTCATCTTATTGCCCCCACAAACCGGGTCCTCATTTTACCCACCTTAGAAAGGATGGAAGGCTGAGTCGACCTTGAGCCCGGTGAGAATTGAACTCGCAACTTGGTTGGGGAATCCAAGGTCAGAAATACTCCAGCTTCTTTCTATTAATTTATTGTTTGGGTTGCCTTGAGCCACAAGATGGAGGCACATACATTACAGAAAATATATTGAATGTATATGCTTGTCCGTCTCATGCTCCAAAACAGCAGTTTTTCCTTTCTTATGTCGGAGGGTTTTTTTGGGGGGTGGGAGTTGTCCTTTTTTGCAAGTGAGAGGCAGAATGAGTTGTTGTGTGCACAACAGCCTGACGAGGTAGGCTTAAGCCAGGAGATGGTCAGGCTTGCCCATCCCAAGCAAATTCCCAGCCGGATGGTTTTTGCACCCAAGGTGGTTTAGAAACAGAAACTTAACTCTATTCTTTCTTCCTTTTCCTCAAAACAAATCCCCATTTCTGCTTTCTTTTTGGCGCTTCCACCTTTTTTCTGTGGCACCTCTATTTTTATTTATTTTTTAATATTGACAGAGATCATTATTCTAAGGGAGAAAAAAAGAGAATAACAGAGTTGGAAGGGACCTTGGAGGTCTTCTAGTCCAACCCCCTGCTTAGGCAGGAAAATGAGAATTTAAAATGTGAAGCTTCCTCCTGGATGAATTTGCACCTGCCTTTCTCTCTGAACCTGGCCTACCTCATAGGGTTGTGGTTCTGGGGGAATAAAGGGACGTTGCCACAAGAATCTAGGACTGGGGTCTGCCATTTGGACCCGTTTCCCACAGAAAAGAAAACACCGGGAGCCACAAAACCCTTCCTGTGCCTGACTTATTTCTTCAGCGGCCACAAAACTAGCCTATGTAGTTGAATTAAACGTTCTGTTTTCTTCTGAAACTTTTCTTTTCTTGGATTTATCCATGGTTGGCCTACCGGGGGTTGAAAAGCTCAATAAATCGCGTGCCGGCAGGCGTCGCACATTGGCGGTTGTGACGCATATTTTGAATGACAGGGAACCGCAGCAGAGGGGTGAAAGAGCCACATGTGGCTCCAGAGCCCCTGATCTAGGAGAACCAGAATCAGGAATAACCCTCAAAACTTTTTTTTTAAAAATGGCTGGTGGATGCAAACCTCAGCCTCTGTTGCAATTGACCGATGGCGATTTTGTCAATGCTGATGGCGATTGTATTAGATTTATTATAGCATAAGGGAAAAAATATATAATGCATCTCACGTATTATAATATTTACATATAGATTATTTGCCTTCGTTTGTGAAATTTATTATAGCTGCCAGGTCTTAAGAGACTAAAAAAATCAGTGGTGAAATCCAAATTTTTTTTACTACCGGTTCTGTGGGCGTGGCTTGGTGGACGTGGGATGGCTTGGTGGGCGTGGCAGGGGAAGGATACTGCAAAATCCCCATTCCCACCCCACGTCAAGGGAAGGATACTGCAAAATCTCCATTCCCTCCCCACTCCTGGAGGTAGGATACTGCAAAATCTCCATCCCACCCCACTCCGGGGGAAGGATACTGCAAAATCTCCATTCCCATCCCACTCCAGGGGAAGGATACTGCAAAATCTCCATTCCCATCCCACTCCGGGGGAAGGATACTGCAAAATCTCCATTCCCACCCCACTCTGGAGCCAGCCAGAGGTGGCATTTGCCGGTTCTCTGAACTACCCAAAATTTCTGCTGCTGGTTCTCCAGAACCTGCTGGATTTCACCCCTGACTAAAATCCATTAGAAAGCTGAGCTTAGCTTCAGGAAGTAATCTAAATTTATGGAGGGAGATAGCCTTAATACTTTAATAAATATATTTTCTGGTGCTTTGGGGTTACAGGCAAGATTTTGAGGGGGGACACAGTTCTTTGCCTTTGTGATAGCCTCTGACCTTTTCTTTTGCACGGGATTTAAATCTACTTCTCTTTCTATCTTAACTTTCTTTCACCCCCTGTTTGTCTTTCCCTGGCTCTCCCTTATCCATTGTTTCTTTCTCTCTCTCTCCCCCCCCCTCCTTTCTCATATCTCTTGTTTCTCTCTGGATTTGCTGAGAGTTGGTTTTTCTTATCTGAAAGGTGAACTTTGGTAGGACTCGGAGTTCCTTAAGTGGTGTCACCGATATTGACGGAAGGCAGAGTTCTGGCGTCATTCGGTCTTGGCTGGTTTGGGGGGGGTGGTGGTGGCGCTGGGAGGTTTTAGTTGAAGGTTTTATTGAAGATTTTTAAAAACAACATTAAAAACTAATACAAGCTAAGAGGAGAAAGAAAGGGGGCAGAAAGGGGAGAGAAGAAGGAAGGAAGAAGGAGCAGGAGAGTGTTTTTATTATTTTATTATTATTATTTTAT